TAAATTACAAACCAGCCGTATGTTCTGAGGGCTGACTTTGTTTTGGTAGAGAGAGACTCGAGTGATACTTACAATCTATTTCCTTGGTGAGAAAGTTCCAGGGATAAAACGGACAAGAGAAGATGCAATGCAACTGAAAAGAAAAATAGAATAAAAATAATATAAGTCATAAGTTCATAACAGACGGATATTTACGACTGTTTTTCTTTTATTTTAAAAACGCACAAAGAAAAGTTTTTAACAACTTTATATCCCGCACTGCATCAAAAAATAAAAAACTTTATATCATAAATTCAATAAACCCTTTTTGAATTAGAATATATATATATATATATTCTATATATAAGACAAAAGGTAGAGAATGGTGAACCATTCAAAATACCATAAAATACCCTTGGTTAATTTAAACATTAAGAATTGAAATTATTAATTAAATGAGGATAATATGGTAAATTCATTTTTTTCATATTAAAATTAAAAACAAAATCAGATAATAAGTCTTACTTTTATAGAACATAACTACCCATGTTATATTTTCTTAATTCTAAAAATAAAATAAAACCAATTGGCACATGCGTGAGCATGTGCTAGTATATATAAAGCAAAAGGCAGAGAATAGTAAAACATTCAAAATATAAGAAAATGCCCTTGATTAATTCAAACATTAAAAATTAAAATTATTAATTAAATGATGATAATATGGTAAATTCACATATTTTTTTATATTAATAAAATTAAAAATAAAAACAAAATCAAATAATAAGTCCTACTTTTATGAAACATAAATACCCATGTTATCTTCTCTTAATACTAAAAATAAAATAAAAAAGAAAAAGGAAAACCAATTGGCACAAGCTCACGGCTAGTTTCTAATTATGGATGAGAAATGCTCTACTTTTTAAAATAATCATACCATAAAGTAGATCTAACAAGAGATGGAAATTGACGTCATTAATTTTTTTTTATTTTGTAAAAACTAGTGATCCTGTTTTAGGGGGAAAAAACCAAAGAAATATGGTCACCGATTGTGAAGTATGCCCCCAGTTGCATTTGCCAATGCCATCTTACTTGATGTCAAAATGTTGTAAATTCCCTAATGGGTTCCACCACAGTGGTGATGGCTTCCTCGCCCCATGGCATCCCAGTTCAAATATAACAAAAAAAAACATTGTTGTAAATTTCCTAATGGGTTCCACCACATTCGTATCTAGAAGCTTAAGCTTAATATTTCTGAGTTTGTGGTTTCTTAGTTCTTTCATCTTAAGATGTGTGTTATATACAATCCATCGTCGTTTATAAATGCGTAAATAATTTTTGACCGTTGATGCATGCAAAACTTACAAGTCATCGTTTCACATTAATCACTGCTTTCAATGTCAATTCTTACAAAAGAAATAAAGATTGTTTATTTATTAAAAAAGAAAGGGAAAGAAAGTCTTTGTGGGGCAATTGGCAAGTGGGCCTAGAAATAGTATTATATGAAGACCACCGAGAGTCCAGTAGTGGAGGTGCTTCATTTGGTTGGCAAATCTAAACCTGCCGTCTATTTGCTTACTTTCTTAAACCCACCAAAGTCACACAAAAAAAAACATAAAAACTGCAAAAACTGTGGATACCGTGATTAACCGAGCAATTAGTTAGGCAATATTAGCCACGTGTCATGCTTTGAGAGGTCATCACCTTAGCCAAAGAAACCTTTCCATAAGTCACAATTAGGGGCAATGTCAAGAATCCCACATTGGAAGACTACAAGAGGTGAAAACTCCCTTTCATCTATAAAATAATACTACTCTCCACTTAGAAAAGGATCTTAAGTCTTGACCCTTGGGCCTTGGATTCCTGGACTTTGTGCCTTAGGCCTTGGGCCTTATTACCTTTATTTTTGGGTTTAATCCCCTTGTACAAATGTAAACAAACATTTTCATAACAAGAATTCCTTCTTCGTGGACGTAGCCCATCATTCGAGTGAATCATGTATACCTTGTCTTCTGCATGCTTATTTACTTTACTTATACTAAACGTCATTGACTGTTGAAGGCAATCTCTTGCCTTGTCTCCCGTAGGCATATACACATGTTGAAGGCCCACGTCTTCACACATCATCCACCACTCCACATCTATCTAAATTAACCTCCATTTTGGGTGTCAACAAAAACTAGTAACATAAAATATCTAGGGAAGGGAGAGACGTGGCAATACACAATTGGAGAAGCAGAAAAACAAAAACAAAAGGAGATTTGAATAAGACATGAAAATCTACATATATATATATATACATATGCCCATTGCTAGCATATGATCTCATTCTCACGTTTCTTTTTCAACTCTTGTCTTATAGGATGTGCAAAATGCCTAGATTTTGGCATGGAATTAAGCACCCAAAAAAAATTGTGTTTTGCTATTTATTTAGAGTGCTGCTATTTTCATCCACCTATTCTATTTTCCCACCTACCTTATAGTTGTGGAATTTGAATTTATTTATTTGAGGTGGAATTAGCAAAACTCTTTATTTATTAAGACAATCCTTGACCTTAGTCTAAAAGTCAAGAACACAAGTCTTGAATGAGATTGCATATGTTGGGATGACTTTTGAATCAGGCCCACACATTCTTGAGATTCAGAGTATGCAAATCAGGCCTAAAACAGTAAAAGCCCAAGTATGCAATTCGAAAAAACTGGCTAAGCCCAAATTTTGCTTGAATTTCAATTAAATAATTAAGCAGCCTTAAATTTTTGAACCTCAACTTTGCTGAGTGCTACTATTTATGTTGTGTCTTTCATAATGTGATGAATTTCATTATATATATATATATTGGAAATAAAATTGGCTCCTTAAAACTAAGAAGGAGCTCATCCTCAAAATAAATGGACTAGGATCAAATTTGGAACTCATGAAGGCTACCAATCGACCCCATTGTTCCTCCATGTGGTAATGTGACTGAAATTCACATTACAAGCATATATCAACGCTTTTTCAAGCAATGGCAAATAAGTTAAGTCTTCATCCTTAAATATTAAATAGAACCAAATACATCCTTAAAGATTCTCCTTATTTTCTGAGTTATTACAATCATGTCTTTAAATTCCAAATTTTGCATATAATATCTATAAGACAAGATTACATGAATTAACGTTTAAGAGTCAAAGAGAGAGGAGGACTCAGAAAGAACAGTTTTGATCGTAAATATCTATTTTTTTAAAAACTTACAAATATAATCAAAAACTCAATTGAATAGACTCAAATAACCTCTAAGTTAACTTAAATTGTTTGTTCGGGAGATTTTGAAACTATCTGAGAACCCTTGGGATATACTGAGGCTCTGTTTGGTATCCTACTAAAAAAAAGTAAACTAAAAAACTATGATTCTTTTTAAAAACATGAGTTTTCAAATAGTGATTTTAAGATCTAAAAACTTGTTTGGTATTGAACTCTAAACTCTTTTTAAGATCTAAAAAAAATTGAAATTAAAATCAGAAAATCATAAACCCTAATCCCCAAATTTAAATTAATAAAAGGAAAGGAAAAAGATGTGAGGCATAAACCCAATCAATTTTGGTGGTGCGCGCAAGAGAGAGAGAGAGAGAGAGAGAGCGACAGAGAGGGAGAGAAAAAAAAACTATAAAACCTCACTATTTTTGTTTTAAATAATAAGGGTGTTTTTGAATTTTTTTTAGGTTCATGTTTTTTAAAATGGGCCTACCAAATAGCTTTTTGGGGCAAATCCATTTTAAGTTTATAAAATTGGATCCATGTAGGATACCAAACGAGCCTTGATCATTCCAACCCTTTGCACCTGTGCTCCCAGATGGATCGATGTTCTGAAAAGAAAGAAAAAACAAAATTGCTTGCACGTGTAGACTGTATATCTTATATATATATATATATATATATATACACTACAAGAAAACAGGCCTTCTGTGACGAAATTATATGTGACGCTCAAAATTTTGTCACATTTACCAAATATACGTGAGGAAATTTTACAAATCGTCACATAAGGGTCTTCCCAGGACGCAAAAATATTTTTGCAGCCTTTTCGTCACATAATTTTTTTGAATCGTCACATATTGATTTGCGCAAAATGTTGGAGCCAAAATGAAAAGGTTAAATGTGACGAACATGCGGAATGCGTCACACAGCATGAATGGCAAGCCCAAATGAGACGATGTGCAGCGTCACTTATGCCACAATAAAATAAAATTTATCCCCAAGACATCTAAAACCTAGTTCATCGCTTAATACTTCATCTTCCTCGACGGCATCAGCACTCCCATCTACCTCCAACCACCAAGCACCGACGACCACCACCACTGCTCCTCCACCTCCTCTTCTCCGGTGACGACAACTACTTCTTCGTCGTCCTCCTCTCTCTCTCTCTCTCTCTCTCTCTCTCCCCCTTCGCGCGTGACCCATTCTCCCTCATTTAAATACCAACAAATTCTCTCTCAATATCCTATTAGCCCAACGATAACCAATGTTAATTAAGTTCACGTTCGACTGGTAAACAACCACAGGTAAACATTGTTGTAGTGCTATTCTTGGTTGTTAATTTGATATGTTCATTGGGGTTTTCTTGAATATTTCAGATAAAATTGAATTGGAAAGCTGATAATTTCTTCTGGGTGTTTTGCTATGGCTCAATTTGATTGATTTTTCTGTTTCCATCTTGTGCTTGAGGTAAGTTTCTTTTAATTTGTGCTGTGTATTAGTGATATATTAATGCTTTGTGGTTTCCTTTTTTTGTATTTAGTTGTTGAGAAAATTGAGGAAATGGAAGGGAAATAAAGCTAAATCCGTCTATTTTTCTTCTTTGGTTTTTCTGTTAGTTTAATTCCCTCATTGGTGGCATGGTAATTACCCATTTCACCAATTTTCTTTCTTTCTTTGTAATTTTGATGAAGTTTCTTTCTTTTTGGCTGCTATTGTTTATCACATACCAATTTGGATTTTTTTTGTCTCACAGCTCATCTGCTTTTGTGATCTGGGTGGTAGTTAAATTATGGTTTCCATGCTTAGGTTCTCAAAAATGGATTCTTTTTCCTTTGTTTTCTTATTGTACATGTATAATATTGATGCTTAACTTCTAAGTTGATCAGTTACATGGTTATTTCTTTCTGTTGGTCCAAATACCTTTCTTTTTAGTAAGTTTTTGTACATGTTTAGAGCTTTTTCAATTCCGCTTGGTGAGTTGAAATTTTAAGTTTTGATAGTATATTTATTTGTTTTGAAGGATTTGAAGCACCAAACCTAAGGTATGCCTACTTTCTCAACTCTGCATCCTCGTTTGTTAATGGTACATGATGGATATCTTAGCACCTTACATGAAAAGCCTAACATGATTTCTCCCAATCCCCTTCCTTTTTGAAAAATATTAGCTGCAGCTTATCTAGCTACTGAATTCTGATGGATACTCTTTGCTGCCTACTCTGGTCATGATCATTTACGTCTGCATAAAGATAAAAATAAATTTTTTGAAATGGGTTGTCTTAGTTAGGGGCAGCCATTTATAAGAGAAGTTTTATTTTATGGACCCTGGGGGGTTTACAGTTGTTAAAACCCTCACACCAAATGAAATGACAATCCTCCGCCAAATGTGTAAAAACTTTATATTTGATGCTACACTTCCAAGCCCTTTATCACTCAGTTAGTGAAACATATATTTGTCTACGCCATTTCTGAAACCTCATGATAAGTGAATTTGTTGCTTTGTTAACAAGAGTTAATCTGCTTTAACAACTGGACTACTCTTTGCTTTGACATTTATTTCCCATCCTTTCATTACATGTTTTCATTTTTCTTGAACTCACTGCTATTTCTGTAAAGGAAGCTTGCCGACAAAATAGCTAGTGCTGCTGGATTCCATGTTGTGGTTCCAGACTTCTTTTATGGAGATCCCTACATACCGGACAATGCTGAGAGGCCTGTATCAGTTTGGATAGTCTCATGGAACAGTTTGTTTCTGAATCTTTTTTATTTCCCTTATTTTAAAGTGTAAACTTGCTGAATGTGTAATCATGACTCAAGTTTAATCATGTGCTAAAAGTGCTGTGTATTAGTGATAATGCTTTGTGGTTTTCTTTTTTTGTATTTAGTTGTTGAGAAAATTGAGGAAATGGAAGGGAAATAAAGCTAAATCTGTCTATTTTTCTTCTTTGGTTTTTCTGTTAGTTTAATTCCCTCATTGGTGGCCTTAGGAACCCCTTTTACTGTGATCAGGGCCTAATTTTTTACACAATTGTGAAACTGAAAGTTTTAGCTTTGAACAGGTATTATTCAATGTCAAATTGGTATGCTCTTTCTTCTATTTAAATGAGTTAAATTATGCTCTTTCTTTGAATTGAACTTTAAGGAAATGCTTCAAGTTTCCTCCCTTTTATATGATTGTGGTTTTCCACAAATTTGAGAACTTCCCCTGCAATAGTTATTCACTATAATTCAGAGTATAATTAGTCAGATTATGTTGGTACTAAGTTAGTTACTACTAAGGATGTCAGGGTGTCAATTGAGAGGAATGTTGTAGCCCACAATACATTTAGTTACTACCAGTCGTCTAAGTACAGGTGGAATAACTCATTGTGGAGTAATCTAATACAATTGTTCTGCTGGGAGTGCTTATTCAACTTCAGCTTTGGGTCAGCTGAATTGGAGTGACGTTTGTGCTGAGTTCTGATCGAGTTTGAGTCAGCCCAGTAGCTGATGGTTTTAGAGCCTATTAGGTGTGAAATTCAGTGTGGTCCTGTTGGTATGAAAAAATAGTTGTCTTTGACAAAATTTAGACAATTTGTGATTTGATTACAGCCTTCAAGGTAACTTCACTTTAGTCACCACTCCCGGGGCAGGTATTTGTTACAGTGGTCAAAATTATTTTCATAGAAACCAAATCAGATTGGGCCATGTTTTGGTTGATATGAGGGTAGACCAAAATCAGATTTGACTGTCCTAGTTTGTGCTATTTTCACTTTCATCAACTTCATACTGCATGTGTACATTTATTGCTTGTCCTAATATGTTTCCTGTTCTTAAGGTGAATCTGCTCGGTCAAAGCATTCAGAATCATCTAATAACATTGATGCTGATGGTGATGAGGATTGGTCATGGATTTCTCAGTTGCTTTCAAGGTACTCGGATCATATTCTAGATCATTTGAAAGAAGGATCATACTCTGCATATGCTCTTGTTTTATTGAACTCGATCTGAACTTGTGTAAAACTGAATATATTAAATTTTGAGTTCATGCAATATCTTGCTGATCCATTTAGAGCAGCAAAAAGAAACTTGAAATTCTTATCTTTTTTTTTTTTTTTTTTTTTTTTTTTTTTTTGGAATTTTAAATGTTAGATTCAAGGTTATCTTAGTATTTTTTTTCTCTAACTCAATACTTTAGTGTATATAATTTTTATAAGGTCAAATTGTTTGTTTAGGCTACTACAATCCATGTAAGCTTTGACAATTTTACAGGCTGCAGTCGCTGTTCAAGCAGGTGTTTGCATGGATATTTTTGTTGTTACAAATGAGTATATTGATTTGGCATCTCTGAAGTGAGATTTGAGTTCAAACAATGTATAGAAATTTCTTAGTGTAGAAATTTGAGTTCAAACAATGTATATAAATGAGTATACAAATTGTATATCAAACAATGTAATTATTTTGATGTAATGGAATGAAATTTGAGTTCAATTTACTTGTGGAACTTTAGGATCTTGAATATGTTATTTTGCTATATTATACAAGAAAATAATATATATGAGACATACAGGTGGTAATTGAGTTGAATTGAATTGAACGCTGGTCAGATTATATGTGAGACATACAGTGTCACAATTTTCATAAATATGTGAGGAACAACTCCTCACGAATGCTTATGAAATGTGACCAATGCTGCCTGTCACTGATCGATACAATAAGTGACAAGAGATGCCTCGCGCAAAGGCTCTATATGTGACGAAACATTCGTCACATATAGAACCAATATGTGACGAGTCGCAAAGTCGTCACGTCAAACAATCTGTGACGGGGTATAGGTGACGACCCTTGTGACGCCGAAAATGCGTCACATATGGTCAACTGTGACGAATTTACATGTTTCAGTGACGACTACTCGTCTTCACATAAAGCATGTTTTCTTGTAGTGATATAAAGCAAAAGGTAGAGAATGGTGAAACATTCAAAATATTAGAAAATGTCATTGGTTAATTCAAACATTAAGAATTGAAATTATTAATTAAATGAGGATAATTTGGTAAATTCACATTTTTTTCAATTAAAATTTAAAACAAAATCAAATAATAGGTCTTATTTTTATAGAACACAACTACTCATTATCTTTTTAATTCTAAAGTAAATTTAAATTTTTTTTAAAAAATAGTCTCTTGTAAGAGCGGAAGTGCGTGCAAAGAGGCTAATAATTTATAAAGTACAATTGATTTGAAATTTGCTTCCAACGTTTTTATCTGTTGTGGTCGAATCATACCTACTTTTAGGGCGTGCATGTAATATGTAGACATGTGTTGGCCTTATTTGAGACGAAAAGGAAAATATGGTCTTTGTTGGTCAAAACTCAAACTGAAAAAATCAAATTTTAATTTATTTATTCTAAATTCATTCAGCATTCAGGGATTGGTATGGATACTCTTGGGCTTCAGCAAGTGGTGATGCTTTTGCATCTGCGACATATTAGATGTTCGTTATTGTTAATGCCATCGGAAGATCCTCCAATATAAAAGACTTAGGAAATTGGAGAAAAGGCTACCAGTAACTCTAGTGTAAGCACATATTTATGTTACTGTATTGATAACTTACAATTCAAAATACAAGAGCTGTTTCAATAAACAAGAGATCAGCTCAATTACAAAATAACGTTATTAGCATATCAACTATTCAAATTCAAATCCATAACTGACTTATCAATATCAATTTGCTCTTGACTTGGTCTTAGTCTAACATCCCCCAACAAGTTGAGTGGGCGTTGAAGAACAGGCAGCTTGAGAACAAGTACGAGACGAACTGAGACCTTTGGTAAATAAATTCGTAGTCTGGTCTTGAGAACAAACATAGTTTGCAACCAGCTCACCCCTAACTTTTTCCCGAACATAATGACCATCAACTTCCAAATGTTTCGTTCGGGAATGAAAAACCGGATTTGACACCAATGAGATAGAAGAAACATTGTCACACCAGATAATTGGTGGTGGCAACGAAAGAGACAAATCGCAAAACAAGGAGCGCAAGCGCAACCATGATAATTCAGCGGCTGTATATGCAAGCTGACAATATTCGGCTTCCGAGCTTGATCTAGAAACAGTCTTATGCTTCTTTGAGCTCCATGAAACAAGGACGTTATCCATGCATTCCTTAGCACTGATTACAAAAAATTGCAAAACTTCATTACAAGGATCATTTTAAATTCTAAAAATAACTGAAAAGTTGTCACCCAGCTAGAGTTATGAATGCTCTCGAAGGACGCTAAATGATAAGAACCGACTTCATAGAGAATTGTAGCTTATTATTATAGTAAATTTGATCACTGGCATACTTCTACAAGATATATATGCAACCAACATACAAGTCCAGTAGTAAATTTTGTAAAGTACTGGCTGAACTGGGAGGCGCATGTAATGCCATGTTCTAACCCTACAACATTGTGTAGTGGAAAATAAAATTCACTATATCACAATGTTCTTGTAAAATTTAATTTTAACCCATGTCATAATATATTTGGGAAATAAATTACAAACCATCATTGCCTACTGCTTCAGCTATTTGGGACCCATCTGATTAATATCCAATTAACTTTACAAATCCTCACCTTAGCATTTGTTATTATTTGCTTTCTCGCTGATCATAGGCAATGAGATTAGAGTAATTCCAGTTGAAGGATGTTCATGAGTCACTTAGCTTGATCGTATCGAAATTTCATATTTTTTTACCGAGCGGTTATTTTCTAGCAATAAAATAAAGGAGTAGTGTGCAGTGCTGGAATAGTGACATTTTGGGCTTTTCTTGTGCTTTGAAGCCCAAAATGACCTAGGATGGGTTTGTGGCCTTCTGGAGAAGTGTTTAGAATATTTTTATCTTTAAAACAAGCTATCTTGGGCCAGATTTGGAGAAGATTCAAGGTCAAAACATGGCTGGGTAGATTGTGGGTAGATTCTCCTAATCCAATTTGGACTTTATATCATAGTATTATTTTATTTTAACTTAGTTTCCTTGTGGGGATTGGACAGCTGGGTTTTAGGAGGTACTTAAGTTCTTTTTCACGGCAATATTGAGGACTTCTTTTTGGCATTTGAACGTGACATTGTGAAGAGCAATTGCTAGGATTTTGGAGTTTTTGCGACTTTAAGGTGTTTTCATTCTTCTCATTCTTAATAATATTTTCCATGATTTCAGTTATGAATATGCGTAACTAATTTTCTTTTGCTAGGGTGAAGCCTTGAACCTTAGCATGAATATGTAATTTTTATTTAATTGCTTATGATTGATTGCATGCGTACATTGAATCGTTAATCACTGTTTTAAACTATATAATTGTCTTAATACTTGATCACCATTAGGATCTTTAGAAAAGTAATTGGATGCAATTTTTGTAACAACCCGATATTTAGTTATTAATTTATTCAATTAAAAGACGATTTTACCCCAAAATATTTTAATGGTTTAAAAGTTGACTTTTTATTCGGGAAGGAATTTGGGAATTTTAGTTTCATCGTTGCGAAGAGCACATCGAGATGAGTCCGTAGGCATGTAGTGGGCTCAAATCCGAGTTGTAACGAGAGAGATGCGATCAAAATTCAAGTAGGGGCAAAATCGTCATTTTGCCAAACTGGTTTTTAAAACCAGAATTTCTCTCTCTCTCTCTCTCTCTCTCTCTCTCTCCCTTCCTCCCTTGTTGCTCAGCCCCTCCCCAGACCGTTTTGCTACAACCGGTTGGCTCTTGAGCCACCGTCACCACCACAGACCGCCACCGGCCATGAGATCGGACCCAAACAAACGGCCACCACCCCCTCTTCCCTTCCCGATCGATCTCAACCCCTGAAACTGCCGGAGATCGCCCAAAATTTTCATATAAACGACCGGTTTTTGACAGATTTTCTCTAGCTTTGTTCGAACGATTTCGGGCACCAAATCTTGCAATCCAGGTATGCTTTCTCATCCTCTTGAGGTGTTATAGCTGCTGGTTGTGTTATTTAGGAGAAATTTCTGAGTTTTGGAAGGTAATTAAGCGATAAGAGTTTGGCCAGTTTTCGGCCTCCGATTCCGGCCACTTCCGGTCATTTTTTGGGGTAGTCCAAGAACAGAAGAGACTCCAAATGAGGTTTTACATTTAGGGTAGGAATCTTGACCTGCGGTTTGGAGTATTTCCGACCGACAGAATTTAATCTGCACACCCATGCGCTGCAGGCGCGTGGGCGGGGTATGGGAAATGTGTTGGGGAATACATTCTATCCTAAAATTATCCTCGTGATCTCACGAGCGCGTAGGTACTTTCGGATTCCAATTTGGTTAACGTTTGAACCCCCAACGGATCTCGTCTATTGTGCGATTTTCGGGTTCGATAAGTTTGAACCGTTGGATGGCAGTCAATTTCATATATGTTGATCAAGACAATTCTAGGATCGTGTAGGATTTGATGGATCATGAATCAGAGTCCCATATACTTCGAAACTGCGAACCCTTAGGCAAGATTAATTGTTGTCATCCAATCGTGCGATTGTGATCAATCCAACTGTTCGATTTGGACCAGACTTGCAGGGTAGGTTCAGAAGAGTGCATTGAACCTATAGGGACTTCTGAAACTGTGATCGGAGGTCGTTAGCCTCGTGGGCCAGGTTGACCAAGTTTAGGCGGTTTGACCCATCAGTTGATCGTGAGTCTTCCGAGGCAGTTATATTCTTTTGGAAGTGTTTAAATGACTGTGTAAACGAGTCCTGACCGAGAATGAGTTATATGGGTCATGTTATGGATTGAGTATAGATAGTTATTTATAGATTGCTAAGGTACCCAGTAGCTGAAAATGATGAATCATGGCCCTTGGTTTTTATCAAATTGTGGCATATATATTTTAAGTATAGTTGAGAATCAATTTATCATAAAGTTGGTATAAAGGTCGGGAAATGAGTTGTGAAATAAAGGAAAAATATTGATATAAGTTTGGGATATGATTTTTCAAATCCACCACAAGGGTACCCCCTAGTTGCTTTGAATAAGTGTCATTTATAAATAATGCCCCACGTGTTTCGAGGACGCCTAAACTGTGTGGTGCGAGGAATGCGGCTTAGGCTGACTAATGGTTCCCTGAGGCCTGTGAGGATTGCAGCTCGAATAGAAATGGTATCTCCAAGGCTTGCAAGGATTGCGGCTCGAGTAGACTTGGTGTCTTCGAGGCCCACGAGGATGGAATTGACGATATTAATGGAATTGACGGATCAAGACTAGGGGTACGCCTAGGTGGAGAGGATTTCAGTTTTGAGATATTCAATTACATTATTAAAGAGAAAGAACTACATGTTGCTTGATCTCTCAGTAAGATTACGTAGGCAGCCTAATGTTACAAGGTGCAGCCACGAGTTGGAGTGTTTGAGATTGTTAATGTACTATTGTTGTTCTGAAAGTTGAGATGAATTTTTATTAGTAGGATAATTTATTTGATTTGTTGAGGCCTGAGGCCAAAGTGATATGATGCTTGATTTTCTTGGATATAATTTAATGCATGTTGTCAGTTAGGTTAGATATAAACATATATGCTTGTTTTATAGGTGGAAATTTTTAGGAAATGTTCAAATTACATGGGAGAGTTTTTCGAATTTTCAGCAAAAGTCGCACTTAAATTTTATGGAATTATGGTTAAAAGGGCAATTTGGTCAATTGTGTCCGGCAACCACCAGGTGTCGAACACGCACAAGTTTCGGCTCAGATTCCAAAGTGGAATTTGGGTCGGGTCCTGTCAATTTTGGTATGAAGGTTCCATGAAATTGATGCTGGCTTCTTGTGTTTAATAATTGTAATTTCACGTAAGATGAACATCACGTCTTAAGGGTTGCATGGTTTTTCAAAGGGATTTCACAAAACATAATGAGTCTTTCATGTTCAGATTTGATCCGAATGTCCGGACAGGTTGCATGTTGGATATAAGTTCTATGTTGGAGGTTCCAAGTAGAATTTAAATTAGGAAAATCTAACCTTCAAAGTGGCATGTGCGAATCATAAGTAATTGGTAAAAATTCATAGGATTGCTAGGTGATGGTGAAACCCTAGTGCTTTTATAAATTGGTATTTAAAACTCTTTCCTTCAATCGTAATTGTTTTTGTTTAAAATTTGTTTTTAGTATCAAACAATTTCATAATCATCTTTCTCAACTTTTAATTTTAGGTAGTTAATAGGAAATTGTTTTTACATAAATTGCTAAACAGTCCTTGAGGAGAACGACCTTGCATGAGTATCTATACTACAATAGCCTTGTATTCTTGCAAGTATTTTATGTGATTTTAACCTTATTTGTGCAGGTACCCAAAATCCTATCAGGTATGATGAGGTCGAAGAAGGCCATGGTTGGAGAAACAAGGAGAGAGATTGAAGATGGTTTTTCAGAGGTTTAGGGTTTAAGGAATGAATTAGGAGGAGTTGGAAGTCTTTTCTCTTTTCATTTTTTCTTCTTACCGGAGGAAAGGAATACATAAAATAATAATTAAAAAAAAATGTTATTCCTTTTTTCTTCTTTCTTTTTTCCCAATAATTACCCAAATGAATGAACTAGTAAGTTCATATTCACACAAAATTTACGCAAAAGAAAGGAAAAAACTAATTCTTCATGGTGGAGTGGAGACATGAAAAATTCTTAAATGAGATCTATGTATCAAAGATAGTCTATAATTTTAAAAAAAATATTGGAATTAGGAAAGATCAATTGGCCTATTAGCTCAGTTGGTTAGAGCGTCGTGCTAATAACGCGAAGGTCGCAGGTTCGAGACCTGCATGGGCCACTAATAACATATTTTGTTGGTTTAAATTTCTTAGAACTTTCTAAACTTGCTTCAACAATTTTTCTATGACTGGTTTTCTTTTTGTTTTTAAATGTTTGGATTCTATTTCAAAAATTTATCATCAATCCACTTAGGAGTAAGACTGAATTTGAATTTTTTTTATTTAAAGGAACTGGATATGCATATACATTTTAAGTTGAATTCTATGAACAAATAATTAAACTTTAACACTGGTGAATTAGTTGATGAGTACTGAAAGTGAGGAATTCGAACCCTCATAGTATACAAGTTTTTATGACATGAAGAGCTTGATACACCGATCAAGTTGTTGAATGTTGTGTGTATTTGGAAATTTTTCAACAACAAAAAAATAATTAAAACCCACTAAACAAAGTTTAAGAATTGGTAATCACGAAAATTAAAGTTTACAAAAGACCCATTCTTTTAAGAACAAACTACTAAAAAGGCACATTTGAGATACTTAAAGTGTGAATATTTTTGGAATTGCGAAAAGGCACATTTGAGATACTTAAAGTGTGAATATTTTTGGAATTGCGATAAGTGTCCCGTCTATAGATTGCTTGATGTGAACTGTGCATGCCAAAAGAGATTTTTAAATTTAATTTCCGCCAAAAAAGACGTCATTTCATGATTTATATTGAACATGAATTCGTTTTTTATTGTAATTTATGTCATTTACAAAATTTGACATACATAAATTCAAAACACTGAAATTATTAATTGCCAAAAATTTAAACGATAAAAATCTAAATTCCGTCATTTAGGAATTCTATGTAATTTTCAATTCCTTCGTCCAAACAAATGGACAGTTTCAGCTAGAAAAACTGAAGCTACGTTCTCTTACTTTATTTTAGTTTCCATTTTGTCGTTGGTTCTGGTATTCCATTTTCCTTTCTCCACTTATCAACCAAACATCCTGTGCGAATCACTCATGACACTAAAATACCAACAGACAGTACAGTAGTAAAGATTAAATAAACCTTTTACCAGCTTTCATATGGAGAAAGTCTTGAGTGGGACACGTATACGCCTTCCTCTCACAATCACCTCATCATACGAATGCCTCGTGATAGATAGCTGTGAGAAGGAGAGCGTACAAAAACCATCCCACCCCCGAACTTTTGCTTCATATGGTGTGGAATATCAATAAGAAATAAACACGTTACATAAAAATCCTTATGAATCTAAAAAACACACTCAAACCACCACCCCTTCTGTACACAAGGATAACTCAGAATGCTTCATCAAGTTTCATCAGGAAACTCCACAAAAGAAGTGTTACCAGAAGAGAAGCTAAAACTCATAGAACTCTCTCAGAAAAATCACCTACCCTCAGATTTCACCAGCTGTGAGAATACTCTACTCATAGAAACACCTGAAAGATCATCCACACTTGAGACTTCAAACTGTGCAGCAGAATCATTTGCGTCAACATTATTGAAGTTGTTGACCTGCGGGGATAGCTCGCCAATCATATTGGTACTATTTTCTTCAGCATCACCTGGAATTTCTGCCTCTTGAAGTTGAAGGGCATACTCTAGATTCCACAACACATCTCCCATGGAGGGCCGGTCAACACCATAGTCAGCCAAGCATTTCTCAGCGGTTTCTCCAAATTTCCTGAGAGAATCTGGTCTGATTTTTCCTGCAAGGGTAGAATCTATTATTTGCTCCAACTGCCCCTTCTTCTGCCATTTCATTGCCCATTCAGCCAAGTTCACCATTTCCCTTGGAAGGGACGGATCTATAACAGGTCTTGCACAAAGGACCTCAAACAAAACCACCCCAAATGAATACACATCTGATTTCTCTGTCAGTTGTTGCCTTCTAAAATATTCAGGATCAAGGTATCCAAAACTCCCTTTCACTGCTGTACTGACATGGGTTTGATCGATTTCAGGCCCCGTCTTGGAAAGCCCAAAATCAGCAACCTTGGCCATGAGGTTTTCATCAAGCAAGATATTTGCAGATTTCACGTCACGATGAATAACTGCTTTTGCATAGCCAGTGTGAAGGTAGTGAAGTCCTCTAGCTGATCCAATGCATACTTCAAGCCTTTGCTTCCAACTTAAGCTGGGGTAACCTGAGCCATAGAGATGACTCTTCAAGGTTCCGTTCTCCATATATTCATATATCAGAATCATCTCACTCTTGTCATCACAATACCCAATCAATGAGACAAGATGGCGGTGACGGAATTGAGATAGCATCTCAATTTCAGTCCTGAACTCTGCAAGTCCCTGTTGAGACCGTGGATTTCCCCTCTTGACAGCCACTTTAGTTCCATCATTTAAGACTCCTTTGTATACCTTCCCAAAACCACCGATTCCAATAACCCAACTCTCATCAAAGTTATTTGTAGCCTCTTGTACAACCCCAAAAGGAAAACGATAGCTATAGTTAGAAGCAGCACTAGCAGTTGTTCCATATGAGTATTTACTTCCCATGGTGTGAGAATTGGTTCCATTAATGGAAAAGGGAAGCCATGTCTTAGAATGGCCCTGGTCTGCCAGTCTTTTCCTTCTTCTGCAAAAAACAAAGAGAATCGCAGCCAATACCACTGCAATAAATGACCCAACGCTGGCACCTACTATTACTCCGACGTTACCTTTTGAACTTGAATTTGAAGAAGGAACTAGAGAGTTTGCTCCACTGAGGCTGCCTGCTGAATTGTTCATTTTCATAATCTCAAGCCCATTTAGAATGGCATTGGGATAAGCATTATTTAAAGGGGAAGGGCCAATACTAATACGAAGCTTATTGCTGACAGCAGCAGATGTTGTGACATAATCCATATAATATGGCACAGCCAACTTATTAGTTGCTAAAGTACTCAGATCAAGATCTCGAGCAACAATCAAAGAGTCAAGATATACATTGAAGTACAGCTGATAGAGAGATTTACTTACTACATCACAAAAGTGAAACCGAACAAGGTACTGAAATCCTGGATCCACTGTGAACTCCCAGCTCACATTGAAATTGCTGTTGGGATCATCCGCGGATTTCATCTCAGTGAGGGTTCCATAGACAGTTTGTGGAGCAATATCCTTGGTTGCCAATGCCGAACCCACATCATAGTTAACAGCTGCAATATTTGAGACATCTTTGGCAAGGTTCGCATTTACTAGAAAACTTTGATCAGGAACCCAAGTTCTCCAGAGGGTATCATTCTCAAAGGACACTGTTGGTCCACCCATATTCACCCTCCAAGATGTCTCCAAAGCCTGAGTCGTCAAACCCTGGAATTTCACTGACCCAGTGTAGGCATCATCAGTGATCAGTTGGTCGGGGACTGAAACAACTTCTATGGCATTTAAGAATGCAAATGAATTCTTGGAAGGGGTGAAGGTAATAACAAGGCTATCTGAAGTTACATTTACTGAAAATTCTTTGACAAGAGAAGCGTTTTGAACACTGAAATCACCAAGGAGAACATGGTTTTGGGTGGAAACAGAGAACTTCGCTTTGCTCAAATCGTAACCACCAAAAACAAATGGATAGAAGTAAAGGCGGATCCAGTGTCTCCCACTCTGGCTTATGGAAAAGGTGTACTTTGAGGATTCAGTAAAGATTCTTGCCGTTTGATACAGTGGCGAATCATCAAAGGAAGTGATTGATTTCAAAGAAATATTGGCAACAACATCTTTTGGGGTTGAAAGAAATTTTGAAGCCAAATTATCTGCTACATAGACACGGTCACCCACTGAAGTATTGGCAGGCGATCCACAGTCTATAAGGTAATTGTCAGCAGGATTAAATCCAGTACACAACCATCCCAAACACAAGACTGATAAAACCCAGATGAACAGATCAAATTTCCTATAACCCATCATCAAAAAGTTGGGAAATTTACTGAGGAACCAAGAGATTAGGTTTGGTTGAGCTTATTTGGGACCAAAATGATCTGGGTTCTTAAACAGGAAAAGCAATATAGAGATTCAACTAATAAAAAACCAGAAATTAAATGAAAACCCAGGAAGAGAATTGACTGAGGAAGTGAAAAGATGTCACCTTTAAGATCAAGTGAGCGATGTGCAATTCCTGAGCACAAAGCAAAAACAAATCTGATGAACCCTTCTATCAGAGTTCAAGAACAGTTTTTTCTCTATTATGCAAAATAGAGGAAAACAGTTACTGTGTGCAAATCTGGCAAAACACAAGCTGGTTTGAACTAGATGACAACCTTAGATGGATACTGACAGGTTCAAAGATTCTTTTATGCATTAAACTAACGAAAACGATACCAATCAAATTAAAATTTGTGGCGAAATGAGTGCTAATAAAATAAATTACAAACCAGCTGTGTGTTCTGAGGGCTGACTTTGTTTTGGTAGAGAGAGACTCGAGTGATACAATCTATATCCTTGATGGGAAAGTAAATTCCAGGGATAAAAAGGACAAGAGAAGATGCAACGCAACTGAAAAGAAAAATATCCGTCCGAAAAAACAGAAGAAAAATAATATAAGGAGTCTTTTGTTTCTATATTTTATGATAGGATTATTTTTGGCAATGAGTCATAAGTTCATAACAGACGGATATTTACTCTACCACTGTTTTTCTTTTATTTTAAAACTTTATATCATAAATTCAATAAATTCTTTTTGAATTAGAATAAAACATTAAATAAATAAAATAAAACACAACGTGGTAGATATAAATTAGGTTAATTGGTCACGTAGCGTGCTCGATTATTTATGTCTGAGTACGACTTCTCCTTATAAATTAGAGTCATTTAATTACACTTTCCAAATAACACTCCTAACAAGAAATGGAAATTGACGTCATTAATTTTTTATTTTTTAAAAACTAGTGACCCTATTTTTAGGTGGGAAAAAAACCAAAGAAATATGGTCACCGATTGTGAAGTATGCCCCCAGTTGCATTTCCCAATGCCATCTTACTTGATGTCAAAATGTTGTAAATTTCCTAATGGGTTCCCACTACAGTGGTGGTGGCTTCCTCGCCCCATGGCACCCACGTCCAAACTCCAATATAACCAAAAAAAATTGTTGTAAATTCAATTTAAGCCTTCTATTTTTATTTTTATTAGTTAAATTACAACTTTCTCATTCATTCCAAACGAAATTACTCTTATTCTATCTAAAATGGGAGAAGGTATGGAGTAATGCAAGCATGTTTCTTCAATTATTATAACATAAACAAATTAGAAAAAAAAATCAAATAATCTGTAGCCATAGAAGAAAAAAAGTCAAAATAACTGGTAGACCTCTTCAGCATCAACAGTTTCATTTGCTTACCAAAAAAAAACAAAAAAAAAAAAAAAAAAAAAAAAAACATTGCAACGGTCCAATTGCCGCCAATGGAAGGGGGTATATCTTCTTATGTGGGACATGTTGATGTTGAACAAAATCCAAGTTAAAATAATATGAAAAGTTATCATTATCACGTAAATCACACGTATTAGAGGAAAAGTGTGATTTGCTCGTAATTAGGAGCTTAAGCTTAACACTTATGAGTTTGTGGTTCCTTCTTTTTATCTTAATTTGTAAATAAATAATTTGAATTAACTGTATGTTATCTTTCATCTTAAGATGTGTGTTATGTATAATCCATCATCCTTCATAAATGTGTAAATAATTTCTAACCGTTGATGAATGAAAAACTTACGAGGCATCGTTTCGCATTAATCACTGGTTTCAATGTCAATTCTTACAAAAGAAAAAAAGATTGCTTATTTATTAAAAAAGAAGGGAAAGAAAGTCTTTGTGGGGGCAATTGGCAAGTGGGCCTAGAAATAGTATTATATGAAGGCCACCGAGAGTCCAGCAGTGGAGGTGCTTCTTTCGGTTGGCAAATGTAAACCTGCCGTCTATTTGCTGAACTTTCTTTAACCCACCAAAGTCACACACACAAAACAAAAAGGGAAATATGCTGGTGTAATCAGGTTTTAGAAATAGTGTGCTGAAATGATCAGGCTACAAATTGTGTTCTAATATAATCACTTGGGGACGTGAAATGACCAAACTACCCTTCATATAAAAACATATCTATTGGGGAGTTATTGGCCATTGATTGGTGACCGAAAAATTCTGACCTCGCTCTCTGCGTTCTCTCTTCCTCTCTCAGCGTTTTATCTCTCCACCGTCGCTCCATGACCACCACCACTCTGTTTCTCCCACTCTCTCGAAATCCATCCCTGTGTCAATTTCTTAACAAAAAAACTCAATCTTTATCCCCTATCTAGGGTTATCTGGTCTTACAAGTCCAACCTAGAAAAATAAAAGCTTAGCCAAAGCCTTGAATACATGTCCTTTAAGTTTTATCCTTTATATTTTCTTTCCTGAGAAGAAATAATGGACACAATGGACGAAATCAGAGTCGATTTTCTGCCTTCTGATAGCATTTACTTCATTGTGGGAATCATTAACAAGAAGCTCGATGTGAATCAGTTCCAAAATGTCCATTCTTGCCGCAGTGGGCTATCGGATTTTTGTCTAGGATTGTTGAAACGGGGCATCCAGGTATTTATTTATAACCTTTCTATTCTGATTACATTTGGACCTTTGCGTTTCTATTTTTATTGAAATCATTTTGTGAGCTTTTCAATATGTGTGTTTCTTTTGGGATTCTTTCAATTGTTTGTTTCTGGGTTGTTGTTCTATTGGTCCTGTTCTCACGTAGATGAGCAATTGCATATGGATTTATAGTGCTGGAGCTAAATAAGATATATTAAAGTATATTTTAAATCTTGGAGTGGTCTTCTTTATTAAAAAAGGATCAGTTTTCTTTGTAAAGATTCCCCCTTTGTTTATGTGTATATATGTGCACACATACAGCTCTTGATATTTATCAGAGGTTTATTTCAATTCCTGGATAATAAGGTACCTGTTTCCACAGCTGAAATTGCACTCAAAAATCTTGGAGGAAGATTAACTGCTATAAATCAGGTAAACATGTAACAAGAAATGCAATCCTTGAACCTAGCTAATAGAATTCTTTTGTGAGTTAGCTTTGATATTTTAAGCAAGAAATTGATGTGGGTTAGTTCAGCAACAAACTATATGGGTTTGGATTGGATCATATCTAACTTTGTCTTCTGCTTATTTTATAGTTAATGATCATTTTTGGAGTGTCCATTTCCTTCAAAAATGGGGTACTAGAAAGCTAGAGGGCTTTAGCATTCATAGGTGATTTACTTAGACAGACTCTGCTTTTGAATACTTATCTAATATATTAGTAGAGTGCTCATTTGTGTGGTGATTGCAGGACTAGTTCCCTGTGTAGTGACCATTTTCGGTCTCTTTTTCATTCCCGAGTCTCCAAGATGGTTGGTAAGAAATACTTTTCTTTTTCTGTTTGTAGTTATATTGTTCGTGATCTTGATGGTACTGGAAACAAAAGGGAAAACCCTGAAACAAATCCAAGGAGACATTAATAAATAGAGAAGTGAAGGGAGAGTTAAAAAAGAAAAGAAATGAAGAGCTTTTTTTGTGGTCATTCGTTGTCGTTGAAAATTTTGACAGCACAGTGCATCACATTGGTTGATGGAATCTTGAGAGAGGTTTCCAAACCACAAAAATATTGTACTGCTACTGTTTACCCCACAAAATCATTGTCCCTACTTCCTTTTCATTTGTTGCAATGACTGTTTGGCATTGATTGGTTTATTTATTTTGCTTTTGTTTTTGCGTCTGGTACTGTATTCATGTCCTTGCTTGCTGGTTCCCTTTTTGGGGTTTTCAAAGGTGTAGCTTTGGTGGTTTTCAATGCCACTGCTAGTGCATCTTCTTCTTATTTCTTGTCAAAGTTGATAGGGAGGCACATTGTCTTCTCTATTAGGTCTGACAAGCTGCAGTTTTTCCAAAACCCGGTAAATTCAAATTATCCATATCTCTCATTGATAGGGCTCTCTCTCTCTCTCTCTCTCTCTCTCTCTCTCTCTCTCTCTCTCTACTTAAGTAGCTATCAAATGGTCAACAGTGAACGTTAAATACTGCACCATCATCACCCTCTTCACCAACCCACTTTGCTCGCTGCATTTTTTGTACAAAAGCTCCATGGTTCGTGTAAGTTCTCATTGCTTCTTTGATCGATTTGCTTCGAGTTAGCTCAAAAAACTTAAACTGCAATGCTTCTAATTCTACCTTGAAAGATTGGAATGAAATGAGCAAGTTTCTCGGCGGTTGGCCCCCAATTCTGGAACTAATTATCTGGGATTAGTTCACTGCTAAAAAACTACATGTTTTCCTCATTGCCCTTTCTTGTTAATTTGTTTGTGCAGCTGGTTGGCTTCTAATCCACTAGTTAATTGATCATTGAAATGGCACAAGAAGTTGTAAATTCAGATGAGGTAATCTCCTTGTGCATTTATAATTGCACCAACCTTTCTTTTGATTTTTCTGTTTTTAGTTTTCTTCCTGCAAACATGATAACTGTCTGCTAATTAGTAATTACCATATGGGTGTTTATGTAATCTTTTAGGTTGTTCTTGGAGAAGAAATAGACCATGTGAGGTTGATCACCTTGAACAGGCCTCGTCATTTGAATGTCATCTCATCAAAAGTCGTATGCTCACAAAGTCAACTAGTTTTGTTTAAGTTCTTAATTCACTTTCTTTTTTTTGGTTCTTAATTCACTTTTTTTTCACTGCAATCAGGTTTCTTCGCTAGCAGAATACTTGGGAAAGTGGGAAAAAGATGATAAAGCTAAGCTTGTAATTATCAAAGGTTACTTCCAATTTTTCCTGAAATCTTGAACTAGCATTGGTGGTCGTGGTTTAATAGATCAATGCACAACTTCGGTGAAGTCTTCAATTCCATATAGAGCCATTTAGATATTAGCTACTTGATATGCTTTGGTGTTCTTGTATAGGGATCGGGTCGAGCTTTTTCAGCTGGTGGGGACTTGAAGATGTTCTATGATGGCAGGAACTCAAGTAAATGCTTTCTCTTGTGAAAATATTTAAGTTCCTAATATATACAGAAAGTGAAGTTGCTCATGAACCTTCTTTGGCAGAGGATTCCTGCCTTGAAGTGGCTTACAGAATGTATTGGCTTGGCTATCACATTCATACTTATAAGAAAAACCCAGGTAATGCTTGAAATAAAGTAATCCTATCGCCTGTGTTTTCCATTCGAAAATGAGTTCCCTGTAGACTGTATGATTCCAAGTTTATGCCACTATTTAAGGGTATCACTAAAGAATTCATGTTATCAATAGGTGGCTCTGGTCCATGGAATTTCAATGGTTGGAGGCGCATCTTTAATGGTCCCAATGAAGTTCTCGGTAGTCACAGAAAAAACTGTGAGTATGAATATGATCCTAGTGGGATGTTTATAGAAACATGTCTATCTTTAGTGTTTTCTGGCTTGATATCTATCTCTGCATAATAACATCAAAATTTTCTGTGGTGTATTTCATGATAGGTATTTGCATCTCCGGAAGCTAGTATTGGCTTTCATACTGATTGTGGTTTCTCATATGTATCCCATCTTCCTGGGCATCTCGGTAAGCATGCAAATATATAGGAAAATAGTTTTTCCTGGATTTTACTGAAATTGATTGGTATCGTGTGGGGAACGCAGGGGAGTTCTTTGCCTTAACAGGAGCAAGACTGAATGGTAAGGAATTGGTTGCAGCTGGATTGGCAAACCATTTTGTCCCTCTTGAGGTGATTTTCTCATTCCTTCCCTATAATTTTCTTCCTCTGAAACCAAGTCTCGGAAGTATTAGCTCACAAGATTTGCCCCTCTAAGTGATCTGCAAAGCTAAGAGACTGCATTATACACATCCATTATTATTAGATTCTTTGATATAATTCTTCTTCATAGTTACTATGTCAAACTAAAATTTGCTATTGAACTGTTTTTGTTCATCAGAAATTATCTGATCTAGAGAAGCGTTTGATAAGCTTAAACTCTGGAGATGAGAATGCAGTCAAAGCTGCGATTGAAGAATTTGCAGTGGAAGTCCAGCCCGATGAAGAAAGTGTTTTAAACAAGTAATAAATCTTAGTTGCTGGTGTTTAATTGTTAATTCCACTTCAAACCTTAACATTAACATGCAAAGCTCCATATCTCGATCTCAATAACCTTTCCTTACCTTTCAGGCAGTCAATAATTGATGAGTGCTTCTCCAAAGATACATCACAGGATAAGGAAAGGTCTGATACCAGCTGGTTATGTCACTGTCAGGGTATGTGTCTTTCACTTCTATGAAATAATTTTGTTAAATTATGAAGTTCAATTTTGGTCTCAGAACATCACAAGGAATTATCATAACTATACTCAAATCTTGAAGGATTCTATGCTCAAATGAACCAAAATAAAAATCACTATCCAAAAATAGATATGATTGTTATTTTTTGAATAGAGGCCTAATCTATGAAGGACAATTATATTTGTGATTTATCTGAGTTCTCTGGTGTTACTGGTTATGCCTATGCATCTTTGACTCTGTTTTTTCCCTCAGGTCGGATTAGCTCTTGGAGAGTTGCGAAAGGAAAATAATTTCCTAAGAAGTCTTTGGCCAGTAACTAATCCACCTTCAAGTCAAAAACATCTTTTACATCCTCAACTTTTACAAAAGCCTCTCCGCCCATTCCTTGCTTGAGGCTATTTTGATGTTGCAGGAGTGTAAAACGTGATTCCATTAAGGACGTCGTGTCCTTTTTGTAATATGTTATAGATTATGAATATATAGTGGGAATGTGGAGTTTTTGTATTGCCATTGTATTGCTTCCGTATTGCATTTGTATTGTCATCATATTGTCATTGTAGTGTTGTGGTATTGCCTGGTTATTGCACTTATATTTGTTTCTTGTCACTAATTTTTTCAAGTCTGTCTTGTGAAGGAACTTATAAGGATATTTTGTAAAAGAAAACGCTTGATTGTGTAAGTTTATTTTGTAAAGGAAAATGCTGGATCATTATTCATTATCATATAAATAAGGTACAAGAAGCACCGTATATGCATCTCTTCAATATGATTGATTTGTGTTCAGCTATTGGTGTAAGAATGTGATTCCACTATTGCTTATTTATTTATTATTTATTATTTATTATTGTAAGAATGTGATTCCATTAATGACGTCACATCCTTTTAATAAATCAAACTCATAGTTGCTTCCCCTGCAAGAAATTATATTAATTAAGAAAACCAACCAAAAAGCAATACAAAAGCAATACGAAAGTAATGGCACATAAATTATGAAGTGGTAACAGACATGCAATACAAAAACAATACGGTAGCAATAAACGAGCAATACAGTGACAATAGACAAGCAATACAAAAACAATACGGTAGCAATAAACGAGCAATACAGTGACAATAGACAAGCAATAATAAGGCAATAAAAATACAATAAACAAGTTGGGGGCTTTTCTTTTTCTTGTGCAATTTGAAAAGCGAAGGGGAAAGAAACAGAAATTGTCAAGATAAAACTGCAAAAAGAAATAGAAAGTGATTATATCAGACATTTCCCCTTACAAAATTCTATACCGATAATGATAGCCACCCCAAGCTAAGGACGGCTCGGCATAAATTAATACAACTTCAGTCAGACTATGGCATTATACATATCCCTTGAAATACAATATACAAATTGCTGGCTCAAAGAAGAGTAACAAAATTTTGATTCCAAATCCAGCATTTCAGTACAAATTGATGACTATAATGTCTGCGTCCATCTTGAAGATGAAATTCTTTCCACCATCTTGGAGGCCTGACATAATGCTCTTTGATAGTCACCCACCCTTCTTAAAAAAAGTTCGTCTTTCCTCTGCAGGAAAAAAAGAAAAACCAAGATCAAGATCAATTGTCCTCCAAAAATATAGCTTAATTCTACAGAAGATACTAGAGATGATTTGAGGCCATTAATACTCGAGGGCTGTCCTTCAAGCTTAAGTAATTCATCATGCATCTGATCCATAATGAAGCTAAGGGAACTCCTGAGCATCTTCTTGTCTGAAAAACAAAAATAGTTTCAATAGGCAACTTAAAATAGAAAGTAGAATATAGACCTGCTGCCATAAATATTTACACCAGACAGAGAAGAAACTAAACAATACAAATTTAATCCTTTGGTAATTACTCTTGAAGTGTTCTAGGTTTCTTCTTTCCTTGGTCCATGAAAATATTGGTGAACTCAGAATAATACAGAAGATTGTTAACCTATTTGTTACAACATTTTACTAATCACAAGTTAACTTCTAAAATATCTTAGTCTAACCCATTATTTCACATTAAATGGGTTGCAACAGGTGTAATACACCACAAACAGATAAATAAATTGGAAAAAAGTGTAGCATGTTTTCAGAAAATAAACAATTTAAGTGGAGACATTGTAACTGCAGGCATTTTAGTCATGAGCTATGTCAGGCAGTAGCACTTTTTCAAGCCATCAGACAAATTGTAAAGCATGAGAATTATCAATCAAGCCTAATAATACTGAAGGAAAACCATTACCGATCATACAAGATTTATGAGAATCACAAAGTAACAATATAAGGACAGAAAGGAAACAGTGCATAAGGGATTTAAAAGAAAAAAAGTGGCAGCGAAGGACAACTTTTGTGACTACAAATAGATGCATGTGTCTAAATATTTTTCCAATGATCGTGCCTTACAATTTCAGCCAGCAATACCATCAAGGATTACATTTGCAATAAGAAGGCTCAACATAGAAATAAAAAATACAAAAAGACAAAACCTAGAACGGAAAATTATTGACCCATATCAGATACCTGCCCGAGATGCTAGTTGGTACATCTGGAGTAAAAATTTAAAAACGCCTTCAAACATGGCAGGGCTAAAAGCCCTACCAGTCTCAAGAACACTTGCATCTTTGTTCTTTCAACTTGAACCACTAGGCATGTCAAATTCAGATACGAACTCTGCAAATCCACCCAATGTTGGATAGCCAACCTAATAAAATCAAATTCAAATGAACATATTAGTTAAGTGATTAGCCAGAAAAGAACAAGCATTAGGGAAGGCAGCTTCCTATTTTCTGAGATCAGCAGTCTATATAAATTTTGTTATTTGCAAATAGCAATTCTACTAAAACCACGTAAATGCAAATTATCGAATAAACAAAAGAAACCTTAGGCACTTTGCGAGTTCTCAATTCCTGCAGAAGCTGAACAAAAGGAGAACATATGACAATCCTAGATGGCAAATAGCAAATTGAGGCACTTCGTCATCCATATAGCAAAATCAATCAGACCAATAGAAGTTTCATCCAAGCATGAAGTAATTCAAAGTTAAAATACAGAAATTTCCAATCTCTCTAATTACTAAACTTCACAAAATCAGTCACAGGTTAGTGAAATTATCCTTCTCAAATGAAAACCATACAAAAAGACAAACTAGTCAATAACAAATACAAAACCCACCTTAGAATCACTCGTTTGGCGCACATAACCGAATTGGAAATCCCAGAAACACCTAAAGAAAAGCATGAATCACTTGCTTGGATGCGCGACAAAAGCATTTTCAGTGTCTCGTAAGTCATGAAGACAATGCCTACACTGGGGACAACCTTGTAATATTCTGGCAGAATCCCTCTATACAAGCCCCGTAGGCCTTCAGTTCGGATTATGTGCTTAAAAGTCCCAACTAAGCCGGTATTATAGATGCGAGCTCGACCACCAGCCCCTTCCAACTGCATCCTTCGCCTCACAACATCCAGAGGGAATGTTGCTGAAATAACAAATAGACCAAAAGATAATCACACAGAAGAACAATAAATCTGAAATTCTTATTGCTAGATCCTAAACAAATCAATTGGAAGTCCTAACATAGTTTGCCATCTATCTGTGTCTGAAAACTATACAAGATTTAATTTGTATATAAGTTTTTGTTAATTTGTAAAGTATTTTTCCTTGTGAAAATAAATCCTCCACTATGCATCATGTCACAATTTTCTGTTATAGCGATCCATCTTTTGATGGTCCAAACTAGCACCAAATGTCACATATCAGTTACCTGTTGATGAGGCAATGCCTGAAAGACTGCCGCAGGCAAGACTGACCATTACAGTCGAATCATTGGGCCTGATATAAGAAGAATTGAAAACTACAATATTACAACTCAAACGAATAGAGGGACAATAAACATCACTTTAAAAAATTCAGCCCCAAATCAACCAATTATGCAGTATTCACCTTTCAGACTGCCAAAAAGACCTCAAAGCCTCATAAACTGAGAAGCTTATTGCTATACTGGGCCCAACACCCTGTGCCACAGGAATAAACCAAATGGAAATTAGTGTTAACAAAATAAAGCAACGAAGAATGTGCAGGTTCATAATAAAGCATACCAACAGTGTCGCTCCAAGTCCTTTATACAATCCCAAAAAACCTTCTTCTCTACAAATTGTATGAAATGCATGCCCAATACCTCTGTAGTATAGTGCATTTCTCTACAAAATTTGAATACACTAATAAAAATCAAACTGAAAAAATACAATGGATGGATAGTTATAAATCATACCTAAGACCAAATTTAATGAACAAGTACTGCAATATCTGAGAAGTATGTGAAAAAGTCGGAACCGAAACCAAGAATTAGGGTTTTTTGAGGTCCTGAAGGAGCAGAGGAGAAGAGAAAGAAGTTGATTGAAGACATGAAAAGAGAGGGAACTGAGAGATTGTTGAAGGGAGAGAGCATTTAACGAAGAAACCCTCCCTTTCACCTTCAAGAACCCCCTCAACAAACCTTAACATTGACTGCAGAGAGAGAACAAGAGAGTGCTACTTAGGTTTTCGCTACAGAGGGAGAAAGAGAGTGGTAGTGGTCGATGGAGAGAAATCACTGAGAGAGGAAGAGAGAACCGTGAGAGAGAGAAGTCAGAAGTGTTAGGGTTGATACATCTGCTTTTATATGGAGGGCACTTTGGTCATTTCACATCCCCAAGTGATTATATTAGAATACAATTTGTAGCCTGATCATTTCAGCACACTATTTCTAAAAGCTGATTACACCAGCTTATTTCCCAAACAAAAACCGCAAAAACTAATAACATAAAATATCTAGGGAAGGGAGGGACGTGGCAATACACAATTGGCGAAAGCAGAAAAACAAAAACAAAAGGAGATTTGAAAAAGACATGAAAATCTACATATATATGCCAATTGCCAGCACCCAAAAAAAATTGTGTTTAGCGATTTATTTAGAATGCTGCTATTTTCCCTCACGTTTTTTATTTTCCCGCCCACCTCATCATTGTGGGATTTGAATTCATTTATTTGCGGTGGAATTAGCAAAACTTTTTATTTATTAAGACAATCCTTGACCTTTAGTCTAAAAGTCAGAACACAAGTCTTGAATACCCTCCCATAAGTTTGTCAGTGTTGGGCTGACTTTTGAACCAGGCCCACACATTCTTGAAACTCAGAGTATGCAAATCAGGCCTGAAACAGTAAAAGTCCATTTATGCGATTCTAAAAAAACTGGCTAAGCCCAAAATTTGCTTGAAATTTTGACTCCGTAACCTTGCTGAGTGCGTCTTTCGTAATGTGATGAATTTCATTATATATATTTTTTGGAATAAAATTGACTCCGTAAAACTAAGAAGGGGCTTATCCTCAAAATAAATGGACTATGATCAAATTTGGAACCCCTGGAGGCTACCGACCGACCCCATTGTTCCTCCCTGTGGTAATGTGACTGAAATTCACATTACAAACATATGTCAATGCTTTTTCGAGTAATGGCAAATAAGTTAATTCTTAATCCATAAATTTTTAAATAGAACCAAACTCATCCTTAAGGTTTCACCTAATTTTTTAGTTATTACAATTATGTCTTTAAATTCCAAATTTTGCGTATAATATCTAACTTAGAGAGCAAAATCACACTAAGGGCTCGTTTGGTACGTCTGACTATACTGACTAATTTCTGTCGGATAGTATTAATTTGTTTCAGAGAGTATTGACTGTTTAACCATAATATTATAAGGCATTTTGTGTTTGGTGCTTCGTTGAATTATAATAGATCAGACTATTTTTTCAAAAAAATATTCTTTAATAATTTAAGTGAAAATTGAAAGTCATTTGACATAAAAAAATATTTGGGCAAGATTTATATAACAAGATTTTCTTTTTCTTTTGTTTTTGCCAAAATCTATAAGACAAGATTACATGAATTAACGTTTGAGAGTCAAAGAAAGAGGATGACTTAGAAAGAACAATTTTTATTGTAAATTTCAGTTTTTTCAAAAACTTACAAATATAATAAAAAAAAACTCAAATGAATAGACTCAAATACCCTAAGTTAACGCCCTTGAGAGATACTGATCTTTCCAACCCAGTGCCCCTGTGCTACCAGATGGATGGATCTTCCGAAAAGAAAGAAAAACCAAAATTGCTTGCACTCGAAGACCGTATATAATTAATAAAGTACGATTGATTTGAAATTTGCTTCCAACGTTTTGATCTGTTGTGGTCGAGTCATCTCAGTGAGGGAAAGAGTGTGGTTCTCCTGGGGTAGGTAATGTAGCTCGGAAAGACAGAGTGGATGGCTGGAAGAAGATGAAGCACGAGAAGATTGTTATTCGAATGAGCACTGGCCAAGCTACTTCAGATCCGATGTGCGACGACTCTTCATCATGGGTTCTGTCTTTATTGAATTTTCTTTTTCTTTGCAGTTATAAATATCCTGCTTTTGTCAAGACACAGAATAGCCATAGAACTTGGTAAAATCCTGACATCCTTTTCTGTCTGGGGTTCAAAATTTGTAGGTATAGCGCTCTTGAGATTTTCAGGTTTCTGGGTGGCTTTATTTATTTATTTTATTTTATTTTATTTTATTTTCTCTTTTTGGCTACTTCCGCTTCATGGGTGATCTTAAGATAATGCAACTTGTAAGAAACTTAAGATAATTGTAAACTAGTGGACGACCTATTAAATATTACTGTTATATATTTCCATTCCAACAGTTTCACTTCTGAATTTTCTTTTCAAATGTCGAAGGGACTTGAACATCAGCTTTACTTGTGTTAGGGGTATTCGAAGCAATATTGGGGAGGGGGGAATCAAAATAAAATCTCAGATGAATGCTTTTAATCACTTGAACTACAAATTCTTTGTATGAGTTTTCAAATGTGAACCAAAATTTCAGTGAGTATTATTAGTAGCCCGCCGCATATTTACACCTATAAATCATTGTTGGCTTGCGTATTGAAGAATTTCTTCAAGCTATTCAAATGTGGTCTAATATTACTTCTAACATTTTTCTTCTCTTCATGTGAATGCATTCACAAATTTGGTTTTCATGTTCATGCACGTACATCAAGCTTATTGTCAACTGTTTATAAAGCAATTATAATTACAGCAAATTTATATATATATATATATGGAAGCCATTGATCTCCATAGGAAATGTCGTCGCTATCTTAGCTGGTTCTTTAGTCTTCAACTTGCTTAGCTCTTAATCAAGTCAACTCCTTTCCTTTGCCAGAAAATCACCAGCAGCCGTTGATATTGACTACTTCTTTGTTTCTACTCTTGCACGAGGATCCCTAGAATCAAATGAATGGAGAGCTGTAACGAAAGTCAAAGTCAATACAGTTAGGATCTGGTGTGTTTTAGCCGAGGAGCTTCACCTATACTCTCAAATCAGTTAGTGCTCCGTCAAGAGAAAACCTTTAAGCCAACAAAATAAAGCACTCTGCAATTCTATTCGGTCTAGCTTTAATACTTTTTGGTCTCATGTGAGCTCGAACTCACCTGATCTCCACCAATGGAGTAGACATTTCCAGCCGACCCAACTCCTTAAAACACGCCACGTGGCATTATTGGCCAGGAAGAGCTCCATAAGTCAAAGCCCTTAATCTAAGGGTCAGAACCCAACCCACTATCACTAAGGTTCATATTAATTCCTAAGTACTTACATCATATGTGCCTCTTCCCATATTGCTCCTTGGTGCTCGGTCAGCTCACCATGGCTAGCTCCATAGTACTGTTGTTGCTCCTCATTGCTCTAGCTCTTCTATCTGTATCCGCTAATCGTGAGTAACACATTTACTAATTACGTTATTTGTACTATACTTATATATGATATGATCACATCTCTCGTAAGTATTGCAATATATGTGATCAGTAAGTATACTACAAATGACATTACAATAATTTTCATTTATCATGCGCCCTTATCATATCTCCTGTGAATTTCTTGAGAGAGATGTAATCAATAATAGGGCTAGCAATAACCCTACTTTTTTGTGCTTAATTATCATTCTTACGTGAATGCATGCGTTATATCCAAACTAATTTCTATTTTTTGCTACATTTGCAGTTGTTAGCATCGATTGTGGGTCATCGGATTCCTACACAGATGAAAATTCAATAAAATGGGTAGGAGACGACGACTTTGTTCAAAATGGCAAGTCTCAAGTGGTGCAAACCACCAATGGAGTGTCTCATGTAATGGGCACCTTGAGGGTGTTTTCAACTAGGAAAAAAAACTGTTACTCCATCAAAGCAGAAAAGGGCTCTCAATTTCTTGTGCGTGCAAGTTTTTATTATGGAAACTACGACAAAAAGTCAGCTCCTCCTAGCTTTGATCTTCAATTGGATGGAAACTATTGGAACACCATTCAAACTTCAGCTGAAGGTGTTGTGTATGATGAAGTTATATATATCACGAAAGGTGATTCTATAGAGCTTTGTCTTGCTCAGACGCAGCCTAACCAGCTTCCGTTCATATCGGCAATTGAGATCCGGGGCTTGGCCTCGGAAATGTACAACCATGTTGATTCGGAATATGCCATGCTTCTCACAAGAAGGGTTGCTTATGGTGCAACTGAAGCTATAAGGTATATATGCTATGCTACTCACCTACTTTCTCTTTGCCTTCTTAGAAAGAGTGTATTACCAAAGTGGGACGTTTCTTTTTCCCTCTTTTTTGTTTTGCCTTGATAAAGAGTGAAATGTTATAAGGGTTAAAAGCGTTTTTCAGATGAGCAAAAGCTCCTAATGAGTTATTAAAGCACTTTTTATTGCTTTCTAGAAAAGCACATACTGTACTTAGTTCTTTTAGGAAATTCTTATAAATGTTTTTTTTTAATTTTTTTAATAATAAACTACTTGCATTTTAATTAAAATTTCAACGTGCTTCTAACAAAAGCGGTTTTAGTAAGCATTTTGACGCCTTTCTTTTTGTTTTATGTAGATGTTATAAATTTTTAACGAGTACAATATGCAAATTAAGGACCTTCAGATTATTGGTCAGGGTAAAGCTTTTGTAAACATGGTACTTAAATGCTATATTCAATCCCTCAATCCAATTCTCAATTGACTTGGCCAAACTTTAAGTCAACTTAACCCAAGCTTAAGAATTGACGTGGTGCACAAATTTCTCTCCACATTGTGCGATCACTAACCTAATATTCTGGAATTCTTTGTTATTTCAAGCTGACTTTAATTTCCTTATATTAAATATTTCAGGTATCCAAGTGATGATTTTGATAGGATTTGGGATGCAGTGGAGGTTGGCAATGGACTAGTAAAAGTCACAACTGATGCACAAACTATTGATACATCTGTGCCTGATGAGCCTCCTGTAGCTGCTTTCCAGTACGGAATAACAACCTCAAAAACATCTGAAGCAATACTTCTGGTCACTGATCTTCCACCCGTTGAAGTTCCCATCTACATCATCATGTACTTCTCCGAAGTAAACGAACTTGATTCGACCCAAACCCGATCCTTCGAGATCTACATCAACGGCAAGTCTCACTTCGACCCCATTGTTCCAGTCTATGGAAGTGTCGTTGAGATGTCCATTACCAACATAAGTGCTTCTTCAAACACTTCCTTCTCTTTGGTGGCTACTTCGGACTCGACGCTTCCTCCTTTGATCAATGCCATGGAAGTTTATTATGTCAGCGGTCCGATCACGGATGGAACTGAGAGCAAAGATGGTTGGTAATCTAGTCCTTAATTTTTTTTATTATATCTTACACACACACATACAAAATTATGATGCTGTAGGGATTTAATCTTGAGACCTCTAGTTTATAAGTCAAAACCCTTTTGTACCGAGCTAACTAGATGTTAAATTAAAAATAATGATAATTTTTCCCTTGTGGCTTTGCTTTTGATCTATCAGTAGCAGGTTTAGCTACGTTGCAAGATAAGTTTAGCATACTGCAGGAATGGACTGGTGACCCATGCCTCCCGTCCCCATTCACATGGGATTGGGTCAATTGTTCATCTGACGGCACACCCCGCGTCACAGCACTGTAATTATTTATTATTTACTTAATTTTTTGCTCAATTAAAGTTTTTTGTCTTATTTTTTCATATTAATAAAATATATTTATTATAATTTGTAATGCATTTGAAACCTTCAGCTATCTGAGTGGCTTTGGTCTCTCTGGGCAACTCCCAGAATTCAGCTCCTTGGATGCTCTTCAGACAATGTAAGTTGCATAGGAAAATAAATAAATTGTAAATTGTAGAAAACCTATTTTATTTTTTTTGTTACAAAATTCTAATTATGTCACTTTTGAATTATTTTTTGAAATGCAGAGACTTGCACAACAACAGCTTGAGTGGATCCATTCCTGATTTTCTTGGCACCTTACCTAATCTAAAACAATTGTGAGCTTTTCCTAGAAAATTTCTCCTGGCATATGATATTCCATCTAATTAATTTCTGCATAATTAACCAGAAATTTTGTCCATCTATTAGGAATTTGGCAGACAATAAACTCAGTGGACCCATACCAACCACAATTTCAAACAATAAGAAGCTGAAGTTAGTGTAAGTATAAGCTCAGGTTTTTTTTATAGGACATTTTTTATTGAGAGAGGCGACAACCATTCTAAACTCACACACACTACACAGATGTTAGGACTCGAACTCAGGACTTTTCTTGGGGGAACGATTGCGTCCTTTATAATTTGGTGCATATTATATATTTTTCTCTATTCTTTTATTATTTGCTTTGTATTCTCAAATTTGGATTTTTTTTTTAAATTATTTTTAAAATATTTATTTTTTGCTTTTTTGGGGGAAAAAGGTCATCAGGCAACCCTAATCTGTGTGCCTCTGGTGGGTCCTGTAAGACAATAGTTGATAACAGTGGAGGCCCTTCTTCTGGTAGCAGCAGCAAGAAGAAAAGCAGCAAGCTACCATTAATTCTTGGAATTGCAATTCCAGCTTTCTTTGTTTTCTGGGTTATTGTGGTGATCTTTGTCTGCTCTATGAACCAAAGTAAAAGGAGAAGAGCAGCTGCCATAGCAGCAACCAATGCAGGTCAGCACACAACCTATAATCTCTATTAAATTGCATGTGTATTTGCATAGCTTTTGTAACACGTTATTTTTAACTAGACCGCGCATGTCATTCAACTTATCACGTTAAAATTAAGTTTCCGTCTACATTTTTCTCAGTAATGTCTGGTATTGTGACACATATTTTTGTGCATTTTAGGACAAAACGGTGGGGCCAATATGCCTAATGGCCTACCACCACAAGGAGCACCAATGAACCCACAGATGTTGGGTAAATTTGGAGAAGTTATGATGAATCAGTTTGCAGGCGATGATGAAGACCGAGGAACACCAGAGCAAGGAACACCTGAGCAAATAAGAAATCAACAGGTTGAAGAAAGGCCACTACAGTATTGAGTTGCTCAAGTTCCCTTTTGTTTATGTAGTTGTTATTGAGCCAAAATTGTATTCATGATTAGTTGTGTTTGAAATTTCTTATATATGTTTTCCCCCCATGATCCACAACAACTATCAAATAAATTTGCATTTCACAAGCTGCAAGCACGATGCTAGAATTTCTGAACGTTGCTCTCACCATGTTCTTCACAAATTATTACAAATCAAAAAAATTGAAAAGAATTTCTGGTTGGTTTTTGCCGAAACTGCAAAGTCTTGGTCAGCTGAAAAATCTGGTTATATCAGTCCAAATACCCTGCTTCTCTCTAATAAATTTAACAACCTTAAAAGAGTAACATTGAAATTTCTCTATCATGATCACAGGATATCCCCCAATGATGTCTTTATATAACCAAGTCTGTATACCGCAAAAACAAAAAGCAGAGTCAGTCAATTGCACAATGTTTGTGTGAAAGAAACTAAAAAAGACCTGCGTACAAAAACACAAGCCAATTGTTTCAAAGATGTTACGATTATCGGTAAAGTTATATCTACTACTCAACATTGTCACATGATGGATTAAGAGATAACAGATATAACACATCCACGGTTGTCAGAGGTGGAAGAGCTTCAATGTTTATTGGGATGGTCAGAAGATCTGTTCAACTTTAACTGAGGCAAATTCAGTTCATAATTCTCTTTTTGCATCAATGGCAACAATGCAGGATCTACTTTATCTTTACCCAATAGTTCAACTATCAATTCTGTAGTCCATGCATCTGCTGAGAAACCCTTCTCCACCATTTGTTGAATAAGTCCTGTCACCCTTACTGTCTCATTGTTATTGATAAACCCTCGAATAATTATGTTATACGTACAATCATTTGGAGGACAACCTTTCTCTTCCATTTCAGTAAGCAGCTTTTCTGCTTCACTTGTTCGGCCCCCAATACAGAGTCCATTAATCATTATGGTATATGTCCTTACATCTGGTTGAAGCCCTCTTGATGATAAACCACAAAAGAGTTCCCTTGCGGATTCAATTTTTTCAGCTATGCACAAACCTTCAATAAGAATAGTGTAAATCACAATATTTACATCAACTTCTTGCCTTCCATCTCTTTAAACAGTTGGATTGCGGTAGAAAGTTTTCGGTTTTTACACAGGCCATCCAGTAGAATAGCATAAGTTTGAACATTTGGAAGTTGGCCACAAGCTTGCACCTCAGAGAACAACTTTTGTGCATCACCTAATTTCCCCACTTTGCAACAACCATCCACAAGAGTGTTATAAGTAACAGTATTTGGAACTAGTCCCTTACGAGACATTTCCTGAAGAAGTGTCATGGCCTTATCCGTCATCTTATGCTTACAATATCCATTTATCAATGTGTTGTAACTAACAACATTAACCATCGAGCCCTTGCTAAGCATTAGTTTAAAAACTTTTCTAGCCTTGCTCATTTCTCCTCGCAAACTGTAACCATCCATAAGTGAATTGTATGTAACGGTATCAGGTTGAATATCCCTTTCAATCATCATTTCGACCATGCCTTCTGCTTCCCCAACCATCCCCTCCTTACAAAGTGTGTCTACCAAGACATTGAACGTGCACACATTTGGAAAGATGTTTTTACTCACCATTTCATTCAACAACCTTGTAGCTTCTTTCCACTCGCCTAATTTGCAAACTCCAAGAATCAAGGATGTATAGGTAATGACATTTGGGGCAATACCCTTGCACATCATTTCTGAGAAGAGCTTTAATGCATCATCAACTAGTGTATCCTTACAAAGACTGTCGATGATTGTGCTATAGACAACTAGGTCAGGCTTGGGTTTCAAAAATTGAAACTTGAAAATCAAAATTATTATTTTATATATGAAGAAAATATTAAATATTAATATATATATATATATATATATATAAAGCAAAAGGCAGAGAATGGTGAAACATTCAAAATACTATAAAATGTCCATGGTTAATCCAAACATTAAGAATTTAAGTTATTAATTAAATGAGGATAATATGGTAAATTCACACTTTTTCATATTTAAAAAATTAAAATTAAAAGAAAATCAGATAATGAATCCTATTTTTATCGAACACAACTACCCATTATCTTTTTTAATTCTAAAATAAATTTAAATTAAAAAAAAAGCCTCTTGCAGGCACGGAAGCGCTTGCAAAAGGCATAGAATTGTGAAACATTCAAAATGCCAGAAAATGCCATTTGTTAATGCAAACATTAAGAATTGAAATTATTAATTAAATGAGGACAATATGGTAAATTCACACTTTTTCATATTAAAAAAATTAAAATTAAAAGAAAAATCAGATAATTGATCCTATTTTTACGGAACACAATTACCCATTATCTTTTTTAATTCTAAAATAAATTTAAAATATAGAAAAAAAAGCCTCTCGCAGACGTGGAAGCGCGTGCAGAGAGGCTAGTATATTATTAGACAAAAGAAATAAACTTGAATTTAAGATATAATTATTCTAATATTATGTATCATTGTTTTCTAGAACAAATATAATTTAATAAATGGGCTTTAATGCATGCATGCCAAGAGTGTTGAAGAAGTCTGCTGTAACTTAGAAATTGGCTCCAGCATGGGCCTATACAAAATTGAAGACCAAATTTTTTACACCAAAAAGTCATGATTGAATTTTACACTTGAAGAAACTAAATGTTGAAGCATGATATTTTGGGTCTTTTAACAAGTGATTTTGTATTCCATGTTGAGAAGCTGGACACCCTTCGCTTGCCGCCAATGAGGGAGGAAGGGGGTACTTGCAAGAAAAAACTCCAACGCTCAAGTCAGTACTCGTTCATGAATATTGCAGTAGAATCAATTATACCTCCCTTTTTTTTTGCTGGATGATTAATTGGCCTCTTATAGGTATGAACCCTAGGACTCCAAATCCCATATCTCTTATTTTTCTCCATGTTCTATGGTAGTGGATATCATGTTATTTGATTCCCTCAACTCCCTCAATTTAGGGCTTTGTTACTTGGTTCTTAATTTTTGCTCCCACAATAAAACAAGTAACCATGAAAGCAACAATATATTACGAGCCTACTTTGAGAGTAATGCATCAGCTTCTGAAGCGATTCCTTTGAAATCAAATGAAATAAAGTCAAATACAGAGACAGCAAGAAGAAACGTGAAGACTGAAAAAGCAGTAAACTAATACTTCCATGATTCCATCTACCAGAGCAGAAGAATCGCTAGAAACTTATGAATTTAGATGACAAAAAGTTAACTGAGAATTTCTTTTAAGGTCCCCAAGTATGCCATCCAGAGCCTTAATACTAGAACCATACATGTTATTAAGCTTTCCCAGTCTTCTTCAAAGTTCTTCAGTAGCCTTCCAAAGCATGCCAAATAATTAGGTTGTATAGAGCACATCTGCCTTGGTAGATACAAAGGACTGCATATCCTCCTACATATCTTTCAATTGCTGCTCCTGTTGTGTCACTGCAACTGCGACAGTCTTATGCAAGATTTCAGGCTGTTGAGCTAAGTCGAACTGGAATTTATGGACAATTATTCTTTCCAATTGCAATTTCAATGTTTGCCATGATAATCAGATGATCTGTTTCAACTTTCAAAGAGGACAGTTAACTTCACAATTCTCTTTTCTTCAATGGCAACAATGCGAGATCTACTTTACCTTTGGATAATAAATCAACTATCAATTCTGTAGTCCAGACATCTGCTGAGAAACCCCTCTCCACCATTTGTTGAATAAGTCCTGTCACCCTTACTGTCTCATTGTTATTGATGAACCCTCGAATAATTATGTTATATGTACAATCATTTGGAGGACAACCTTTCTCTTCCATTTCAGTAAGCAGCTTTTCTGCTTCACTTGTTAGGCCCCCAATACAGAGTCCATTAATCATTATGGTATATGTCCTCACATTTGGTTGGAGTCCTTTTGATGATAACCAATGAAAGAGAACCCTCGCAGATTCAATTTTCCCAGCTAGGCACAAACCTTCAATAAGAATACTGTAAATCACAATATCTGCATCCAACTTCTTGCCTTCCATTTCTTTAAACAGTTGGATTGCTGTAGAAAGTTGTCGGTTTTTACACAGGCCATCCAGTAGAATAGCATAAGTTCGAACATTTGGAAGTTGGCCACAAGCTTGCATCTCAGAGAACAACTTTTGTGCAACACCTAATTTCCCCACTTTGCAACAACCATCCACAAGTGTGTTATAAGTAACGATATCTGGAACCAGTCCCTTACGAGACATTTCCTGAAGCAGCATCATGGCCTGATCCATCATCTTACGCTTACAATATCCATTTATCAATGCGTTGTAATTAAAAACATCAACCGTCGAGCCCTTGCTAAACATTAGTTTAAAAACTTTTCTAGCCTCGCTCATTTCTCCTCGCAAACAGTAACCATCCATTAGTGAAGTGTATGTAATGGTATTAGGTTGAATATCTCTTTCAATCATCATTTCGACCACGCCTTTTGCTTCCCCAACCATCCCCTCCTTACAAAGTGTGTCTACCAAGACATTGAACGTGCACACATCTGGAAAGATATTTTTACTCACCATTTCATTCAACAACCTTACAGCTTCTCTCCACTTGCCTAATTTGCAAACTCCATTCATCAAAGAGTTATAGGTAATGACATCTGGGGCAATACCCTTGCTCATCATTTCTGATAAGAGGTTCAATGCATCATCAACTAGTTTATCCTTACAAAGACTGTCGATGATTGTGTTATAGATAACTAGGTTAGGCTTGCAAGCTCCTTCCTCCATCTTCCTAAGCAACTGAATAGCAGCATTGTTGTTACCCTTCATGCAAAAGCCCTTTACTAGCGTGCCATAAGTAACCACATTAGGCTGACAATTACCTCCCCTCATCATTTTGTTGAAAATTCCTGCTGCCTCCGCCACTCGATTCTCGAGAAGAAAGCCGCTGATTAGACCGGTGAAGGTAAAGACATTTGGTTCAAGACCCAGTTTGAAGAATTTTCCCAATACAGATAAACTAAACCCCATTTGGTTTAGATGACAATAACAATTTATGAGAATGTTTAGGGTATAAACATGAGGTCCAATTCCGGACGCACCCATTTGGTTATATAATGAGATGACGGCCGAGTAATGTTTCAATTTTGCAACTTGACCGAAGATTTTATTGAAACGGACAACAGAGGGCAGAGGGCGCATTTGAAGCATTCTATCGAACACATTGAAGGCATCCTCAACATTTGTGATTTTGGGTAAGTCTCTTTTTGGCTGCTCTAGTTGGGTTCTTGTAGATTTGATCGGTTTCGAAGGTTGAGAGTGAAAGAAAGCAAAGTAATTGTTGACGAAAACGAGAAAAGTGGAGTTAGAGTGAAGACAATTCATACCTCTGCTGCTCCAGCAATAACAAGAAGAAGAAGTAGCAGCAGTTGTAGTCCGTATCATCATCTTCAGCATCTCTGAGTAAAAGGGCGCTCAAACCTCCCTCCAACTGGTTTCCTCGAGAAAGCTCAAGTCCGTGTTATCATGAATTCCACAAAAACTTTCCTTTTTCTAAACTTGGATAAAAAGTTCCGCACCTCATCGTTTAGTGTTAAGATTTATTTTAACAGTTATTGAATATAAATGGGAGAATCCCTATAGTTTACAAGCAAACTTTTACCATGCCCCCTTCTTTCTTTTTTTTCTTTATTGAATATATCAGTTGGTTCTTTTCTAAATTTTCTTCAGTGTTCAGTTTTCTAATTTCCGTATTTCTTTTCTCTTTTGATAATTTCCGTATTTACAGTTTAATTTCAGTTTTTCAATTAGTAATGTTACAGTTTAATTTCAGCTTTCAAATTTACAGTTTAATTTCAGTTTTGTCAAGATAGTGGTGGTCACTTCTATTATATTTAATGATTTGGGGAGGTTTGATTGAAAGAAAGAGCCACTACAAACTAAGATATAATGATATGTATGCTTGAAATGCATAACAAATAAGCAGTCATAAGTAAATGTGTTTAATTACTAGTAATTTTTGCTCAAACACACACAAACAGTTGCTTCACCAATAGGCACGCATTCAAACCTCATGAAATCATCCATGAGTTCATCCTTACATGAAGCTTCACAATTTTCCGGATGGCATTGGGACTCCTCAGGAGAACGACATATGTGAACCCTGAACGACAATGTGTTGCGTCATAGCCAAAAACGACATAATCACCAAAGCAAATATAAGTGTGAAACGTGGGGCAACTATTCCTTCCATTCAGAATGAAAAATTTAGAAGTGTCAAACGTGTTTGATAGCTGTCAAGATTTAATTGGTTGGGGATACTAATGTGGATGGCTGACCCTGGCATCCCCATGCCAGGGAAGTTTTTCTCCCCTTCAAGACACTTTACGTGGTCGGTTAAAAAACTACTCTTTCACTTGCTTCAAAAGGGTTTTTTTTTTTTTTTTTCATTTTTATTTGTTTAAGTTTAGGAAGGGAGGAAGGAGGAAACTCACACACACAAATACCATGAAGGCTTGAACTCAGGACCACTTGAGAGCACACTAAAAGGCATGTACCAACTGATGCCCCATTCGTCGCTTCAAAAGGTTTGCTAATGCACTTTTTGACACCTAACCAAACCTATACAATAAAAAATAAACTCCTTGCACATGCAAAAGTAAATTAGCTTCCATGAAAAATAAAATTGTAAAAAAAAAAGGCAGGAAGCCACTTTTTGGGAAACTTTTTGAAACTCGTAAAATACTCTTAATAAACTGAAGTGCTAAAAGACCATAATCTATTTATATAAAAGGCAAGGTAGAGAATTGTGAAAAATTCAAAATACCAGAAAATACCTTTGATTAATGTAGTAAGAATTAAAAATATTAAATAAATAAGAATAATATAATAATTTATACATTTTCAGATTAAAAAATTCAAAATAAAAAACAAAATCAGAACATGTATCCTATTTTTATGGAAAATTATGTAGAAAATATGTGTATAAAACATTAGAAATACGTACGTACATGTACAATACGATTATTGTATGTTTGCTTTTTACAGAACACGAATGTGTTGTTTGAAAATACATACCCACATATATATATATATATATGCTGTAGCCTCTCGTCTATACTATTTATTAAAGACAATTTTTTTATATAAAAAAAAACACCAATAACTCTTCCCTGCTACACTATTTTTTAAAAAAAAATTAGAAAACAAAATAGATTATAATCGCACGGCTATACTATTTTCTAAAAAAAAGAGCCAAGCCCACTGTGTGAAAATAGTATCGCCGGGTGGCTATATTTTTTTTTAAATTTTAATAAACTGAACATAGCCGTACGGCTATACTATTTTTTAATATAAAAGGGAGGACACCCCAATCATTAGGTGCCACGTGTCAACACATGTCTTTTTAAAATATTAAAAACATGGGGTATAGCCGTGCGGCTATACGCTTTTTTTCATAATATAAGGAAGAACCTTTATCGATTAAAGCCATGTGTAGAAAAAAAAATAGTAACCGTTTTTAAATAAAAAAAATCCTGGTATAGCCGCCCGGCCATACTATTTAATTAAAAATTAATAATAAAAAAGGACCCTCCTAGTTGCATTATTTTGTACCTTATAGATTTTAATTTGCAACATATCCAAAGCAGATATTAATCTTCCACTATATGATATTTTAGTATAATTTTTATAACATATGTTATTCTTATTCAATAATATGTGAGAGAATTATTTATATAATATGTGAATTTTGTGTGTCTTACTGAAAATTTTGTAGAAAATACGTGTATAAAATATTAGAATTACGTACGAACATGTACAATACGACTATTGTATGTTTGCTTTTTAAAGAAAACGTGAGACGTGTATAGAACATGAATGTATTGTTGAATATATATATATATATATATATATGTAAAAGACTATAGCCTCTCATCTATACTATTTATTAAAGACAAATTTTAAATTAAAAAAACCAATAAGGCTTCCCTACTATACTATTTTTTTAAAATTAGGAAAAAATCATGTATAGCCGCACGGTTATACTATTTTCTAAAGAAAAAAAAGCCCAGCCACTGTGTGAAAATAGTATAGCCGGTCGGCGTTACTGTTTTTTTTTAAATTTAATAAACTGTATATAGCCGTTCGGCTATACTATTTTTAAATATAAAAAGAAGACCCACCACCCATTAGGCGACGCGTGTCAGCACATGTCTTCTTTAAAAAATTAAAAAACATAGAGTATAGCCGTGCGATTAAAGCCTTTTTTATAAAAAAAATATAAGGAAGAACCTTATCGATTAAAGCCACGTGTCAAAAAAAAATATTAGTCACCCAGCTATACCCTTTTTTTATATAAAAAAAATCCTGGTATAGCCGCCTAGGTATACTATTTAATTAAAAAATTTAATAATAAAAAAGGACCCTCCTAGTTGCATTAGTTTGTACCTTATAGATTTTAATTTGCAACATATCCAAAGTAGATATTAATCTTCCACTATATGATATTTTAGTATAATTTTTATAACATATGTTATTCTTATTTAATAATATGTGAATTTTGTGTGTCTTACTGAAAATTTTGTAGAAAATACGTATATAAAACATTAGAAATACGTACGTATATGTACAATATGACTATTGTATGTTTGCTTTTTAAAGAAAACGGGAGACGTGTATAGAACACGAATGTATTGTAGAAAAAAAAGTACCAACACATATATATATATATATATAAAAGACTATAGCCTCTCGTCTATACTATTTATTAAAGACAATTTTTAAATAAAAAAACCAACAATGCTTCCCTGCTATACTATTTTTTTAAAAAAATTAGATAAAAAATCAATTATAGCCGCACGGCTATACGATTTTCTAAAGAAAAAAAGCCCAGCCCACTGTGTGAAAATAGTATAGCCGGTCGGCTATACTTTTTTTAAATTTTTTTAATAAAATGAATATAGCCAGATGGCTATACTATTTTTTAATATAAAAAAGAGGCGCCACCAACCATTAGGCGCCACATGTCAACACATGTCTTCTTTAAAAAATTAAAATCGTGGAGTATAGCCGTCCGGCTGTACTCTACTCGAGCAATACCATTTCATTGTATTATATGTTGATCTGTCCTTTTTTTTTTTGGGCTGGTCTAATATAGGTTCTACAACTTCTATTTCTTAAATATCAAATCATTTGAAATCTATGTATAAAACTCAAATTCCTCATAAGATATAAAAGGTCATAGTACTCTTACATATTTACATTGTTTGCCACTAGACGTCAGATAAGTCAACTTGACCGTTTTCAAGCAAGTCAATGACTCTGGTTTTTTTATTTTTTTATTTTATTTTTTTGGCATTCCTTCTAATCCCTAAAACTTTGATCAATAAAAAATCCTTAAATTTTCGACCAATAAAAAATCCCTTAAATTTTGTCCAAATAAAATAAAATAGGTAAATTATTATCAATACAATATAATGTACCTACAAATTTACCTATATATCTTGTATATATCTAATATGGGTAGGTAAATTATTTTCACAATATACCTATAAATGTGCAGACTTTAATATACCTACAATATACCCATAATAGATGAATTACAAGTTATATTATTGCATAATAGGAAGTTATTAGGTAAATTATATGAAAAATGCATTTATAAAATTGGGTATATTATTAGAAAATAATTAAATTCATACTAAGTGCATTATTTTTATAATAGAAGTAATAGGTATGTTATTTTTTAAACTACTCTTATATGTACACTATTATATTTATAAAATAATAATATAAAGATAATTAATCACATATACTTCATAAATAAAAACTTTTTAATTAAATTAACTGATTAGGTGTGTTAAATATGAATTTATTGTTAAATTTTAAAAGGATTAAATGATTGGCTATACTCTTTGAATATATTAATCTATATCTATATATCCATATCTATATCTTCTATATATATAAAGCAAAATGCAGAAAATGGTGAAACATTCAAAATACTAAAAAATGCTCTTGGTTAATGCAAACATTAAAAATTGAAATTATTAATTAAATCAGGATAATACAGTAAATTCTCACTTTTTTATATTAAAAAATTAAAATTAAAAGAAAATTTTGATAATGGATCCTATTTTCATGGAACATAAGTACCTATTATCTTTTTTAATTTTAAAATAAATTTAAATTTTTTTAAAATCAGATAATGAATCCTATTTTCGATTAAAAATTAAATTTAAAAAAGGAAGAAGATGCTCGTCACTCCATGAACAAAGTTGTAAACTTCTGCATATTCTCTGCTTCCATTGTCTTACAGACGGAGTGTCGGAAAACCAGAGCATGGCTTCTTCAACTTCAGACGACGACTTCATCACCGTCGTATGCAGTAACCCCAATCCAATTCAAGCAAACACCACCAGCACCGATATAGAGATTCTAATTTCAGTCACGAATATCCCAAGGTGGGATTTGCCATCAATTCTCTGTCACCAAACAGTCAAAGTTCAAGCCCATCGGAACAGGTGCGTGGTGGTTTATCATTTTCTCACTCTTTTTCCGTTTGTTTCCCGGGAAAATACAATGAGGGAGATTTGATTGCAGGCTAATTCAACACTCATCGTATTTCAATGGCCTCCTAAGTGGGAGCTTCAAGTAATCAATTTCGATCACTTTCTTCTTGTGAAACTGAATTCAACGAAGCCCGGAACTTGAAGTTGTGCTTTTTTCAATTTAGATTATGATTCTTCGAAGAAATGAACAAGTTTTATTTTTCTTGAATTTGGATATTATATCATCCCCTACATTTTTATTCTAATCAATTTTGTTTAATTGCTTCTGGCTAAATTGTTGAGAAATTTTTGTAGTGAATCGGGCCTGGATCAATTGTATATATGACCGCCTATTGGATGTAGCATCTAATAATTTCCTCCCTCTTATGAGGTAAATGAATTAACTTTCCTATATGGTAATTCTGATCCAGTGTGTTCTTTTCTATTCTTCATTTACTTATTTGCTTAACTATTGGTTTGATCTTAAATAATTCAAACCGTTGGTCATTTAAAAAGAAAAATTGCATTTCTTTAACTTCTAGTTCTAGTTTGAACGCATCTGCCTTTAAATCATATAAAATGTCTTACAAAGTTAATATTCCTTTGACAATACTGTGTTACGTTTTCAGGGTGCACTTTATTTTGGAGTGGAGATGCTTCTCATGAGATGAAAAACTTGGTTTTCTGAGGTAGTATCGGCGGAGGTGCCACCACGAGTAAAATTGGATGATTTGATTTCTGTTTGGAGCTTTGGTTTAGAGCATGGTGAGAATGATTAGAACAGCAATGTCTATGAAAGACTCGTATTTAAAATTAGTGGTGTCTAGTAGTCTAATAGATTAAATTGGAATGGATTGCAGCCTGTGATTTTCTTCCAGAATTATGTGGGAGCTATCTTGCGAGAAATTTTGTATGTCCTCAACTTGTATTTATATTCTCTGCAGCCTTCTTGTGCCCAATTTTTCGTAGTAGTGACTTGTGCACAATCAGATTAATTGTTGAAAATAGAATTATGCTTCAATATTAACTCACACATAGAGGCTAGTGGCGGGTTGTAGATTCATATTGACTTGATATGGAGTAGAAAATTATGTTTTAATGTGAGGCACCATTTTAGTTGATATTCCATATGATATTACTTTAGATTGTTTTGGTTGGGTTTTCTCTTGACTGCCAACGTTTGTGTTTAGTCATAATATTGCACTTACAAGGTCTAAAAGAAAAAATAGCGTTCTGTTAGAGATGGCTAGGAAATGAGAAGGATATAAGAGCTTAAGTGAGCCCAAGAGGGGCATGGGTAGAGGCAAAGAGAATTGACATCATTACTGAGGATGTAATGGAGGATATGATTTTAGCATAATGAAACACATCAAAGAGCACCATGACGTTGACCTAATAGCCTCCTGACAACGTGGCACATGCGCACATGCACACACGGATTTGTGGCCTACTAATCTTGGTTAAACTGAAAACAGATGCCTCCATATATTTCTTTGCGATCAGGTTGTTGCTAATGGTTGAATAGGAGATTGTTTTCAGTATTCACTTAATGGCAGTTTAGCATTATATTATCAATTGAATAAGACTCTACCTGGCATGCCTGATGACATAATGGGGCAACAAGCTATGATGTGTTCACAAGTATGTGGAAATAGGAACGGCAAAGTGTTTATTCACTTGTTGAGTTGGGACATGCAATATTATAAAAGTTCATTACTTGTGCTACCAAATTGATCCCTCATATTTTTGTGATTAAATATGTTGGGGATTTGGTCGGTAATGTATGTGTCCATTATTTAGTTAATCATAAAAGTTACCTCGTCTGTCTTTGCACCTTGAACTTGTTTCTGTTTATTGTCTGTAAATTTGCTTTCTGGAGTTTATATGGGTGATTCTTTGTATGCCTTATCAGGAATTATTTATTTGTCTAATATTTCTATTAATTGTTCTGTTATTGCTGTTAAACAGATCCATTTAAGCCTTTTGCCGCTGTGGTTTGCTTGTTAATAGAGCCAGTGTTGCAGCCCAATGTTGACACTCCTCTTCCTTTGTAAAATTGCCTCCAATGAAGAACTTGGAAAGCTATTTTCGTGGAATTTGCCAATTGCCAAGTAATATAGGGAAAAAGTCCATTTTGGTCCCTGTAGTTTGTCACTTTTATCACTTTGGTCTTTGTGGTTTCAATTTGAAGCAATTCAAAGACAATCCTCAATTTCCATAAAAAAAATTTAACTTCTATTCGTTTTGGAGGGGCAATTCGGTCCACAACTTATTTTTTTTTAAAATTATTCAATAGGAAAATACATATTAAAGACAAAAAAAAAAATCTTAAAATTGAAAAAAACAATATCCCACTGTGCACCACCCCTCCTACTCCCCCATCGCCTTGTCCATCAAATCCAGAGCATTGTCACCAACCAATATATCGTCATGGTCCAGCTGCTTAAACAACGAGAAATTGGGATTTTAGGTTTTCGTTGGTGAATTGATTTTTACGTTTTGGGAGATTGATGAAATGAGAAATTGGGAAAGACCCCAATCTGCTGGGCACGGAACTTCCACGTCCCTTTCCATGTCCCTTAGTCCGTCGGGTCAGGGGTCATGGACTCCCTCCAAAACCCTAACCCCTCGAAACCCAGAGCGCCATCAAAGAAGCCATGCCTCCAACGTTCAACCCAAGATCACTCCTCTAGGTCTCTCTCCGAAGACAATAGGAGAAGACACTGATTATTTGTTGATAATATATTAATATTTGTGGGCGAGCTTGTGCTATCATTTTTGTGTTGCATTGCATTTTCTTCTTCTTTTTTTTTTTTTTTTTTTTTTTTTTTTTTTTTTTTTTTTTTTTTTTTTTGTTAGACGTTTAAATTTATTTAATTTAGATTTATTATGAGGGTAATGCATTGATTAATGTCTCATTATGACTAGGTGTATTTTTGTATGTTTATTAATGAAATTCAGAGTTTTTAATGTAAGTTTTCCTAATGGCCGGCTTTCAAATCCTGGATCCGTCCATTGTACGACAGCTCCTGGAGCTCGCGTTGGAGCTTGCCCCTTCCTTTCCTTATGCATCGCATGTTTTCTGTTTCTTTTTATGTGTTCCTGCCAATATTGTTTTAAGGTCCTGGATTATATTCTTGTTGCAGCTAATATATGGTTGTGCATCCTGTGATGGAAAGAGTTTGGTTCTCCTGGGGTAGGTAATGTAGCTCAAAAAGACAGAGTGGATGGCTGGAAGAAGATGAAGCAAGATAAGATTGTTATTCGAATGAGCACTGGCCACGCTACTTTAGATCCTGCTTCTCCAACCATCCCCTCCTTACGTGATTAGTTGTGTTTGAAATTTCTTAAATAAGTTTTCATGATCCACAAGAACTATCAAATAAATTTGCATTTCACAAGCTGCAAGCACGATGCTAGAATTTCTGGACGTTGCTCTCACCATGTCCTTCACAAAATTATTACAAATCAAAAAAATTGAAAAGATGTTGTAGAAGGCCCCTTAATCAAAGGCTGGTTGGTTTTTGCCGAAACTGCAAAGTCTTGGTCAGCTGAAAAATCTGATTATATCAGTCCAAATACCCTGCTTCTCTCTAATAAATTTAACAACCTTAAAAGAGTAACATAGAAATTTCTCTATCATGATCACAGGATATCCCCCAATGATGTCTTTATATAACCAAGTCTGTATACCGCAAAATAACAAAAACATGCAGAGTCAGTCAATTGCACAATGTTTGTGTGAAAGAAACTAAAAAAGACCTGCGTACAAAAACACACGCCAATTGTTTCAAAGATGTTACGATTATCGGTAAAGTTATATCTACTACTCAACATTGTCACATGATGGATTAAGAGATAACAGATATAACACATCCACGGTTGTCAGAGGTGGAAGAGCTTCAATGTTTATTGGGATGGTCAGAAGATCTGTTCAACTTTAACTGAGGCAAATTCAGTTCATAATTCTCTTTTTGCATCAATGGCAACAATGCAGGATCTACTTTATCTTTACCCAATAGTTCAACTATCAATTCTGTAGTCCATGCATCTGCTGAGAAACCCTTCTCCACCATTTGTTGAATAAGTCCTGTCACCCTTACTGTCTCATTGTTATTGATAAACCCTCGAATAATTATGTTATACGTACAATCATTTGGAGGACAACCTTTCTCTTCCATTTCAGTAAGCAGCTTTTCTGCTTCACTTGTTCGGCCCCCCAATACAGAGTCCATTAATCATTATGGTATATGTCCTCACATTTGGTTGGAGTCCTTTTGATGATAACCAATGAAAGAGAACCCTCGCAGATTCAATTTTCCCAGCTAGGCACAAACCTTCAATAAGAATACTGTAAATCACAATATCTGCATCCAACTTCTTGCCTTCCATTTCTTTAAACAGTTGGATTGCTGTAGAAAGTTGTCGGTTTTTACACAGGCCATCCAGTAGAATAGCATAAGTTCGAACATTTGGAAGTTGGCCACAAGCTTGCATCTCAGAGAACAACTTTTGTGCAACACCTAATTTCCCCACTTTGCAACAACCATCCACAAGTGTGTTATAAGTAACGATATCTGGAACCAGTCCCTTACGAGACATTTCCCGAAGCAGCATCATGGCCTCATCCATCATCTTATGCTTACAATATCCATTTATCAATGTGTTGTAACTAACAACATTAACCATCGAGCCCTTGCTAAGAATTAGTTTAAAAACTTTTCTAGCCTTGCTCATTTCTCCTCGCAAACAGAAACCATCCATAAGTGAAGTGTATGTAATGGTATTAGGTTCAATATCTCTTTCAATCATCATTTCGACCACGCCTTCTGCTTCCCCAACCATCCCCTCCTTACAAAGTGTGTCTATCAAGACACTAAACGTGCGAACATTTGGATAGATATTTTTACTCACCATTTCATTCAACAACCTTGCAGCTTCTTTCCACTTGCCTAATTTGCAAACTCCAAGAATCAAAGAGTTATAGGTAATGACATCTGGGGCAATACCCTTGCACATCATTTCTGAGAAGAGGTTCAATGCATCATCAACTAGTGTATCCTTACAAAGACTGTCGATGATTGTGCTATAGACAACTAGGTCAGGCTTGCAAGCTCCTTCCTCCATCTTCCTAAGCAACTGAATAGCAGCCCTATTGTTACCTTTCATGCAAAAGCCCCTTATTATTGTGCCAAAAGTAACCACATTAGGCTGACAATTACCTCCCCTCATCATTTTGTTGAAAATTCCTGCTGCCTCCGCCACTCTATTCTCGAGAAGAAAGCCGTTGATTAGACCGGTGAAGGTAAAGACATTTGGTTCAAGACCCAGTTTGAAGAATTTTCCCAATACAGATAAACTAAACCCCATTTGGTTTAGATGACAATAACAATTTATGAGAATGGTTAGGGTACAAACATCATGTCCAATTCTCGACACACCCATTTGGTTATACAATGAGATGACGGCCGAGTAATGTTTCAATTTTGCAACTTGACCCAAGATTTTAGTGAAACGGACAACAGAAGGCAGAGGGCGCATTTGAAGCATTCTATCGAACACATTGAAGGCATCCTCAACATTTGTGATTTTGGGTAAGCCTCTTTTTGGCTGCTCTAGTTGGGTTCTTGTAGATTTGATCGGTTTCGAAGGTTGAGAGTGAAAGAAAGCAAAGTAATTGTTGACGAAAACGAGAAAAGTGGAGTTAGAGTGAAGACAATGCATACCTCTGCTGCTCCAGCAATAACAAGAAGAAGTAGCAGCAGCAGTTGTAGTCCGTATCATCATCTTCAGCATCTCTGAGTAAAAGGGCGCTCAAACCTCCCTGCAACTGGTTTCCTCGAGAAAGCTCAAGTCCGTGTTATCATGAATTCCACAAAAACTTTCACTTTTATAAACTTGGATAAAAAGTTCCGTACCTCATCGTTTAGTGTTAAGATTTATTTTAACAGTTATTGAATATAAATAGGAGAATCCCTAGTTTACAAGCAAACTTTTACCATGCCCCCTTCTTTCGTTTTTTTAATTATTGAATATATCAGTTAGTTCTTCTCTAAATTTTCTTCAGTGTTCAGTGTGTATTTCTTTTCTCTTTCGATCATTTCCGTATTTCCGTATTTCTTTTCTCTTTCGATAATCTTTGGTGAAATTTCTCATGTTTAATCTGTAAGCTTGGGTAGTTTAGTGTGCCTTTTCGTTATGATTTTTTTTCTTCTTTTGTCCAATTGAAGAAGATTTGTGAAACAATAAATGATAAAGAAAGCGACAACACCAATCGTATAAAAATACATCATGGATTATTATTAGACACTTACAATGCCTACATCAGTATTGTTAATTACCAGTCATTTTTGCTAAAACACACACAAACAGTTGCTTCACCAATAGGCACACATTCAAACCTCATGAAATCATCCTTGAGTTCATCCTTACATGAAGCTTCACAATTTTCCGAATGGCAGTTGGACTTTCAGGAGAATGACATATGTGAACCCTCAAAGACAATGTGTTGCGCCATAGCCAAAAACGACATAATCACCAAAGCAAATACAAGTGTGAACGTGTTGCAGCTATTTCTTCCATTCAGAATGAACAAAATTAAACTTAATTGAATGTGGCTGAATGAGAGGAAGCTCTTGATGGTTTTTAGTTTAGTCAGTGTTGTCAAGTGTTTGTAATGTAAAGGGTTTTTATAGGAATTGATAGGATGACTAATATGGTTCGTAATGATTTGCCTTCTCTGTCTGTGATTCATTTTTGATTTTTTTTTTTTTTTTTTTTTTTTTTTTTTTTTCTTTCTTTAAGTCTTTTTTTAAATCAAATAAAATCTTTGATGATATTGTAAGGATTAGTAGTGTAAGGATTGGAAATTTGTATCTTAGGCGGATTGGGAGGCATTTGAGTTTCCTTGCTAATTTTGGATGTAAATGATTACCTTATTGGTTCAGGATTTAGGGTTTGTTTTCTAGCTTTTGGCTGTGTATTTTATATTGTGTGTGAGAGGGGAAAAAAAAAGGGTTCTATTCTATTTTAACCCAGCTGAATTTGGGACCATACTATTTTTATTATTGAAAAATCCGAATACGGCTATACTATTTATTTAGGGTATACTAGGCCCCCTATACTTGTACCTCACTTTCAATTTACCCATTATCCTTTTTTTAAAGAAAATTAAGGATATGAACTTCTTCTTTTTTCATCAATTTCCCCCCTCCGTCTAAATTCACAACATTTCATCCAATTTGCCGTTAAAAATGAGGGCAAAATGATCATTTTGTAAATTAAAAATAAATAAATAATGAAAAAAAAACAAAAAAAAAAACATAATAGAAACTCCAAGTCAGGGCCTACCATCATATTACAAGACCCAACTCCACTTCGCTGGTTGGAACCAGCTCCGCTTCTTTGCATTCCATCTGGGTTCCTCAACAATTGGGAGGAAAAGCTTCTCTGTAAGCTTTGTTGTAATTCTTGTAGTTATAAGAGGAGCTTGTTGGGTAATGTAACATCCCACATTGACCAAGGAGAGGGGGTGATGTGCCTTATATTATATGTACATACTTACCTCCATCTAACACGAGGTCTTTTGGGAGCTCACTAACTTCGGAGTCAAGAGAATTCTGAAGTTAAGCGAGTTTGAGGGAGAGCAATCCCAGGATGGGTAACCCACTGGGAAGTTTCTTGTGAGTTCCCAGAAACAAAACCGTGAGGGCATGAGGGGGCCCAAAGCGGACAATATCGTGCTACGATAGAGCCGATCTCGGGATGTGACAATTTGGTATCAGAGCCACTCTGCCGTGTGATGCGAGTGTGCCGACGAGGACGTCGGGTCCTTAAGAGGGGTGGATTGTAACATCTCACATCGACCAACGGAGATGGGGTAATGTGCCTTATATGTACATGTCCACCTCCATCTAGCACAAAGTCTTTTGGGAGCTCACTGGCTTCAGAGTCAGGAAAACTCTAAAGTTAAGCGAGTTTGGGGGAGAGTAATCTCAGGATGGGTGACCCACTGGGAAGTTGCTCGTGAGTTCCTAGAAACAAAACTATGAGGGCATGTGGGGGCCCAAAGCGGATAATATTGTGTTACAGCGGAATCGATCCCGAGATGTGACTGGCAAGCCATGGAAGCCATTGTTTTTTAGTCTGTCTCTCTTTCTCATTTTGTACAACCACAATTGCAGACTTGCAAAGCCGTTTAGTTGATGGGGTTTTTTTTTTCTCACCAACACTATGAGAAGAAAATCATGGCGTGGATTATGGGCTGCAAGTCTGCAATTGTCGCCATTGCCAAATGACGACCCCCATCTCCACACGAGCCTGGAGAGAGAGAGAGAGAGAGAGAGAGAGAGAGAGAGAGAGAGAGAGAGAGAGAGAGAGAGAGAGAGAGAGAGAGTGAATGAGTGGTTGGCAAGGCTGGGGTTGGTGGGTTGGGATTAGAGTTTGGGGTTATGGCAGGCGCCGGGGGGATAAGAAATCAAAGGGGGTTTCAAGGTTTGTGGATGAGGGGTCAAAAACCAGAAGGGGTTTCTGGGTTTGTGGTTGCTGGCTGGCTAGGTAGAGGTAAGGGGTGGTCATGGGAGAATTGGGGGGAGAAAGAAATCGGGGTGAGAGGCCCTGGGTTCTCATTTTTTTTTTTTTTTTTTTTTTTTTTTTTTTTGTGTGTGTTTTTTTTTTTTTTTTTTTTTTTGTTTTATGAATTTTTTTCCTCTTTTTTTTTTTTTTAAATTTTTTTTTAAACTGAAAATTGGATTGGAAATGCTGAGGATTTAGACAGTAGGGGGAAATTGGGGGGAAAAAGTTCATATCCTTAATTTTCTATAAAAAAAAGGATAGGGGGTTAATTGAAAATTAGGTACAAGTTCATGTGGTAAATCACTAGTATACCCATTTATTTATAAATAAAAAAAGACTCGCCTGGCTCCCTTTTTCGCCACGCCTATTTTTATTATAAAAAATATCCGAGTATAGCCGCGCAGCTATAATATTTACACAATTTTCACCAATTTCAACATATCCAAAAACAATAATTCGTTTCCACAACTTAGCCTCCACCTAACCAACCACCCCCACCATCAAATTATTGTCACAACAAATCCCAAAAGACCACCATCATACAAACAAGTCATTGGCAAATACAAGAATGTTTTAAGAGAGAGGCTTAGTGCTAGATATTGAAAACCACAGTTTAACCAAATCAAACTACTGGTATTTACACATACTAAATAAAATATTATTATAAGTAATATAAAATATATAAGAAGTAAAAAATAAAAGTAAAAACCTTTATCCTGCCACCAACACGAATGCCTTAGACAAAACAAAAAAAACACGCATCTGTCTCCATCTCTCATTCTCTCTATCTTTTATCTTATTCTTTTTTCGTCCTCTTCTGTTTCAGTCTCTCATCAGTCTCTTTTTCTTTTCTTTTCCTTCTTCTTCTTCCTCCTCTTTGTTTGTCTCCTTTTCTTTTCAAATATAGCCGCACGGCTATACAATTTTCCAAAGAAAAAACTAGGCATAGCCGCGCGGCTAAACATTTTTTAAAAAATTTTAAAACTGGGTATAGCCGTACGGCTATACTATTTTTAAATATAAAAAAGAGGACCCCCCAGCCATTAGGTGCCACTTGTCAACACATGTCTTTAAAAAAAAATTAAAAACATGGAGTATAGCCGTGCGGCTGTACTCTCTTTTTTTAAAAAAATTAAAGAAGAACCTCTATCGATTAAAGCCACGTGTCAAAAAAAGGATAGCCGCCCGGCTATACGATTTTTTATAAAATAAAATAAAAACCGTGGTATGGCACCCGACTATACTATTTAATTAACAAATTAATAATAAAAATGGATCTTCCTAGTTGCATTAATTTATACCTTATAAATATTAGAGTAAACTGCCGAAATGCCCCTTAAACTTGTACCTAATTATCAATTTACCACATGACCTTTTTTTCAAAAAAAATTAAGGACTTGAACTAAATTTTATTCTCAATTTTTCCCCTGCCATCCAAATCAATAACATGTACCACCACCCCCAACGAACCCAGAACCCGCAGACCAACCTCCATCCCCCATCACAGACCCACCCCCCAACAAACCCAGATGTTTTTAAACCCACAGACCCACCTCCATCCCCATCACAGACCCACCCCCTAATAATCACATATTAACACTCTTTTTCTCCTGGCCATTTCCCTCGTCAATTGCCAACATAATTTTCTTTCACATTAAAGAGATGGGGCCAGTTGGTGTTCTTTTTAAAGAAAAAAGAAAAAAAATATGCATCTAACAATGGTTTGTTCCCGATATATTCCAGCAAATCAGCTTTAACAAACATGAAGTTATAAATATTTAGGAAAAAAAGGTAAAACCGATAATTACAATATACAGCAAATCAGCTTTAACAAACAAATTGGGAAATCATAGTATAATTCTTTAGATGTCAGAAACGAAATAAATCTAGATCCAAAATTAAAGGACGAATCATGCTTGAACCAGCCATTTTCTTCCCCCCATCCCCCATCACAGACCCACCCCCCAACAAACCCAGAACCCACAGACCCACACACCCCTCCCCCCCAAAAGCAAACCCAGATGTTTTTTCACCCACAGCCCCCCCTCCCCCTCCCCCGTAACCGCCGCAACCACCCATTTTCTTCTACCCCATGACTACCACCGCAAGCCACCCTCCCTTTTCTCCATCTCTCTCTCTCTCTCTCTCTCTCTCTCTCTCATTCGAGCTCCCTTCTCCCCTCTGTATTTTTAATTACAACAAAAGGGGAAGAGATGAAGGGGATGGGCCCCTCTGTTTATTAAAATAATATATATATATATATATTATTTTTAACATATGAAATGACCCATTTGCTATTATATTTAACGGCACATTTGATAAAATGTTGAGAATTTAGATAGCAGGGGAGAAATTGAGAATAAAATTTAGTTCAAGTCCTTAATTTTCGAAAAAAAAGGTCAGAGGGTAAGTTGATAATTAGGTACAAGTTCAAGGGGCATTTCGACAGTTTACCTTAGATATTAATTTGCAACATATCCAAAGTAGATATTAATCTTCCACTATATGATATTTTAATATAATTTTTATAACATATGTTATTCTTATTCAATAATATGTGAGAATTATTTGTATAATACGTGAATTTTGTGTGTCTTACTAAAAATTTTATAGAAAATACGTGTATAAAACATTAGAAATACGTACGTACATGTACAATATAACGATTGTATGTTTGCTTTTGAAAGAAAACGTGAGACGTGTATGGAACACGAATGTATTGTTGAAAAATACGTAAGAGTCTTTTTATTCCAGCAGCCTGACGAATGGGCTTGGGCTATTGAAAAAGAGAAACAGGTGAAGCTGGCCCTGTGTCTGAGTTCAAGGATCAGACCCCAAGAGTGTTTCGAAAGGGTAGCTGAGCCTTAGGAAACACCTTGGTATTCTTCACCAATGAAATCAACAGTCACTTACAAATAAATTCTTGGGCTTGGCATGAGAAGACTGTGGCATGGGAGTTGCTGTTTTCAAATCTGCCCATAGACTTTGTAGAATCTGTAACAATATCAGATTCTACAAAATTTCCTGAATCTGTTTGTGGCTGTGATGCTGCCTGCGAATTTCCAACACAAATTTCACCTCCATTGTCATAACTTTTACCCGAACGTAGAACTCGAACTGCCTTACAATATGCACCTCCCCTTGGATTATGTTCCGTTTGGCTAGGAAATGTACCTGGTGCTCTTTCTGAAACTTGGAATGCAATCTGCCCCATTTGTTTTTCTATGTTTTTCACTGTTGCCTGCAGATTTTGGAATTCTTGACTGGTGGCATTTGCTAATTTTTCAATTGCAACCTCCCAAGCAGCCTTAGGCGCAGCAGTTTGCTGTACTTGTTGTTGAAATTGTGGCATTGCAGGCTGATCTCTGTCCCACTTAAAATTAGGATGATCTCTCCAACCTGGGTTGTAAACATTTGAATACGGGTCATATCATGGACGCTGAAAATTATTAAATGCATTAACTTGTTCCGCTGCAAATTCCGGATAAGCATCTTTATGCGGACAGCTCAAAAAATCATGGGTTGTCACATTGCAAATGCTACAGGCAGCTGGTAAAGGTTGTTGTACAGCAACCTGTGAACCTGGAATTCTTTGTAATAACATGTCAAATTTTGCATCAAATCTTTCAAGCTTTTTCTCCATTTTTTCAATTTGTGCCGACATATATGGAGAACCATTAGATATCTAAAAAACAGATTGCCCATTACTGTGTATCTGCTGCCATTTTTTCAAATGATAAACAAGCTTCTTGTGCATTTTTATCCTTGTATGATCCTCCGCATGAAGCGTTGACAAGAGTTTTTGTTGTCATATTTAACCCTCTGAAAAATATATGCACTTGATCCGTACTGCTAATACCAGAATGTGGACATTTTCTATTCAACTCTTTAAACCGTTCCCATGCCTCATGAAACTGTTCATTTGGTTTTTGGGCAAAAGATAATCTCATGTCGAGAGTCTTTGAAGCTGGAAAATACTTGTTTAAGAATTTTTCACTGAGTTGGTTCCAAGTGCTAATGCTTCCAGATGGAAGTGTGAGGAGCCATCTCCTTGCTTGATCTTTCAATGTGTAAGGAAATAGACGAAGCTTAATAGATTCAGCTGATAATCCTTTCACCAAAATATTCTTGCATCCCATTAAAAATTCTGCAATGTGCATGTTAGGATCATCGGTTGATAACCCATGAAATGTAGGTAGAATACTCAACATGTGATGCTTGATTTCGAATGTAGACCCTTCTTCCACTGCTGGATATGTAATGCAACCTGGTATGTTAGTGGCATGAGCTGTTAAAGAATTACCCAAAGGATCACCAGCCTCTAGAATAACAAAAGCCATTGTTTCTGTACTGTGCAAGTCCTCAGAATATAAAGACTGCAGAAAAATCCCTTGCAGTGAAGGAACCAACATCAAATTTTGCTCCCTGCGTCTCCTCCTTAAAGATTGCTCAGGTTCTGGATCAAACGGAAACAATTGCTGAACTGTTGAACGTGTGCTGACCATGCACAGATTGTAATATGCACTGCCTTGCTGTGATCTGCAAAAATAAATAAAAACGAAAATTATTTTTTTTTTTTTTTTTTTTTTTTTTTTTTTTTTTTTTATGTATGTATGTATTATTAAAGCAAATAATATGAATTAGAACGAACTAATTTTAAATTAATCCCCGGCAACGGCGCCAATTTCTTGATAGGCTTTTTAGTACCTGCGCAAACAGGGTTAAAACTCCTACAAAACTTGCAAGAATGACAAGGTTATTGTAGTATAAATGATTCTCGCAAGGTCGTTCTTCGCAAGGATTATTAAATAACTCGTAGCAACCAAATTCTAATTAATTATTGCAAAAAAAGAAAGTTGAGATGTTTGATTTGAAAAACTTAAATTAAAAGGAATTTAACTAATAAAAATAAGGCAATATGCAAAATTAAAGCTAAGAGCAAGAGAAACAGTTGTGTTTTTAGAAATCAAATTAAGAAAGCACTAGGGATCCGCCGTCACCTTAACAATTCTATATAGTTCCCCCAATTACTTATGACCTATACATGCATATTTCGAAGGTTAGGTATTCCTAATATATGCCTACTTGGACCCCCAACATAGAGCGTATATCACACATGCAATTCGTCTGTGGTATTCAGATCAAATCTAAACATACATGACTCATTAAGTTCTGTGAAACCTTTTGAAAAACCATGCAACCCTTAAGACGTGGTATTCATCCTAAGTGAACTTGCACATATTAATCACAAGAAGCCTTCGTAAATTTCAGGGACCGACTTCCGACCAAAACTGCATCAAATTACTTTTCTAAACATCCTAATGGTGATCAAGCATCAAGACACTTAGATAGTTTAACCCAGTGATGAATAATTCGAAAACCTGCATGCATATAATCATAAGCAAATTGGACAGAAACTACATATTCTTGCTAAGGCTCGTGGCCTCACCCTAGCAAAAGAGAGTTAGTTACGCATGTTCACAATTGAAATCCAAGAAAATATCATTAAGAAAAATAAGAATGAAAACACCTGAAAGTCGCGAAAATCCAAAACCCTAGCAATTGCTCCAAAAGCCAAAAAGAAGTAAAAAGGGAGTCCCTAAATTGCTGTGAAAAGGAGTTTAAATACCTCCTAAAACCTAGCTCCCCAATCCCCACAAGGAAACTAAGTTAAAATAAAATAATACTAGGAAATAAAGTCCAAATGGGATTAGGAGAATCTGCCAATAATCTGGTCAGCCACGTTTTGGCCTCAAATCTCCTCCAAATCTGGCCCAAGATAGCTCGTTTTAAAGATAAAAATATTCCGAACACTTCTCCAGAAGGCCATGAACCCATCCGAGGTCATCTTGGGCTCCAAAAACGCAATACAAGTCCAAAACGTCACTATTCCAGCACTGCACATCGCTCCTTCATTTATTTGCCAGGAAATCATCGCTTGGTGGAAAAGTCTGATATTTTGATACGATCAAGCTAAGTGGCTCACGAACGTCCTCCAACTGGAATTACTCCAAAATTCGTCCATTTGATTATGTTTTGCTCCAGAGGAAGTCGAAAGTCCTATATTGGAAATATAATTCAAAGTATCAAAATTCTTCCAAAATATTAACCAAAATATACTAAGAATGAGGCTAAATATATAATATAAAATCGACTCATCAATGGGAGTTGAGCATTCGTGAGTTTAGCATGAGAGAGAGAAGGCATGGGTTTCCTATGAGAAATTGAGGTTTTAAGGATGAGAGATGAAGCTTGCTCTCTGGATCTTGATAGAAATTGTTCAATCAACTTGTATATGTCATCTTGATAAGACCTCTTATTTATAGGCTTACAATGGTAAGAAAACATTAACAACTCATAAGTTACAAGCCCATAACTATGGTATTTAGTGCATAAGTTACATAGAATTAGAAAGGATGAATGCTAAAAGGTATGGTGGTCATCCACCAACTCATGCATTTACAACACAAATAATAATTTAACCAATTATCAGAAACCCATAATGCAATTCTAAGAATGAAGAAAAATAGAATTTTTAACCCTCTTCAAAGAAAATAGCATTACACAAGAAATGAAATAAATATTTGAGGTGTGGCTCCAATATTGACGACGCAAAAAGAGAGAGAGCATCAGTGAGAGAAGAGAGAAAGATAGGGGATTTGAGTTCGAGGGGAAGAGAAGAAGAGATGAAAAGAAAAAGGGATTTGTGCATTTTATTTTTAGGACAAAACGGTGGGGCCAATATGCCTAATGGCCTACCACCACAAGGAGCACCAATGAACCCACAGATGTTGGGTAAATTTGGAGAAGTTATGATGAATCAGTTTGCAGGCAATGATGAAAACCGAGGAACACCTGAGCAAATAAGAAATCAACAGGTTGAGGAAAGGCCACTACAGTATTGAGTTGCTCAAGTTCCCTTTTGTTTATATAGTTGTTATTGAGCCAAAATTGTATTCCTGATTAGTTGTGTTTGAAATTTCTTAAATATGTTTTCCCCCCATGATCCACAAGAACTATCAAATAAATTTGCATTTCACAAGCTGCAAGCACGATGCTAGAATTTCTGAACGTTGCTCTCAACTAAAACATAATCTTACCCTCTGAACTTCATTAATTCTACACTCTAAATGAATCCATAGACAATCTAATTTGAAAGTTCAATAAATAAATAAAAGCTGAACAACCCTCAATTTGTGTGGTGTTTCAACGATCGCACAACTCTTGTTGATTTGATGATATTGCCCTTGGTTTTGACAGAAAATTGGACAGAATTGACTTCATGGATGAGATTGATGTGTGGGATAAAAGGATGGAGATAACATTGATCGAACTTGAAGAATTTGGGACAAAATTGATGTGTTTGGAATAGTACATAAACAATGAGGGGTTAGTTGGAATAGTTTCTTCGGTAGGTCACTCTATTTTCATCGTTGTATCTGCTAGGCACGGAAGCTTTTTAAAAACATTGACAACCAAAAATATCCTTATACTTTAAACAATACAGATTCAAGATTTTTTTTTAACAGAGGGGCAATATTTAATATAAATAAAATTTTGTCTATTACACAATTAGTTTACCAAAATTCATATCAAATCATCAATTAATTTACGAAAATTAATATTAATTAATCTATATATATATAATAAAAAGACTTAATTATGTACATGCCCCCTGTACTTTCAAACTTATCTTAGATTACCACCTGTGTTTGTAAACGTTTCAAAGTACCCCTCAACTTTTTAAAAAACCGTCTTACGTTACCCGTTCCGTCAGTTTTTTTGATGTTCCGTTACGAACGTTGGGCCCCACTTCCTTTTTTCTCCTCCTCCCCCCCCCCCCCCCCCCCCCCCCCCCCCCCCCCCACAACAACAACAACCCCCCCCTTTGTTACTGTTCATCCGAACAGTTTTTGGGCCACCATCTCCTCCTCCGGCCACCCCAAGCGACGACATGGGTATCAAAAGAACCAACACATTGTACTCTACCAACCTCACATCTCAGTCACTGCCAACCGCCGTCTGGATCGCCGGAACAAGCAAGAAATTGGCCGGTTGGGGAGGGGCTGCTGGTTTTGGGGGGGGGGGGGGGGGGGGGGGGGGTGGGGGGGAGAAAAAAAAGAAGAAAAAAAGGAAGTGGGGCCCAACGTTCGTAACGGAACGTCAAAAAAACTGACGGAACAGGTAACGTGATACAGTTTTTAAAAGGTTGGGGGGTACTTTGAGACGTTTGCAAACATAGGTGGTAATCTGAGATAAGTTTGAAAGCACAGAGGGCATGTACATAATTAAGCATAATAAAAATGCATAACAAATTATCAATTAAACAAACAAATCAAAATGCATACCTCGAGTCGTACTCTGCGCAGCTTATTCGAGTTTGCTACTGATTATATAAATACATATAGAGCCGAATCAACAAAAAAAATAGAAAAAAACATATTATAAAAATAAAAAATAAAAAACATATGAGAAAAAAACTAGGAGAGAGAAAAAAAACTAGAAGGAAAAAAAAAAAGCAGTGGCGTGACTCGTGAGTGAATTCTTCACCGTGTGGTCTACAACAAGAACTAAGAAATAGCCTCTTCAAGTTTCAAGGCAAGACAATAATTCAACGCAAGAATCAATTCAAGTTCAACACATGTATCATTAGATGATTAGATCCTCTCCATCGCTAGCTTGGACTTATGTTATTGTATTGTATAAGATTTATTTGCTTTGCTTGCAGGTTTCATGGAGTAAGAGGGTAAGGCTTCTTTGTTGTATTGAAGCAGATTTCCTTCTTCCTTTTTTTGTTTTAAGGCATGGTCTAAAATAACATCGTTTTGGCCAAGTTTTTATATAAAAATAAATAAAATAAATAATTATTATCTTTTTAATTAAAAATAAAAAAAAAAAAAAAAAAAAAAAAAAAAAAAAAAAAAAACAATGCAATGCATAAAGTAGCCAAACACAGAAAGTTCGCCAAGGCATTCTATCAAGGGTGGTGCTAGAGGCACCAACTTTGGGCATCAACTCTCTAATAGAGGTGGGGCCCGCCAATATACCGGGGCCCACGCTCTATTAGAGATTTGGTGCCCAAAGTTGGTGCCTCTAGCATCCTTCTATCAAACAGGTGGTGGGCACCTTCAAGACAGAGCGGAGGGGCAAACTAAAGGAACTCCAAACACAGAAATCTGATTATATCAGTCCAAATACCCTGCCTCTCCCTAATAAATTTAACAACCTTAAAAGAGTAACATTGAAATTTCTCTATCATGATCACAGGATATCCCCCAATGGTGTCTTTATATAACCAAGTCTGTATACCGCAAAATAACAAAAACATGCAGAGTCAGTCAATTGCACAATGTTTGTGTGAAAGAAACTAAAAAAGACCTGCGTACAAAAAAACAAGCCAATTGTTTCAAAGATGTTATGATTATCGGAAAAGTTATATCTACTACTCGACATTGTCACATGATGGATTAAGAGATAACTGATATAACACATCCATGGTTGCCAGAGGTGGAAGAGCTTCAATGTTTATTGGGATGGTCAGAATATCTGTTCAACTTTAACTGAGGCAAATTAAGTTCATAATTCTCTTTTTGCGTCAATGGCAACAATGCAGGATCTACTTTATCTTTACACAATAGATCAATTATCAATTCTGTAGTTGAAGCATCTGCAGAGAAACCCTTCTCCACCATTTGTTGAATAAGTCCTGTCACCCTTACTGTCTCATTGTTATTGATAAACCCTCGAATAATTACGTTATACGTACAATCATCTGGAGGACAACCTCTCTCTTCCATTTCAGTAAGCAGCTTTTCTGCTTCACTTGTTCGGCCCCCAATACAGAGTCCATTAATCATTATGGTATATGTCCTTACATTCGGTTGAAGCCCTCTTGATGATAAACTACAAAAGAGTTCCTTTGCAGATTCAATTTTTTCACCTATGCACAAACCTTCAATAAGAATAGTGTAAATCACAATATTTACATCCAACTTCTTGCCTTCCATTTCTTTAAACAGTTGGATTGCTGTAGAAAGTTGTCGGTTTTTACACAGGCCATCCAGTAGAATAGCATAAGTTTGAACATTTGGAAGTTGGCCACAAGCTTGCATCTCAGAGAACAACTTTTGTGCATCACCTAATTTCCCCACTTTGCAACAACCATCTACAAGAGTGCTATAAGTAACAGTATTTGGAACCAGTCCCTTACGAGACATTTCCAGAAGAAGCGTCATGGCCTCATCCATCATTTTATGCTTACAGTATCCATTTATCAATGTGCTATAACTAATAACATTAACCATGGAGCCCTTGGTAAGCATTAGCTCAAAAATCTTTTTCGCCTTGCCCATTTCTCCTCGGAAACAGAAACCATCCATAAGTGAAGTGTACGTAACCGAATCAGGTTCAATATCTCTTTCAATCATCATTTCGACCACGCCTTCTGCTTCCCCAACCATCCCCTCCTTACAAAGTGTGTCTACCAAGACATTGAACGTGCACACATTTGGAAAGATGTTTTTACTCACCATTTCATTCAACAACCTTGTAGCTTCTTTCCACTCGCCTAATTTGCAAACTCCATGAATCAAGGATGTATAGGTAATGACATTTGGGGAAATACCCTTGCACATCATTTCTGAGAAGAGGTTTAATGCATCATCAACTAGTGTATCCTTACAAAGACTGTCGATGATTGTGCTATAGACAACTAGGTCAGGCTTGCAAGCTCCTTCCTCCATCTTCCTAAGCAATTGAATAGCTGCACTGTTGTTACCCTTCATGCAAAAGCCCTTAACTAGTGTGCCATAAGTAACCACATCAGGCCGACAATTACCTCCTGCAATCATTTTGTTGAAAATTCCTGCTGACTCCGCCACTCTATTCTGGAGAAGAAAGCCGTTGATTAGAGTGTTGAAGGTAAAGACATCTGGTTCAAGACAAACTTTGAAGAATTTTCCCAAGACAGATAAACTAAACCCCATTTGGTTTAGATGACAATTACAATTTATGAGAATGTTTAGAGTATAAACATCAGGTCCAATTCCCGACACATGCATTTGGTTATACAATGAGATGACAGCCGAATAATGTTTCAATTTCGCAACTTGACCCAATATTTGATTGAAACGAACAACTGAAGGCAGAGGGCGCATTTGAAGCATTCTATCAAACACATTGAAAGCATCCTCAACAGTTGTGATTTTGGGCGAGTTTCTCACTGGCTGCTCTAGTTTGGTTCTTGTAGGTTTGATTGGTTTAGAAGGTTGAGAGTGAAGGAAAGCAAAGTATTCGTTGGCGAAAACAACAACAGTGGAGTTAGAGTGAAGACAAGGCATACCTCTCCATCTCCTGCTGGTGCAATAAGACGAAGAAGAAGCAGCTATATTCCGCATCATCATCTTCAGCATCTCAGTGAGTCAGTGAGTCTCAGCCAACCTTCAACATTTGGGAAGCGAGATCAAATCTCGAAAGGGAGCGGCGGAGCTCTCAAGTGCGTGGATGATGTGGTATAGCCGCACGTCTATACTATTTTTATTAAAAAAACAATAACGCTTCTCTGCTATACTATTTTTTGTTTTTAAATAAGGTATAGCCGTACGGCTATAGAGCAGCCCAATGTGTGAAAATAGTATAGCCATACGGCTAAACTATATTTAAATATAAAAAAGAGGACCCCCAACCATTAGGTGCCACGTGTCAACACAGGTTTTAAAAAAAATAAAATAATAAATATAAAGAAGAGCCTCTATCGATTAAAGCCACGTATCAAAAACAAGGATAGCTGCCAGGCTATATTTTTTATTATAAAAAAATAGTGGTATAGCCGCCCGGCTATACGATTTAATTAAAAAATTAATAATGAAAAAGTACCCTCCTAGTTGCATTAGTTTGTACATTATATATATTAATTTGCAACATATCCAATATAGATATTAATCTTCTACTATATGATATTTTAATATAATTTTTATAACATATGTTATTCTTAGTCAACAATATGTGAGAATTATTTGTATAATACGTGAATTTGTGTATCTTACTAAAAATTTTGTACAAAATACGTGTATAAAATATTAGAAATACATACGTACATGTACAATATGACTATTGTATGTTTGCTTTTTAAAGAAAATGTGAGACATGTATAGAACACGAATGTATTGTTGAAAAATATGTACCAACATATATATATATATATGCATACATATGTAAAAGACTATAGCCGCTCCTCTATACTATTTATTAAAGACAATTTAAAAATTAAAAAACAAAAACCAATAACGCTTCCCTGCTATACTATTTTTCAAAAAAAATAAAAATATAAAAAAATAGAAAAATTAAAAGTTTAAAAACCGAGTATAGCCGTTCGGCTATACTATTTTTTATATAAAAAAGATGACCCCCAACCATTTGGCGCCACGTGTCAACACATGTCTTTTTTAAAAATGAAAAACGTGGAGTATAGCCGGGCGGCTGTACTTCTTTTATTTTATTTTTTAAAAATTATTTTATTATTTTTTATATATATATATATATATATAAAGCAAAAGACAGAGAATGGTGAAACATTCAAAATACCAGAAAATGCCCTTAATTAATCCAAACATTAATAATTAAAATTATTAATTAAATGAGGATAATATGGTAAATTCACACTTTTTCATATTAAAAAAAATTAAAATTAAAAGAAAATTCAGATAGTGAATCCTATTTTTATGGAACACAACTACCCATTATCTTTTTTAATTCTAAAATAAATTTCATTTTTTTTATATAAAAAAGCCTCTCGCAGGCGCGGAAGTGAGTGCGGAGAGGCTAGTATATATAAAGAAGAACCTCTATCGAGTAATGGTCTAATAATAATGGATATTGCTCTAAGTCACTCTTATAAGGAAAAGGAGGGGGTGGGGGAGAAGAGTACAGGCTTTATTCTTTAAATATATTATTTAAGGAGTACAGCCGCGCGGCTAGACTATTTTTTGAAAAAATATATATATTGGAACCGCCTAGACCGCCTAGCCAGCCTAGGCGGCCGATTTTCTGTTCAAGTTTGGATATTTGGATATGGTTGTGTAGGCTAAAATTAGAGGGAATGGCTCCAATTCTAAGATGATTACATTAACTGGGTCTCTTTTCTTTGACTGAATTCTTAATTATTTATGAGTTTTCTGTCAAATGTTTTTTGTGTTTAGAACTGTAAGTTTTGATATGGAAATGGGTTTTCTGCGCAAGCTTGAATTTGTAGATTTGGTTGTGTTGCCCCCTTTAAATTTGGTTGAGTTGGTTGTGTTGGCTCTCTGTAAATTTGGTTGAGTTGGTTGTGTTGGTTTAAATTAGAGAGAACTCGTCATAAAAATCTCAAGACTCTCAATTTTTGAGGGAGCATCACTTGTGATGATGATGATAAGAGTTACATTGTATGAGGGATGTGGTTTAGTCTCATAAATCATAAAGGGGAATATTCTTTTTGCTGCTCTTTTCTGCACTAATACTTGTACCTGCAGGTTAGGCTTGAAGTGATGGGAAAGAAGGCAAAGAATGCAACCAACATTTCTGGAAATGAGGCTGGGAAAATTTCCGAAGAGATTTAGAAAGTGGAGAAGAGAAGGATTGTTAAGAGTACTCTTTGCAATGTAAGAAGTTCTCGGAGCCATTGCATGGTAGGATTCCCTTGGACTTTGAAATATATGATAATTCTTCCCCAGGTCTTGTCACTGGTTGGATATAACTTGCTTTCTATTTCTGCAAAGATAATCCTTGATGTCCCAACAGTAGGAGGACGCTTCATGCTTGTGGACATGGCTGGCTCTGAAAATATTGAGCAAGCTAGCCAAATTGGATTTGAGGCAAAAATGCAGGTAATTAAAGATAAAGATGCCAAGTCATGACTCATGACAGCTCATTTAGTTTGTTACGCTGTTATGTTTGTTACAGCAGGTTGTTAGGGAAAGTTTAGTACAGCCTTGGTTATATATATACACCTCAAATGTAAATGTAATTAAGTAAGAAAAGTCAGTAAATGAGAAGAGGATTATTCAGTAAAACTATTCTTCTGTTTTCCTTTGTTTCTCTGGTTCCTTTGTTTCTCTTTATGGTATCAATCGCCACTGCCTCACGGCACTCTTCGATCCTAGTCTCTTCCGCTTCTGTGCTCTAATCTCTGGTTTGATCTCTGATCTGTAAGCAATTGACTGTTGCTGTTCTTTCTCTTGATTCTTTGTCTCCTTCATCTCTGATGGCGTCACCTCTTGAATCCTCTTCTCCGATTCCGTCTATCCCCACTCAGAATCCCAATTCTTCCTTTTCAAACCCTAATTCGTCCCAAACCTACACTTCTCTTACAATTCAAAACATCGGTAGCATGGTGCCGATCAAGCTCAAGCGTTCGAATTATCTGCCTTGGTGTGCTCTGTTTGCCCCAATTCTTCGTCGCTACAAGCTTCTTGGACTTGTTGATGGAACTGAGTCTTGTCCGGTGCCATTTTTACCAGATCGATCACTCAATCCTGCTTACGAGAGTTGGTATGAGAAGGATCAGAATCTTCTCATCTGGTTCAATTCAACACTCTCTGAGGAAGTCATTCCGTTTACTGTTGGTGTTTCTTCGTCCAGAGATCTGTGGCTCAAACTTGAGCAGCGCTTTGGTGGTGTTTCTGATGCTCATATTCATCAGCTTCGTTCTCGTCTTCAGAGTATTCAGAAAGGCTCCCAAACAATGGCTGATTATCTACAACAGATCAAGGAAATCTCTTATTCCCTCACTGCAGCCGGAGCTTCGGTTTCGGATCGCGATCTTATTGTTGCTACATTGGCTGGGCTTCCTGATGAGTTTGAATCATTCATTGATTCTATCATGCTCCGTCTCTCTTCAACATCTCTTGATGAATTACATGGTTTATTACTCACAAAGGAGCTTTCCATGACTCGAAGGAAGAAAATTGCCTCCTCTGTAACCACTGAACCGTTTCATGCTCTCTCGGCCCAAGTCTCACCGCCTCTTCTTCCTACACCACCTCAGGCATTTGCTGCTCAACATCCACCGCTTCACAACTCTTTTCGATATAATTCCAATCGTGGCAGGAATAATCAATTTTCCAACAATCGGGGCAACTATGGCCATAATCGGGGCAACTACAATTCTGGCTCTCATCGAGGCAACCACAACTCTGGCTTCCCTTCTAGTTTCAATCGTGGTCATAATTCCAACTCTCGTGGTTCCTTTTCCTCTGGTGCTCGTGTTCCTTGCCAGATCTGTGGAAATACAAGTCATGAGGCCATCGACTGCTATGATCGCATGAATCCTGCAATTTCTGGTAAAATCCCTCCCACCAAGCTTGCTGCAATGTGTGCGCACTATACATCAAAGCCCTCTCCTTCCTAGCTCATTGACTCTGGCGCAACGTCTCACATTACCAATGACATCTCCAACATATCTTCTTCATCTCCTTACACCAGTGAAGACAAAGTCTATATTGGTGATGGTAAAGGTCTGTCCATCAACCATATTGGTTCCTCTTTGTTACATACTCCCAGTACTTCCTTTAAATTGAAAAATGTACTTCATGTTCCTCAAATGAAGCACAACTTGTTGTCTGCTTTTCAATTTGTCAAAGACAATTCATGTTCATTGACACTTGATTCTGATGGATCCCTTGTCAAGGATCGTTTTGCGGGGAAGATGCTTTTGCGGGGACCAGTTAGAGATGGATCCTATCCTTTGCAAAGCTCTCCTTCACCTGGTACTGCTTCTTCAATTTCTTCTTCAGCATTTGTCAGTATTAAAGCTCCAGTGCAGATTTGGCATAGTAGATTGGGTCATCCCTCCTCCAATATTTTTCGAAAAGTGATTTCTGGTAATAAGCTTGCACTGCAAGGTAAATCCTCCATTGATTTCTTCTGTTCAGATTGTGCTATAGCTAAAAATCATAAACTGCCTTTTCACCCTGCTGGTTCATCTACTTCCCATAGTCTAGCTTTACTTCATTGTGATGTATGGGGACCTGCCCCTGTAACTTCTGTGAGTGGTTTTCAGTATTACCTACTGTTAGTAGATGATTACACCCGATATAGCTGGTTCTTTCCTTTGAGAAGAAAATCTTAGGTGTATTCTACCTTTGTAACTTTCAAGACATATGTGGAAAAATCTGTACGTAATCAAACAAAGGCTATCCGTTCTGACTCAGGGGGTGAATTCACTAGTGCTTCTTTTCAGTCTTATCTTAATTTGCATGGTATTTCTCATCAGTTCAGTTGCCCACATACACCTGAACAGAATGGCTGTGTAGAACGCAAGCATAGGCATCTTGTCGAAACAGCCAGAACATTGTTAGTGGCTTCTAATGTTCCTAAAGTCTATTGGGTTGAAGCTCTATCCACTGCTACTTACTTGATCAACAGGTTGCCCATTTCTGGTCTTGCGCAATCTCCATGGGAGCTTTTATTTCATACATTACCAGATTATACTAGGCTAAAAATTTTTGGATGTAGTTGTTACCCCTGGTTAAAACCTTATGTTTCCTCTAAACTTGATGGCAAGAGCAAGCAGTGTGTTTTCCTTGGATATAGTTTACAGCATAAGGGTTATAGGTGCTTAGACATGATCACTGACAGAGTCTATATCTCTCGACATGTCTTATTTGATGAGAAGTCATTTCCCTTTACTGCCAAGTTTGCATCCTCCTCTGATTCTATCCCTACTTTATCTCCTGTTATTGACCTGCAATTTCCCATTCCCAACTCACACTCTATCTTACCAAGTTCTCCCTCCATCCATCCTTCTTCACATACTCCTAATACTAGTGAATTTGTATCACCACACAATTTCAGCCCTTTGCAATCTCACTCCTCTTCTCCATCTTTACCAGGTCAAAATATTCATCCTATGGTTACTAGATCAAAGAATGGCATTTTTAAGCCTAAAGCTTATACTGCTACCAAACACCCTTTATCATCTTCTCTTGATTATGTCCCAACAACCTATCATCAGGCCTCTAAATTTGCTGCGTGGAGATCAGCCATGCAAGCTGAATTTAATGCCCTCCAATCAACTGGAACTTGGATCTTGGTTCCTTCTTCTTCATCCCAGAATGTTGTAGGCTGTAAATCGGTATTTAGAATCAAGAAAAAGCCTGATGGGACCATTGACAGGTATAAAGCTCGGCTCGTTGCCAAGGGATTTCATCAAAAAGAGGGCTTGGACTATCAGGAAACCTTTAGTCCTGTGGCAAAGCTTGTCACTATCAGAATTTTGTTAACTTTTGCTGTGCAATTCAATTGGTTTCTGCATCAACTTGATATTAGTAATGCCTTCCTTCATGGTGATTTAAAAGAAGAAGTATTCATGCATCAGCCACCTGGCTTCAGTGATCCAAACTTTCCGAATCATGTGTGTCAACTCAAAAAGTCCTTGTATGGCCTCAAACAGGCTCCCAGGGCCTGGTTTGATAAATTGTTTCAGGCTCTCAAGTCTCTTGGTTTCACTCAATCATCTTCTGACGCATCCCTCTTTGTTCTCAAGGTTCCAGTTCTTGTTATTGTCCTTGTCTATGTGGATGACATCTTGGTCAGCGGTCCAGATTCATCAGTGTGCAATCTTTTCATCAAGAAACTGAGCTCTTTGTTTCCTGTAAAGGACTTGGGTCCCTTACATTATTTCTTGGGTCTTGAAGTTCAACGCACCAACGAGGGACTCTTTCTCCATCAAGGTAAATATCTGATGGACTTGTTACAAAAGACAAAAATGGAGGGTGCTAAGCCTTGTTCTACACCTCTTGGAACTACCAAACTGGATCACGGTGGTACACCTTTGGAAAATCCCACAGAGTATAGATCCATTGTGGGAGGCCTACAGTATTTAACTTGGACTCGGCCTGATATCTCATTTGCAGTTAATCAAGTCTGCCAATTCATGCATGCTCCAACTGATTCACATATGCAGGCAGCCAAGCGAATACTCAGATTTCTCAAGGGTACCCCTTCACATGGTATATGGTTTCATAAAGGTCCTCTCACTCTATCCGCCTACTCTGACGCAGACTGGGCTGGCTGCACTTTTGATAGGAGATCCACGGGTGGATTTTGTGTGTTTCTTGGCTCCAACTTAGTGAGCTGGAGTGCTAAAAAGCAGCCTACAGTCGCTCGTTCGTCTACTGAAGCTGAATATCGATCCCTGGCTCACACTGCTGCTGAAGTTACATGGATCTGCAAAGTCTTTCGAGATTTTGGTTTCTCCTCCTCTGTTAAACCTACCATTTGGTGTGATAACATTTCTGCTATCTCCCTTGCATCAAACCCTATTTTTCATGCCAGAACCAAACATGTGGAAATTGATTATCATTATATCCGAGAGCTGGTTCTTGCAAATCTGGTTACAGTTCAGTATGTTTGCAGCCAAGACCAGATAGCTGATATTCATACTAAATCTTTGTCTAAGAATCGGTTCCTCTTTCTTCAATCCAAGCTTTCTCTTGGTACTCCTAGTCTTTCCAAGCTCAGCTTGAGGGGGTGTAAAGATAAAGATGCCAAGTCATGACTCATGACAGCTCATTTAGTTTGTTACGCTGTTATGTTTGTTACAGCAGGTTGTTAGGGAAAGTTTAGTACAGCCTTGGTTATATATATACACCTCAAATGTAAATGTAATTAAGTAAGAAAAGTCAGTAAATGAGAAGAGGATTATTCAGTAAAACTATTCTTCTGTTTTCCTTTGTTTCTCTGGTTCCTTTGTTTCTCTTTAGTAATGTCTTGGTGGTGCTTAATTTATGCTGATACTGTATGCAGCACTTTCATTGTCATTGTAACAAATGTTAAATTATGGTTATATTGAATTCACAGACTGCAAAGATCAACCAAGCAAACATAGCTCTCAAAAGAGTGGTTGAATCCATTGCCAATGGTGATTCTCATGTGCCTTTCAGAGACAGCAAACTGACCATGCTTCTACAGGTAACTTTTATTCACACTAATGTCAGTTACTAGGGATTATATGGTGCCCTGCCCTCTAACCTTGTATGTGAATGACAGTTCTCATGTTCTTTTTGTGCAAGATTATTTCGAAGATGATAAAACAAAAGTTTTAATGGTACTGTGTGCAAGCCCAGACCCAGAGGAAATACACAAGACAATCTCTACCCTTGAATATGGTGCAAAAGCAAAATGTACTGTCCGTGGTCCTCATACGCTAATCAAGGATAAAATTGGGACTGAAGATTCATCTGCTGTTATTTTAGGATGAAGGATTGCTTCCCTGGATGAATTCATCCTTAAACTGCAAAGGGAATGTAAGCTCAAAGAGAAAGAGCGAAAAGCACACAGGGAGTTACAGAAGACAGAAGAGGTTGCTGCACTGAGAGCTAAACTTGAGCTTATGGAAGGGACGGGATCTGGCAAAAAGGAGGAAGAAATCAACTTGAAGGTGACTGACCGTGAGTTGGAAAAGAAGTTGGAGGAATGGCAGCGTATGGCAAATGATTTTGTTGAATTGGAGAGGAGGAGAATGGAATAAAGGATATTGCAGCAGCAGCAGGAAGCTGAAATGCTGAGGCGGTGGTTGGAGGAAATTGAGCTTGAGCTATGCCGCTAAGGTGATGGAAATGGTAAGGAGAGTGGGACGAAGGACCATGATGGAACCCAGTTTGCCAAAAGGTTGTTAGGGATCTATGCCAGTGATGACGCAGGAGGAATGGTAGAGTCAATGGTGATCAAGAACCTTTTGCTTGTGAGGTGAAATTTGTAGGTGGGGTTGCTTATCAATGTAAATGCTGTAAACATTGATTCTTTTGAACCAAAATATGCTGATAGGGTATGCCTAAGCACTGTTTTTGAGGAAGAATAAATGGAAGAAGAGGAAGGACTTAAGGAAAATGTGGAAGCTGAAGAAGTGGAGAAAGAAGTTATGGAGGAAAAGAGATTGTGCATGGTTGATGGGTCTAGCCTCCAGAGTAATTATAATATGGGATCCCTGACATCTTTACCTAAGGATTATCAACATACACCAACTGTGAATCGGCCAAGCAGAAATCCAGGGGAAGAAGATGGCAAGGGGGGACCGGATGATAGGCTTGTCAGGATCCGCAACATATTTACACTTGTGGAAACTACAGAGGGCTCTCTCAGCATGTGACAACTCCAGCACCTACTGTTGCATCAGTTAAATCAGAAAATGAGCAGAAACTGGCAGAAGAGATAAATAAAAGTCGAGTATGTGATGAGATGGCATTGGCTTCCAAGGAGAACTACAACCCTTCACTGATGCAGATACTGAAGTGTATGTGAAATGGGAGCCTTCAAAAAAGAATCCAGGGAAGTTCATAACAACACTTACGGTTGTAAAAGATGCAGGCCTTGCTGACCTGCGAAAGTTGATTGCAATTTATATTGGTGCAGACAATCAAGCATTCACTTTTCTCATGCTTGGGGTATGTCATTTCTAAATTCTCTAGCTTGTTGATCTCTTCTTAAAAAATGGAAAACTTTATTAAGACAATCATGCTAACATGGTTGTTTTTATTGACAAAAAAGTTGTTATAAATCAAGAAATATAGTGCATCTCTGTGATTAAAGAAACACTTGATTCAAACTTCTATTGTGTATATATACAGGCCCCCACTGGAGCTTCAGTACCAAAGGAGAAGGAAGCAACAATTCAGGCCAGTAAGCTTCCTCTATGCAGCAATAAATCAAATGGCTACCTTGCTAGCTTGAGACCACTGAAGGGAATGCAAAGCCCAAGTCAGATCCCTTTAATTCCTCTCCCATTGAAATCACTGGAAAATAGACTACCACTAATTAAAATAATTAAAAAAGACTAAGATTTTACTTAATAACATAAATTAAATTAAAGAAGGTCGCCAAAAAACAAAAGTAAAGAAACTAATTTTATACTTTTAAATAATTAATTACTATTTATTAAGTAATTTATTAAATCAGTAAAATATTTAAATATTCACTAAAGAAACAATAACTAAAATGTAATAACTAATTAAAGTAATTAAAAAAGACTAACATTTTATTTAATTACATAAATTAAATTAAAGAAGGTTGCCATAAAACAAAAGTAAAGAAACTAATATTATACTTTTGATGCGTATAGCCGCGCGGCTATACTCTTTTAATATATTACCAACAATAAAAATATGGATTTATAGTGTCATATTTCCTTAAATATATTCGAATATTTGAGTAATTTATGAAATAATTAAAATATTTAAATATTAACTAAATAATGTTAATTAAAATATAATTATTAATTAAAGTAATTAAAAAAAAGGCTAAGATCTCACTTAATTACATATATTAAACAAAAATGGTTGGCAAAAAAAATGTAAAGAAACTAATTTCAAATAAAATAAAAAAACCTCTCCCGACAAATGATTTTGTCGGCAGGCAAACATTTGCCGAATGAGACTTCTCCTGATGAATGTTGGCCAGCATAAGTCTATGATATTACTAATGAAAATAATTAAAAAAAGGCTAAGATATTACTTAATAACATATTATTAAACTAAAGAAGTTGGCAAAAAAAAAAAAAAAAAGTAATAAGACAATATCAACAAAAGAAAGTAATGCCATATATAAATTTTGATACAATCACAAAACTAACCAGGCTTTGAATCAAATGTCACGGGGATATCAACTCAGCAAGTCCAATTTGGGCTTGAATTCACGGGGATATAATAGGAATTCAATAAAAGGATTTCATTAATAAGATTAAAATGAAATGTTTTCAGGTCACAAAACACACCGTTTCATTAAGAGGATTTCATTCCCCAAATTCAAAACGGCGTTGTTTCATTTTGGTATTATCATAAAGAAAACCAGGGCGCAGTGGTCATCTTCTTCACAAGAACTGCGCAGGCAGCCTCAGTTGCAGCCGCAAGAGATTTCCGGCGAGGGGAGGTGCAGTTGCACCTCCTTGCACCTTAATAGGTCAGCCAGTAAAAGCTTTGGTTTGCAGCAATGGGAACCGAGTGCAGCTTGTGTTTTGCAAACAGCCTGGCGCTGTTGCAAAAGAGAGAAGCTTCAAAAGTCTCCCAGGTTGGCTAAAGAGGGTGGTCTTTCTGCCACTAATCACCATGCTGTCTCAGAGACACGGCATAAGTAGGTATGGCTAATAAAATGTTAAAGCATTGATGTAATTCAGGCAGTGTTCGAAAAATCAGCCTAGGCGGAAGGACACTGCTGACCAAACATGTTAAGCTACGGCTTCAACATTGTTATCAAGCCATTTTGTTTCAGAGTACCTGCTCATTTAACCAGCCAGTGTTTGAAAAATCGGCCTAGGCGGCGCCTAGGTGCTAGGCGGCTGCCCAGAGGGTTTTTATGGTGGCTCTTTTATTTCTCCTGTTTTGATGATTTTAGATTCACATGTTAAGCTATGGCTTCAACATTGTTATCAAGGCATTTTGTTTCAGAGTGCCTGCTCATTTAACCAGCCAGTGTTTGAAAAATTGGCCTAGGCGGCCGCCCAGAGGGTTTTCATGATGGCTCTTTTATTTCTCCTGTTTTGATGATTTTAGATTCACATGATAAGCTACGGCTTCAACATTGTTATCAAAGCATTTTGTTTCAGACTGCCTGCTCATTTAACTAGTCAGTGTTCCAAAAATCGGCCTAGACGGCACCTAGGCGCCTAGGCGGCCTGGGCGTGTCTGGGTGTGTCTGGGCGAGTCTGACTCAGAAAAATGAGATGATGATGATATTATGTGTGAGAGAGAGAGAGAGAGAGAGAGAGAGAGATGAGGATTGAAGAAGAAGATAGGTCGCGGGTTATGTCTGAGCGAGAGAGAGACAGCTCGGGTTAGACTTAGGGTTTGAGAAGGAAAATTTGGACATCTTGCGGCCAGCCTATACCTTGAAGAAGGAACACCTTCCAGTTGCAGCCAAAACGAAAGACAGACAAAAGAGCCCTCCTCCCGTATGCATGGCTCGTGGATCTTCCTGTTCCCATTCTCCCGTTCCGGAAGTGAGTAAGCTTGCTTGGGATCATGCACCTCACTCGGAATAGCAATGAGTTAATAAGAGTAATCTGGTCTGGGCAAGAGGAATCATCTCTTTTTGCATCAACCATTATCTCATTTGCATCAACTGCTACATAACTGCAGAACGTGATTGGCTAAATTGTTCATAAGTAAATAAATCAATCAAGCTACCCAATATTTTGAATGAAATTTGTTCTTTATTTCTTTCTTGGCAGGGAACGCGTCAGGGGGAAAGATTCTGACACTAGTGTAACATACCGCTTGGTACGTGAGTATTGTGGTATTGAGGTGGATGTTGATAAGTTAGAGAATGCCTTCACGGGCACTAGTCCAGGTAAGGATTGAAGAAGGTGATGATAATTTAATACTAGTTTCAGTTTTTTTCTTCAACATGATCTCAAAAATCTAGATTTTTTTCTTTTCTTTTCAGATTAACTTTTTCAAGGCAATCTCAACTACCCAAATTTCCTATGTTTTTAAATGACAACAAAAGAAAAGGCACGGCGGCCTGTTGATTGGAGGGTTAACTCATCTGATTAGTACTTTTTGGGCTTGTTTTGTGCTTTTCTTTTGCATTATATGTTGTTTTCGCTATCCAAAAATAAGCAATGCTGTTTTGCCTGATAGTGGTTGTCTAATTCAAGACGTGAAAAAATAGCTCATAAGACATTTTTCGCACTTCCATCACAAAACATGCTTGCCTAAGAAAATAGAGGTTCATCTGTATTGTTTACCTGTGCATTCATTTTAATTTCTCTTTTCTAATTGTCCTCTGTATATCTCTGTTCTTCAGTTCCTGATAAAATAGGGTTTTGGTCAATATGTCCTCCACTTGAGTAAATGGCCAAAGTGTTGATGTTAATCAAGATTCAGGACTGTAGTGCATAGTCCATAGGGTGGGAGAACCTTGGTTGGTTCAATGTCTACGTTAGGATTGGGTGCTCCTCTGGGTATGAATATAACGAAATCACTTTCTTTTTTTTCAAGAATTAGAAACTCTTTCTGATGATTAAAAAAAAAACTGTATTTATCAAATTTTGTATAATCTAATAACAATTTCTTCAACTTGGGCTTGAGTAATCGATGTTATGGACAGTGAGGTATGTATCATGTCACACGAATTTAAAATTTTTTTGTCACGCATTTAACTTGTTCTGTATTCAGTTAGGTTCAAGATTATTTGGTTTTATTGGTGCTGGTGCTGCAGTTGGACAGCTTTTTGGGTCATTGTTTACCATGTATGTTTGCTTATTCAGTCTCTTGGAATTTGATATTTGCTGTGTGTGTGTGTGTGTGGTGTTTGTTGTTCTTAGGATGAGCTTTTGTTATGTAGTTGTTGTTTTGTCTAGTTTTTAAAGTAATTAACATTAGATATGCTGTGCAGAATGTTTGCTTATGCTTACTGAAAGTGTATACTGCCTAGCTTGTTGCATGTTTGCAGCTGTTTTTAAGTCGATCACCTTTCAGCTTTCCTGCTGAAGGCAATTCATGGGTCCTATCAGTAAAGAAGGAAAGCTAGTCTCATGCCAGGGATATGTTTCTATTTCTAGACATCCTAAGAAATATTAAATATAATTGAAGCAAATCAGGGAGCATTTTTAGAATGCTGACTACTTGGATTTTGCTATTGTTTTTAGAATGAACGTTGCTCTGAAAGTGCTGTCATGGGCATTTATCTATAATCACTTGAGCGGCCGTTGCAGTTTCTGAGACCCTCCAGAAAGTTTGTATTCTCTAACTTCTGGGTTCCAGTTCGTATTCTCTAACTTCTGGGTTCCGTTTTTACCTTTTCACAGTTTATCTTATAACTCAATTTAATCGAAGATGTCTGCATGCTAGAAAATGATAATTGTATGTAATATGCATAGGTGAATCTTGTGACCAGGCCTGGCAGAGAACTCCTATTTACTGTTGTCTCACAGGACGAAAAATACAAAGCCAAGTCACAAGCTTCTAAATTCCTTTTTACATAGAAAATCAAATGCATTTGGTTTTTTTATAAAATAAGTTCATCTACGAAACTGTGTCACTTGGTGCTTGCTGCTGTTGGTGTCTTAGTTTCCTCTATATGAGAAAGTTCTTTAATAACTTTGGTGCATGCATAATGCATTGGCTCGCTTGCTTTGCTACTATAGTACTATATAGTTATAAAGTAAAACACCAAAAAAGAAGTCTTCGCTGTAGCCATTCCACTCAAGACAGGATCTCTTATTTGGTGTCTTATATTGCATTAATTGTGTCATGTTCAACTTTAAGCGGATCACCAAACTATTTGAAACGCTGTTTCACTAATTACATGATACTGCAGGTTTGCATTGACGTATTTGTTCGAAGACTTGGAGATATGCTTCAGCAGCAGGAATGTACAAGCTAGCTTTCAGCACTACTAGTACTGTTAATGGGAGAACATCAATTGTGTCTCTTTACGGCCTGCCCTTATGGGAGAGCATCACATGTTTAGCTGTTTATATACTGTAAAGATGAATCATTCATGAGCTTTTGAACAAGTACCATTACAAGAAGTTGTGTTAGCTCTTTTGTTAGACATTACAGCAAGGGTGCTTGCCAGTCAGTCTTTCGTATACGATGTCATACGAAACGCAAGTGCTCTTTAGCAAACGCATGAGTAAATTAACAAGCCAATATTAACGTTTGTATCTAATGCGTTCATCCATGTAAGCATTGATGATCAATGCAACGGTCGGGTTTGAGTATTTAAAGAGTATAGCCATGCGGCCATACTTTCTGAATACATTGGAATACTTTAAATGTATAGCCGCGCGGCTATACTCTTTTAATATGTTCAAAACGAACATGAATCTTGCACTCACAGAGGACGGATTGCAGTGACAGCCATTTCGCTTCTCTATCAACCCAAGCATCAATTTGTTTTCTTCGTGCTGATGCAAATAAATTAAAAGAACAATATTACCCGGAAAAATTCATTGTGAAGCTTTGAATGATTCTTGGGATGAGTCACGTACTAAGTCGCTCTCTTTAAGAAGTTTCGTGGCTTTGCCCAATTTGTGCAAGCAGTTCAAAAAAGGTCATTACGTCCCCAAGATAAAACAGCCCCAGAATCTCCTCTGTCTAGGTTCTTCCTTGCACTGAGGAAGGACCTGAATACAAACACCTTTCTATGTTGCTTAGAAAACTTAGTTTAGAAAATAAGAGAAAGATATGAAGAGGAAGAAGGCAACAACTATGGTCTGTATCTTTTTTCTCTCCTAGCTGTATCAGATATATATATACAAGATTTATCACAAAAGAAACGTTGGTGGGCTTTAAAGACAACAAATGCATCAGTTGAAAAAATCAGCCCATGTTAATAGAAAATAACTCCTATTAATAAAGATAATTTAAGGCAATTATTGAATTATTGAATATATATAAATTTTTTTTTTTAAAACATACCAATTTCAACAATCCTCCACTTGTTTATTTTAGAAATAAATTCATTAAGCAACATATCATAAGACTATGCATAAGTAGAGGTGTTTTTCAACTTGAACCTTTACATAGTGACAGAGCTTTAGAATATACAAGAGTAACATATAGTTTTGAACTCTATCTCTGACAACACCACACACATAGCCCTACTAAGGTGAAGTTCAAAAGCCAACACTTTACGGCCATGTGCTTGTATCCCAATATAGTGAATGCTAGAAAATTTCCCCCAAAATTTTCATAGAAAGCGGCCTCACTTTCACATTCACATAGATGAAACTATCAGAGATATTCCTGTAGCTAGATATGCCACTCAATATAGAGTATAGATCTCATTAAGAGTTATAAACAACTTAACCTTAAATCTCTTTAGGATTTCATGCTTCTAAGGATGGATATGGAACAATAGCATGACTCCACTCATAACACTAAATGACTTGTTATTACCCATTGAACCTATTTCTTGGGATTTCCAAACTATAGGTTGGTTTACCATCATAAGTGACTTAACCTTCTAGGGGTTTTAGTCCCATTCCTTTTGAGGTTTTCCAAACCTTTTCTCGTGCTAGTCCTTTCGTCAAAGGATCAGCTAAATTCTCATCAGACCGTACATAATCCACTCTTACAGCCCCATTAGAAAGAAACTCTCTAATAGTACTGTGCTTGCGACGTATTTGGTCGCCTCTTGCCGTTAAAATAACGGTTCTGAATTTTTGCAATAGCTACAATACTATCACAGTGGATAAGTACAATTGGTATCGGTCTCTCCCACAAGGGGGTATCTAAGAGTAGGTTTCTCAACCAACATGCTTATGGGCTATCATCTTTGACTTCATTGTGGACTGAGCCAGAATAGTCTGTTTCTTAGACTTCCATGAAACTGCACCACCAGCAATATTAAATATATATCCACTAGTAGCCTTTGAATCATCTGACAGGGTATTCCAATCAGCATCGCTATATCCTTCTAGGACAACAAGAAACTTCTCATAGTGTAATCCAAGGTTCATCGTCCTTTTAAGGTACCGCATGACCCTCTCAATAACATACCAATGCTCCAAACTAGGTCTACTTGTAAGCCTGCATAGTACTCCTACGGCATAAGCTATATCAGACCTAGTGCAATCAATAACAAATCGAAGGCTACCAATGATGCTCGCATACTCAGTTTGTCTAACACTGTCACCAATGTTCTTGAAAGACTTTACACTAGGATCATAAGGAGTACATGTTGGTTTACAATCAAAGTAATTATACTTCTTATTGATTTTTTCAATGTAATGAGATTGATCCAAAGAGAATCCTTTTTCAGACCTAGTTATCTTAATTCCAAGTATCACATTAGCATCACCTAAATCTTTCATATTAAAGTTCGCACATAACAAAGATTTGATACTATTCACAGCATGAATATTAGAGCCAAAAATAAGTAAGTCATCCACATAGAGACATATAACAGTGCAAACATTATTCTCTTGCTTAAAATAAATGCATTTGTCACTTTCATTTATTTGAAAACAATTTGAGATGACTAAACTATCAAATTTTGCATGCCATTGCTTAGGTGCCTGTTTCAAACCATAAAGAGATTTGTCTAATGTCCAAACTTTATTTTCTTTTCCAGGAACAATAAAACTCTCAGGTTGGTCCATTTAAATTTCTTCCTCTAAATCACCATTCAAGAACGTTGTTTTAACATCCATTTGGTGCACAACAAGATCATGAATAGCAGCTAAAGCAAACAGTACACGAATAGAAGTTATCCTAGTGACAGGTGAATAAGTACCAAACAAGTCCACATTTTCCCTTTGCCTATAACCCTTGGCTAAAAGACGAGCCTTATATTTTTCAATTGAAACCATCAGGTTTTAATTTCTTTTTAAGAATCCACTTACAACCAATTGACTTACAACCAGGTGGAAGATCTACAAGGTGCCAAGTTTTATTGGACTCCAAGGAGTCCATTTCATCATTTATTGTTTCCTGCCAAAAATCTGCATCCAAAGAAGACAGAACTTCTTGGAGAGTTGTGGGATCCTGCTCTAAGGTATATATATGAAAATCAGATCCAAAGTCCTTTGCAGTTCGTGCTCTCTTACTCTTCCTTGGTTCTAAATTAGGTTTAGAAAGCTCTGTACCTCTAGGTTCATTATTTCTGGATAGAGAAAGATTACTAGATGTTGAACCCCCACTATTTCTCAATTTAAAAGGATATTAATCTTCAAAAAAATCAGCATCATTAGATTCAATTACAACATGGTTCTTTAAATCATAAAATCTATAGGCCTTACTATTAACAGCATACCCAAGAAAAACACATTCATATGCTCTACTAGCCAATTTTGATCTTTTTGGATCAAGGATACGCACGTAAGCCAAACAACCCCAAGTTCTAAAATACAATACATTAGGTTTCGTATTTTTCAAAATTAGCACATAACAAACAGTGAGTAGAATCTCCCCCCCACCAAAAAGAAGCTGCTCCATTTTTTGTAAGTGTCAATTTAGCATTACTTATTTGGGATGATAAGCGATTTTTTAAAAACTTTGGGAAGCCCAGCCCATTTGGTAAACTATGAGAAAATCACTTATTATTAAAAATTGTTGTGAGAGAAAGCTATAAGGGAAAGCATCTAATGAGGTGCTTTCATTTTTTGATTATGCAAGAATCAGTTTCGAAGAAGCACTGGGTTTAATGATTATGCGACAATCATTTTCTAATTATGTGGGAATTAGTACCAACAACACTTTTAACAAAAAGTTTACCAAACTCCAAACTGCTTTTTCTCGCAGCTGATTTCTCTCATAGCAAATCTTACAGCGATTATTTTCACAGCACAGCAATGCCAAATTGACCCTAAGTGTATACAAGTCTGCTCCAATTGTTTGAGTAAACCCAACCTTGTTGAGAAGATAGCTTGAGATCAGATTCTTCCTTATTTCTGGAGTGTGCAGAACATCTTTGAGGATGACAGTCTTTCCCGAAGTAAACTTTAATTCTATTTCTCCAGTTCCAACAACAATTGTTGTGTGAGAATCATCCAACAACACTTTCCTATCATCAGTCGCAGAATAGGTCTTGACAAAGGCATGATTATAGCAAACATGGCGAGAAGTGCCAGTGTTTACCCACCACCCCTCGGATCCATCAACCATGTTGATTTATGAAATCATAGCAATAAGTTGCTCTTCAGTTATATTCACTTGAGGAGCTGGGCGAGACCTATTCCTGCAGTTCCAGGCAAGGTGCCCTTGCTTGTGACAGTTATAACATAGAAACTGTCCCGAATCATCATCACGTGAGGGGGGTTGACTCTTATTCTGATTCTGATGAAGGTTCCGATTCTGATAGTGTTGAGGATTCCGACTTTGGTTGTGTTGACCATTTCGATTGTGGTTGTTGTTGTTGCGGTTCCTGTTTTGATTTTTCATATTCTTGTCATTTGTCTTCAGAGCAGTAAATTGTTCATCTAAATTCATGCCTTCAATAATAATTTCATGTGCAATTTTCTATAGTTCATGAGATTGTGCTTCTACTGATTTTTCATCCACCATTTGAAACTTCAAATAGCGACTGACAGCAAATTTCTTTGCACCAGCCTCTTCTGTATCATATTTTTTCTGAAGCGCATCCCACAAATCTTTAGCAGTATCATAAAAAGAATAATAATCATGAAGATCATCAGATAAACGATTCAAAATATAGTTCTTGAACAAGAAATCATTTTCAGTCCATATCTACAAGGCCCAAGTTTGTTCAGTTGTGGGATTGTCAGAGGCATATGGTTTATCAAATGTGCAGACATAAGCTAATTATTTCGTTGTAAGGTAAAACAACATCTTTTGCCTCCATCGTTTAAAATGAAGACCCTCAAATTTGGAAGGTTTATTTAGGTCAGGGGTGAATGAATTGTTTACAGCTTCCATGGCAGATGAACCGTCTTATAATCCAATTTCAACACTTCGGTTTCGGCTGCTTCGTCCTCCGGGTTCGACACCGAAAAAAGACCCAACCCGCCTAGGAGGCCCGCACAGCCGCCTAGCTGCCTAGCCACCCTCCTAGGCCAATTTTTCGAATACTGCAATTGATTGAAAGTCTGAAACCCGAAATAAATAAATAAAATTAGTTGCAAATTTGAGCTTGAGATTGAGATTGGGAAGCCGAAGCAGTGAATCACAAGTCAAGTCCATAGAAGAAGTGATCATGAGACTCTTAATTCATCTAATTATATTCCTCTCCCTGTTTCCTGCCTTATTCTCTTCTCTCTTGGCTCTCTCCCAAACGACATGTTCACCTCACCACACCAACGACAACGACGACACTTCCTCCCTCTGACAACTCCACCTTGGTCCCTTCTCTCTTCACATTGATGACATGGAGCAGAAGAAAAAAAAATACAAAATTTGCTGACTTGGTGTCTGTCTTGAGTGGAAGGAAATGATGAAGCCATCCTATCGTGGAGTTTCTATGGTCTTGCCAATAACAAGGTTCGGTTTTTAGGCCCCAATCTCAAATTCTGACTATTTATTTCTGGTTTGGTTAAGCAATAGATTGATTGGTTTGGTTCTTCATTGATGGTTCTTCTTCTTGAAACTTGATAAATCTTTATGCAATTAATATTCACCCATTGATGGTTCTTCTTGGTCAAACTGCTTTTCATTCTTTGGATATTGCATTTCTGTTATAGATTTTGACATTTGATCATGCCCTCTTGTTTGCTGAGAGCAAAAAAAAAAATTAAAGATTTGTCTCCTCCTCCTCTTGCATAGGAACACAAAACCAACCCACCAAAGAACAGAAAAAAAAAAATTGAAATATTACACCACCTCAAGTGAAAAATCTAATTCATTTAAGCTTTTATATTTGTTCTTGTGTCAGCATCTGTGTTTCTGTTGCAAACTGATCATGCTTGTGATCATGCACTTCACTCGGAACGGCAATGAGTTAATAAGAGCTGGGCAAGAGGAATCATCTCTTTTTGCATCAACCATTATCCCATTTGCATCAACTGTTGCAGAACGTGATTGGCTAAATTGTTCGTAATTTTTCCAAGGCAATCTCGACTACCCAAATTTCCTATGTTTTTAAATGACAACAAAAGAAAAGGCATGGCGCCTGTTGATTGGAGGGTTAGCTCATCTTATTAGTACTTTTTGGGCTTGTTTTGTGCTTTTCTTTTGCCTTATATGTTCTTTTCGCTATCCAAAAATAAGCAACGTTGTTTTGCCTGATAGTGGTTGTTTAATTCAAGAAGGGAAAAAGAGCTCATAAGACATTTTTCGCACTTCCATCGCAAAACATGCTTGGCTGGGAAAATAGAGGTTCATCTGTATTGTTTACCTGTGCATGCATTGTAATTTGTCCAATCTAATTATCCTCTGTATATCTCTGTTCTTAAGTTCCTGATAAAAACGATTTACACCCTTACTAACCCCTAAACCCTTGGCCTTTTTTTCTTATCCTTAACTAATTGTCTCCCAAAAGCCTTAACCCTGTATTCAATTTATAGTTCACTCCTCATCCAATCCTATCCTAGTTCTTATTAATTTGGTGGATTTCGTCGCAACCCCGTCCCATTCCTTCCTTCCCTGCTTATTTTTGACATTGACTCTGTTGCTTTTTTCTTTTAATTGGCAGAATCCAGTCCCTCCGGTGGAAGTTCAAAAGGTAAGTAAAAGCATAGATGGCGCCTTTATAATTTAATTCACATTAGTTTGTTATCTTCTTTTAGTTTCCGTATACAACAGTCTCGTCTGGTCACCACTTTTTCGGATACAGAGCTAGCTAGCCTGGAAGGAATTATAAATGCCTACTTTAACTTGTTTACTAATTCTTTGTGAAGAAATAAATTATGGAGGATTTCTATAGCATTGGTTACATGCAATATCATTTTTTTCTCTGTAAAATTGTAATGGTTTGTCTGATGTAGTATCTATTCTCTTAGGTTATACTGCTCCTAAACAGGATGAGCTTGTGGAGAGATATCCCGGGGTTGCTAGGGTTGTTCACCGCCCTCAACCTACTCATGATGTTGCCTCTGAAAGGGAAGACATTGATGATCTTCTCAAATTTCCCCATCCTCTTTGTGGGCGTTTTCTTAAGAATGCAATTGATGTACGCATCTTATAATTTTGAAAATAAAAAAGAAACCTGAATTCATATGCTTGTTCAGAAGTAAAAAATTAAATCAAGCTACCTAATTAATAATTTGAATGAAATTTCTTTTGTGCTTTTGTTCTTTCTTGGCAGGCAACCCTTATGAAGGGGAAAGATTCTCACCACAGTTCATATTCAAATTACAGAGGTATTTTATACAAGAATATACATTTGGAATTATATGAACTTGTCTACAAAACAAATATTTGAAGCAGATTTTGGGATCCTTTTGGATAAACAAATATACAAACTGAAATTTGGTAAAACTGGTGGGACTAATGTGATATGATGATGAACCGAAATCAGTAATGGAATTTTAATACTGACCTGATCTGTAAAGAGCCAAATGTATGTAATAACTTAGGAATGCTGCAGCCATTTGACAACCAAAACAAATAAGCTAATGTTTTGTTAGATGCATCCATGGACATTGTCTTTTGCTGATTTCATTTATTTTTTGCCTTGCTTTGCATGCCAAATTATTTGATATTTACATCTGATATGCAAGTTAATCACATGATGTGTGCATTTTGCAGCTTCAGCAGTAGGACCTTTCTACAAGGAGATCCGTTTCTTGGAATTTTCAGGACTCTTGATCTTTTATTCCTCTGTTGGTTACGTTGATGGTTCATTTTCTCTATGCAAAGGAGAATTTGCAAGGCATACAAAAACACCACAGCACAATGATGTGCCATGCTCAGTTTTGTTTTGGCGAGGATGGTAGAGTGCCCATGTGAAAAGTTTGACACAACAGGTTCCTTATGCAACAACACATATAAAAGTGAATCAGGAGATGATTGCAGGTCAAAGCCAAAAAGGTGGCAGGCCTCTCATCTCTCTTTTACATTTGTGATGTCGCAACTACTGGACCTAAGGGAAAACCTCCTAGAGATAGTGTGACCAGTTGAAGAATACTTAGCTTGCAGAATTTTCAAAAAGAACGTTATCTTTCTTGAAATCAATTGTAAAATATGCAGGCTCTTTTTGAGCATTTGCAATGCAAGGCAAAGTAAAAATTGATACACAATTTGTATAGGTTAGTATCATATACTTGTGAAGGGGCGGTGACTACATCACCAAGAGTACTTCTACTTCCAAAGCAAGAAGCAGCTCAAGATCAACCACAACCAGAACGCACGGCTATACTATTTTCTAAAAAAACAGAGCAGCGTGTGAAAATAGTATAGCCGGGCGGCTATACACTTTTAAAAAATTTAAAAACTGAGTATAGCTGTAAGAGGACCCTCAACCATTAGGCGCTACGTGTCAACACAGGTCTTTTTTAAAAAAATTAATAAAATGGCGTATAGCAGTGTGGCTGTACTCTTTTTTTTTTTTAAATAAAAAATTTATATATAAAGAAGAACCTCTATCGATTAAAGCCAAGTATAAAAAACAAGGATAGATGCCAGGCTATACTTTTTTATATAAAAAAAAATAGTGGTATATCCGCCCGGCTATACTATTAAATTAAAAAATTAATAAATGAAAAAAGGACCCTCCTAGCTTCATTAGTTTGCACCGTCATAATGTCCGCATTAATTCTGCTGCGCAAGGACTGCAAAGCCCCAGACTTGTGGAGGGACTTGCTCTCCTCGTTGGCTTGCTGTAGATGTCCCAGAATGTTCCGGACAGAACCCATCTCCTGCTTCACCTTCTCGGCCTCTTCCAAGAACAGACCAAGGTCGGTGTGCATATGGGTCGTGGAAGATGACATTCCACATTATTATCCCTAGCTTCAAGGTCCAAATCTTTCATAGCCTCTTTCTTTAGATCCACATAGTTGGTGAAGGATTTTGTCATCAGGTCAGGTCGTTCATCTTTCTTGGCTTTTCTTTTCCTTCCCTTTCCTTACCTTTTAAGTTTGTTGGAAGACAAAGATCCTGCATATTTAATTGATTTGTACAAATTAAACAAAACTAGATTACAATTTATACCCAGATTCAAAAATTGCCTTTTTAATTCATTTAACTAGCTACTACTATATAAAGGAAATTGTCGAAATGGATTAGTTTGGAGAGAATTTTTGCCTACCTTTGCCAAATACAGAGTGGGAGGAGCTGCAAGTACTTCGGTTGCTTATTTTTGGGAATGAGCAAGAATTAGGCAAGAAATCAATCAGCTGCAAGATATCTCAGGTTCTTTCTTCACTTTCAAATGAAATGCAACAAAAAGCTAAGCTGATGACCAGCTTTATCACAATGAAATTTCTAAACAGTTAATTCGGGATTTCTCATGAGAGTTTCAGACCGAAAGAAAAAAGCGAATGAGAGTCTTCAGACTCGATAGGATGCTTTTACCCCTCATTTTGACGAACAAATTGACAGAGTTGGATGGCATGACCTAATTAGAATTGTTTGTACAGTTAAAGGATGTAATTGCCTCAAAAAAAGGGTTGACCCAATTGCAATTGGGGGCAAAGTTCAGGGACGTCTACAGTAGATAACCTAGTTTTTATTGTATTAGTGTGTGCTATGGAAAATTCAAGTGTGTGGATGATTGCATGCAGCTCCATTTTGATTTTTGAGTTGATCCTATGCTTGGTATACCTCTACTCGAGCAGTACCATTTAATTGTATTTTATGTTGATCTGTTTTTTTTTTTTTTGGGCTGGTCTAATATAGGTTTCTACAACTTCTATTTCTTAAATACCAAATCATTAATTTTGAAATCTATGTATAAAATTCAAATTCAAATTCAAACTAAAATTTCTCGTAAGATATAAAAGTTCATAGTACTCTTACATATTTACATTGTTTGCCACTAGATGTCAGATAAGTCAATTTGACCGTTTCCAAGCATGTCATGACTTTGGTTTTTTTTTTTTCCTTCTAATCCCTAAAACTTTGATCAATAAAAAATCCTTAAATTTTCGACCAATAAAAAATCCCTTAAATTTTGTCCAAATAAAATAAAATAGGTAAATTATTATCAATACAATATAATGTACCTACAAATTCATCTATATATCTTGTATATATCTAATGTGGGTAGGTAAATTATTTTCACAATATACCTATAAATGTGCAGACTTTAATATACCTACAATATACCCATATTAGGTGAATTACAAGTTATACTATTGCATAATAGAAACTTATTAGGTAAATTATATCAAAAATGCATTTATAAAAGTTGGGTATATTATTTGAACAATAAGTAAATTCATACTAAGTACATTATTTTTATAAAAGAAGTAATAGGTACGTTATTTTTTAAACTACTCTTATATGCACACTATTATCTATATATATATATATAAAACAAAAGGCAGAGAATGGTGAAACATTTAAAATACCATAAAATGTCATTGGTTAATGCAAACATTAAGAATAAAGCCACTTGTCAAAAATAAAAAAACAAAACATTTTATTAAAGACAATTATAAAAATTTTAAAAATTTAAATTAAAAAAAACCACTTGTCTATACTATTTATTAAAATGGTGAATAAAGTCGCTCGTCAATACTATTTATTAAAGACAATTTTTTTTTAATAAAAAAACCAGTAACGCTTCCCTGCTATACTATTTTTTTTAATTAAAAAAATTTGGAGCGGCTATACTATTTTCTAAAGAAAAAACCGAGCAACAGTATTGTCGTTCGGCGATATTGTTTTAAAAAATTTTAAAGACTGAGTATAGCCGTGCGGCTAAACTATTTTTAAATATAAAAAAGAGGACCCTCCAGCCATTAGGTGCCACGTGTCAACACATGTCTTTAAAAAAAAATTAAAAACATGGAGTATAGCCGTGTGGCTAACTCCTTTATTATTATTATTTTTTAATAAAGAAGAACCTCTATTGATTAAAGCCATGTGTCAAAAAAAAGTATAGCCGACCGGCTATACATTTTTTATATAAAAAATCCTGGTATAGCCGGCTATACTCTTAATTACAAAATTAATAATAAAAAAGGACCCTCCTAGTTGCATTAGTTTGTACCTTATAGATATTAATTTGCAACATATCAAAAGTAGATATTAATCTTCCACTATATGATATTTTAATATAATTTCTATAACATATGTTATTCTTATTCAATAATATGTGACAATTATTTGTATAATACGTAAATTTTGTGTATCTTACTGAATTTTTTTTAGAAAATACGTGTATAAAATATTAGAAATATGTATGTACATGTACAATACGACTATTTTATGTTTGCTTTTTAAAGAAAACATGAGACGTTTATAAAACACAAATGTATTGTTGAAAAATACATACCTACATGTATATATATATATATGCATACATATGTAAAAGACCATAGCCGCTAGTCTATACTATTTATTAAGGACAATTTATAAATAAATAAAATTAAAAAAACCAGTAACGCTTCCCTGCTATACTATTTTTAAATAATATAAACCGTTGTACAGCTAGACGGCTATACTATTTTTATTATTAAAAAAATTGAGTATCGCAGCACGGATATACTATTTATAAAAAATAAAAATAAAAAGAGGACCTGCCTGGGGCCAGTGCCCATTTCGTCACGTGTCAAAACTAGTATAGCCTCGCGGCAATACTTTTTTTGATAATAAAAACCGTAGTATAGCCAAGCGGCTATACTATTTTATTATAAAAATATCCATGTATAGCCGCCCAACTATACTATTTATAAAACATAAAAAAGAGAGAACCCGCCTAGCGGCTAGCGCCTATTTCGCCATGTGTCAAAATAGTATAGCCGTTCGGGTGTACTACTTTTATTATTATAAAACATCGTATTGAAGCAGATTTCTTTTTTTTTTCTTTTCTTTTTAAGGTATGGTCTAAAACGACCTCGTTTTGGCCACAATTTTTTTTTTTTAAAGCACGATGCACCTGCACATAGTAGCCAAACACATAAAGTTCGCTCAGTCATTCTCTCAGACAGGTGGTGGACACCTTCAAGACATAGCAGAGGGGCAAACTCAGCTCCATGGATTTTTCCGACGAGGGGAGGTGCAATTGCACCTCCTTGCGCTTCTGTATGTCCGCTACAAGGCTAAAATCAGACCCAAATTTAGGATATTTTCCCATAACTAGGTTGCCTAGCCCCAACCCTTCTAAATGACTTTTTTTTTAATTAATAAACAAAAAGAAGATTCTCTCTTCTTTTTCTTTTTTTCTTTCCTTCTTTTTCTTCTTAATTGGTGTTACTATTTTGATTTTTTGTTTTGTTTTTTTAGTGGAAGAGAGTTGCAAAACTATGCCCTTATGTCAGGCCATATTGGCACTCAAAAAAATTTGTGCCATGTTTTTGGATAATTATTTGTTTCCATTTTCAAAAAAACTAACTTGCATTTAGTGGTAAAAGTAAAATGGAGTCAATTTGATATTTTCACAATTTTCACCAATTTCAACATATCCAAAAACAATAGTTCGTTTCCACAACTTAGCCTCCACCTAATCAACCATCCCCACCATCAAATTATTGTCACGACCAATCCCAAAAGACCACCATCATACAAGCGAGTCATTGGCGGATACAAGAATGTTTTAAAAGAGAGGCTCAGTGCTACATATTGAAAACCACAGTTTAACCAAACCAAACTGCTAGTATTTACACATACTAAATAAAATATTATTATAAGTAATAATATATAATATATAAGAAGTAAAAAATAAAAGTAAAAACCTTTATCCTGCCACCAACACGCATGCCTCTAACAAAACAAAAAAAAAGCACGCATCTCTCTCCATCTGTCTCCATCTCTTCTTCTCTCTATCTTTTATCTTTTTCTTTTTTCGTCTTCTCCTGTTTCAGTCCCTCATTTGTATCTTTTTCTTTTCTTTTCCTTCTTCTTCCTCTTCGTATGTCTCTGTCTTTTTCTTCTTCCTCTCTTTGTCTCTCTCTTTTTTTTATTTATATTCCTTCTTCTTCTCTCCATCTCTCCATCTCTCTTCTTCTTCTTCTTCTTTTCCTCTTCTCCTCAGTTTTTCCTTCTTCTTTTCTTCTTCGGTCTAAACCCGACACCGAGGCAATCCAAACTGTTCAACCAGTTAACCGAGATCTCCGGTTAACTACAGGTGGTGATTCGACGTTGGTGCCGAAATTGCTACACCGAAGAGCTCCGATTCAGTGGACAGTTTGGGGTCAAACCCGAACCAATCCAGACTGAGCTCACCCTTAAAATATACTGTTATATTAGAGATGAATTGAATTTGTAAAACTATACGGAAAGATATTGGCCATTTGTATCATCTTATCAAAATTATTATAGCGAAACATGGGTTTCCTTGCACTTACCAAACCTTGACTCAACAATGCATGCTTCTTCAAGTTTAAAACCAAGGAAGGACTCCGTCTCCGTCTCCATCTCCAAGTCATTGATATTCAAATTGAGATTTGGGAGCATCGTGCAATCTTCAAATTGGGAAGTTTTTGTTTCGGGCGACAGTAAGACTCCCCTCAAGTAGTTGGTGGGCGCTAGAGTAGAAGGGCAAATCCAGCACCTCCATGGCTTTTTCCCAGCGAAGTTACACCTCCTTACGTCTTTGTGGGTTCGTCAATGCAAGCAACCCACTACTAGCAACTCCAAAATTGTCGCCGACCTAACCACTTAAAAATCCCAGAAGGTATCGGGTTTTATCACAAAAAGATCTCAGTGTTATTAGTAGTTTAATCACTCAATTATATATTGTATTTACTTTCTCAAGTTTTCAATGTGAGAAATTACATTCTTCAACAAATCCATGGCCACTCGAACCACAACCATCAACATCAAACTTCGTAACTTAAACCACAATCACCACCATAGATCCAATGGAATTCACAACCACCTAATTGAACCCAATCGGCACCACCACCACCACCATGACTACCACCAACACTTATACCCAATCGAATGAGCCCCACCATCGTCAAAGCAACGGAACCAATCTGACTACTAAACCATCACCGACCATCGACCAATAAAACTAGAGGGAGATCATCGAATTCGAGAAAGAACTAGATAGAGATTAAGAGGAAAAGTGAGAAAAAGAGAGCAATATGTGGATAAATATTTTTTTTTAGCTGTGTTCTCAAATTTGTTTTCTAATTAAAACACCAAATGCATTCTCAAATATTGAAAACACAAAATTCATGCTTTTTTTAGCTTGCCCAAACAAATTCATGATTGTTTGATTTTTGTAATTTTATGTAGGGAAATTCTATATGAACCCCATTATTTGCTCTTTACACCCCATAATTTTTTACACCCCACAAAATTTTAATAAAATTTTAAATTACTCATTATACCCCTTTTTTTTTCCTAAATTGTCCTCATGAACCCCATTCCCTAACTCACTGTGTAAATCTCATCCCATATTATACACCACCCATCGAAAAACCCTTTCTATTTCAGACACACCCCATCTAAAATCAAACCCCATCCCATCTGATATCAAGCCCCACCTCATCGAAAATTCCCTCCTCTTGCAGACACACCCCATCAGATTTACAACAAGCTCCACCGCACACCCCATCCCCTTTGAAACATAGCCATCGCACAACTCATCTCTGCAAACCACCAAACCCCATCGCACAACCCATCTCTGCAAACCCGAACTCATCTATGAAACAGAGCCATTACACCCCACAGCCAACCCCAAATGCCTCATCCCGTCGCAAACCACCATCTCCTCAGCTATCTCAAGCATCCATCACCAATATATCAAGTTTTCACAAATCCTTCGAAGAGCTAAGGTTTGATTTCAATTTTGATTTCTATATTTACGTTTCTAATTGTTGATTAAGCCTACATTTGATTTCACTTTTGAAAAGCCAAAGTCTGATTTTAATTTTTGATTTCAACATTGTGGGTGTATGGTTCGAACCTGGTTTTATGAAACTGGATTTTAGTTTCGGTGGATTACCATCGAAATGGTTACATTGCTTCAGTGGTAGTCCATAGAATTTGAACTTGATCTGTACTAAAATTAATTTTACTTTCGGTGGGTTACCACCGAAATTGTTACCTTGTTTCGGTGGCAGTCCACCAAATTTGTTTCTATTTTTCAAGAGATTCCCACCAAATGTATTTCGGTTTTTCAGTGGTACTCCATCGAATATGTGTTCTTTTTTCAGTGATAGTTGATGAGTCAATTTTATATTATATATTTAACCCCATTTTTAGTATATTTTGATTAATATTTTGGAAGAATTTTGATACTTCGAATTATATTTCCAATATAGGTCTTTCGACTTCCTCTGAAGCAAAACATAATCAAATTAACGAATTTTGGAGTAATTCTAGTTGGAGGACGTTCGTGAGTCACTTGGCTTGATCGTATCGAAATTTCAGACTTTTCTACCAAGCGATTATTTTCTGGCAATAAAATAAAGGAGCAGTGCGCGGTGCTGGAACAGTGACGTTTTGGGCTTTTATTGCGTTTTGGAGCCCAAGATGACCTCGGATGGGTTCGTGGCCTTTTGGAGAAGTGTTCAGAATATTTTTATCTTTAAAACAGGCTATCTTGGGCCAGATTTGGACGAGATTTGATGCCAAAACGTGGCTGATCAGATTGTGGGCAGATTCTCCTAATCCAATTTGGACTTTTCCTAATATTATTTTATTTTAATTAGTTTCCTTGTGGGGATAGAGAAGCTGTACATTGGCAGCTAGGTTTTGAGGGGTATTTAAGTTCTTTCTCCCAGGAATTTTGGGAACTTTTCTTTTACGCAATTCTGGGGAAGACAGAGACTTTGGCTAGGGTTCTTGAAGAGCTTCTACATCAAGGTGTTTTTATTCCTTTTCATTCGAACAATATTTTCTTTGATTTTAATTATGAGTATGTGTAACTAATTCTCTTTTGCTAGGGCAATGCCGTAAGCCTTAGTGATGTGATTAATTGCAAGTGGATAGTATTGCTCAAATTAATATAGTAGTAAGTAGAGTATCGTTCCAACAGGGATCAAGTGATCTATTAAATACTAGAGTGATTTATTTCTAATAATATTTGAATTAAACGAAAAGAGAATTACGATGATTAAAATCTAATTAAGCAAGCAAAATAAATTGAGATTAAGGAAATAATGTAAAAGATGAAAACAAAGATGATAAAACACTAGGGCACCGATTCACCTAGCTAATCCCACCTAAATCCTTCTAGCTTGTTAATTCTAATTACCTAACATGTTGATAATCGTTTTCCCTTACCTCACCAATACTCTCTTCCGAGTTATATTAGTTGTATTCCTTACCATCAACCCACTCTATTCCTAGTTATGGATTTAGATAGCTAAGAACCCATTAAGATTTGTGGAAAACAATAAAGATTACACAAGCCATAACCTAGTCTTCTGAGTCGGCTATGTAATTTATGGTACTTGTTACAAGAAGCTATTTACTAGGAATTTCCTTCCGATCTCAACCTAATTCTCCCAATCATGCAATTAGTGGCCAATTAATTGAAAGCATTAAGAATGGTAACAAGCACTCAACATGTATAGATAAATAAAATTAACAATATCAAAGAATTTGAGTATTCATAGCTAGGCTACATCGTAGCCCTAGTAAAAGAAATTAGTTCATGAAAGACTTATTAAGAATCATGATAGTTGATGAAGACATGGAAGACATTGAATTCTCCAAGTAGAATGCCAAGGTTGCGCAAGCTTTCTTCGTATTCTCCTTTGGATATTCCAGGTATGAGTATGAATATGTAGGATGATGGCTAATGGATCCTTTGAACAATGACCTAAACTTCCTATTTATAAGACTCCTAGAAATCCTATCTAAGGTATAATTACAATTGTTATAAAAGCAGGATTCCTTCTAAAATAGGGTTTTCTTTATTTCTTCTTGTTTGACTTGATAGGACTTGAAACATCTTGAACTAGGAAATTTGACAACATTCCTTGCGACAAAAGGAATGACTTGGCTTCTTGACTTGATTAATTTCCAATCTTCATCTTCTTGCCCTTTTTAGCACACTTTCTCCTATTTCCACAATTCCTTCACAAATCTCACAAAACCAATTAAACAACCAATTTAACCTAAGGAAATTAACAAATAAATAAGTGAAGGAGGCATAAAATATATATAAAATATAGGCTTATCACTTAGCATGAATATGTAATTTTATTAATTTGCTTATGAATGGATGCATGTTTGCTTTGAATTATTAATCACTGCGTTTAAAACTATCTATCTATTTTAATGACTGATCACCATTAGGATATGTAGACAAGTAATTTGATGCAATTTTTGTTGGAACATCACCCTGAAATTGAGGATGGCTTCTTGTGATTAGTAGTTGTAATAAGTTCACTTAAGGCAAACATCACACTCTTAAGGGTTGCATGGTTTTTCAAAGGGTTTTCACAAAGCTTAATGACTCTTGCATGTTTATATTTGATCTGAACATCACAGACGGATTGCATGTTAGATATACGTTTTCACTTGAACATCACAAGGAAAATATGCATTAGGAAAACCTAACATTCAAAGCATATATGTGGAAATTCATAAGTAATTGATAGAATTGCATAGGATTGTGACGGTGATGGCTAAACCCTAGTTTTCTCTAAATTGTTAGTCTTAAAAAGGAAACGTTTTTCTTCTTACTGTTATTATTTCCCAACTTTCAAATTTCTTTTATTTTTAATTTACTCTTTTCAATTTCACAAACTTCAGATCTTTGATGAAATCTATTTTAGTTATTAATTAAGAGTTAGTTTAATTACAAATTAGTCAAACAATCTTTGGGGACAACGACCTTGCATGAGCATCTATACTACAATAGCCTTGTATTCTTGAAAGTATTTTATGTGATTTTAACCCTATTTTCACAGGTACTAAAAATCCTATCAATAGTCCACCGAATTTGTTTCCGTTTTTCAATGATCATCTACCGAATACGTTACTAAGTGTGTACTTAATATTGTTTGTTTTTAGATATGAAGAGGACTCGTAGAGGTACTATTGAGGCTTCATCATCTCGACCTAATAGACAGCTTCCCACGACCTCAACGAGAAGACAAAGAGCGGCTCCCCAAGATCACTTTGAGGATACTATAGAGGTTGAAGATGTAGCTCCTACTCATGATAATAATGTTGACGCAGAGGTTAAGGGTCCCAAATAACTCTTCATTAAATTGATTCCATTGTTTGAGGGTCCCAAATAACTTCTTGCAGTTTGTCAACACTCCTTTGTTAAAATGTCATTTACATAATAAATGTCATGCTTTCGGAAATATAAACATAATAGAATTCATGAGTGCTAACTCTTGATCGGTGACAATAACACCAAGAAGACAATTATCATCCAACAAACTCCTCAATGCAGTCAATGACCATGTGTAATTGTTTTCTTTTTTAGTATTCATATACACATATGCAACAAAGAATGTCATATTAGTAGATGTCACCCCCACAATTTGCAATAGCGAGAAACGATATCTATTAGTCTTATAAGTGCAATCCATGATAAGTACATGTGGAAATGCACCCAAAATCTCAATATTAATTGGGTATGTCCAAAACAGGTTAGTTACAATATCACTAGATGTCCTATGCCACTCAATATAATTGTGTTCGAATAACTTAGTAAGCAATTGTTTCATTTGGGTTCTCCCAGCAAATTCTTTGGTTCTATTTCGGATCCTAGAATTGTATATTGTCTTTATAGTTGAAACATTTATTGCATCTCTATCTTAAAGGGTGACCAAAATATCTCTGGGTTTCACCAAACTCTTAGACATGTCCACCAACAAGGCATTCTCCTCTTCAGAAAGTCGCCCCACAAATGAATGACCTTGAAGATTCTCTGAAATGGTTGTGTACTCCACAAACCACCTCCAACTTCCAATCATCCCCATCACCAATATTAACACCTTTTAACAAGAATGAGCATCCATATTTCTTGGTACCAATGTTCCTAGCACATTTTTTCATATCACTATTTGCATTCGACCTTATATCAGTTGTCTCACTAGACTTACAAGACTTATAGTTACCGCTCCTCTCACAAGCAAGTATTACACGAGGTCTCCTCTTGCCCTCACCTCCATAATCAGACATTTTAATTACAATGACAATATTATTCATTTTTCCTTGTGCACGAGCCCATCTAAGTAATGCATCTCTACCATTGAATATGTACACATAAAACTCATATTATTTAAAGATAAAATTTGAAACATTAATGCCACGTTAATGATACTAAAAAGGATTTCAGACAAATAATTACCGAATAAGTTGTGAATTGATCACTATAGTCCATTACACATTTTGTTCCCACATTGTTGCCTTCAGTAAGGGCGTCACCTTGTTTTTGTTCCTTCAATGGGAATAAGATCAAAATAGTTTGCATTAAATTTGTGATCAGCAATAAGTTACTGAAAAATAATAATAATAATTTGGTTCGATGCCACTAAAACGCATGTAAAAGTTCGATAGTGAACCACTGAACTACGTTCCGTGTTACGGTGGATCTCCACTGAATATTAAGTTCATGACCGGTCAAACCCAATCGAAAAAAGGTGCAACGTTTCGGTGGCATCCCACTAAATTTACCTATCGCATTCGGTACTTATGTGATGAACGCAACCATCGACTATTATGAAATACTAAACTTGCAAAACGCAGAAAAATTAACTTGTACCTCATTCGAAGCCTCTCTAACTTCAATCTCACCTTTCATGAATAAATACAAGATATTTTTTCATCAATATAAACGTATAAATCTAGGGTTTAGGGTTTAGGAACATGATAGTTTGAGAAAAAAGTCAAATTAGGGTTGCATGAACATATATGAGGTATAGTGAGCAATTTTAATTTTAATTTTAAATTTTTTTTGTCCTTAACAGTAATTATGGACAAAAGTAAAATAGGTTATTCATGTTTAAAATTAGTAATGGGATGCCAATAAAATCTCCCTTTTATGTATTATTTTTTTCCATTTTAGTCATTAAACTTTTAATACGCTCCACCGTGGCCCACCAAGGCCACCAAAGCCACCAGATCCAATAGGTCCTCCAATCCATAGGTCACAAAGAGAGGCCCACTCCATCCACACCTACTCGCCGCCGCATACAATTTTTCCTTTCATCCTCCGCTAAACTTATCATCGAAAATCTTTCTTTCCTTTCATCTCTGACGCTCTCTCTCTCTCTCTCTCTCTCTCTCTCTCTCCTCTGGGCAATCAAACTCGCTGTTTGACTCAGACCGAACCCTCGCTGTCGCTGATTTGCTCCTCAGGTACTCTCTCTCTCTCTCTCTCTCTTTCTCAGCGACCCTCACTCTCTTGCCGAGTCGGAGTCGATCCCGACTCGTTCCGAGTTCGATCTCCAATCTTTCTGAGTTCGTTCCTCTTTTGTGGATCCTCGTGCCTGTGACTGAGCAAATTTAGGTTTTGGTGCCATATCAACTTAATTCTCTCTCCTAGGGTTTTTGAAAGTGGTTCTTTGTTTTTAAGATTTTAACATCAAATGACTGAGACTGCTGTGCTTTGCGCATTTTTGTTTGGCTGTAGAGAAAATCTGGACAAATGAAGAAACCAGAAAGTAGTGGAATTTATGCTTTATGCTAGTTTTGTATTCATTAAAATTTGTGGCTTACGTCGACCAAGCCTAACTATGGCATGGAGATCCTTCCTTATTTTTCACATTCTCTTTAGTCTCAGAGAAAAAAGAATTCAACTCCTAAGTTACTGATTGTCTATGAATTTTTTAGTAACCGGAAATGGGATTAGGTTATGGACAGTTTTGAAACTAGATGAGTTAATCCTGGTGCAGCATGTTACTCCATTGATATGTTGTGTTTTCATATTGAAATGGGGTGGTGTTTTCCACATTCTCTATGTCGTGAGTACTTGCATTTGAAACTGGGAAGCTGATGGTGAAGCCTGCGGACATATTAGAGAGTTGTTTAGGAACTCTGTTATTTGCAGATTTGGAATTGTTCACCTTAACATATTCCATAGCTTATTTTTTCTCTTTAAGGAAATTGAAAAGACCATCTGTGTGTGTGTGTGTGTGTGTGTGTGTGTATGTATCATCCTGATTTGTTATGTTGTTTTAGTTGTATATCCAGCACACAACCTTATTTTAATTGATACTTGTATTTGCATAATGGAAGTGGAGGGTTCATCAAAATTTTGGACACTTTTTGTTGTTGGAGATATTGCCTTTGTAACATATAGGTCTTGCAAAATGGAAGAAAAGCAAGAAGATATGGACTTTCAGTAAAGCTGATTTTAGTTAGTCAATTCCTTGCCTAATGAAACCGTGTTTGATGGAGTTTTAAGGTGATGAAAGACCTAAGATGTGTATGATTCTTATTACAACTGTTGTATTGATGTAAATTCTCTTATTCTTCTGTGTGTGTTGGTTGTTGTATCTCTCAGTAAATTTTTTTTGTACTTCAGTTGATGCCAAGTTTTTGAAATTTATAGATCAAACAGGCTGTTATGGATGCATCTGTTTTGCTTGATTGATAGTTTTGATTTGTGCAGTTATATTAGTTGCAGCATTGGGGTTAATTTTTTGACACAAAAAGGCATTTGGGTGAATTTCATGCTATACTGGTTGATAGTTTCTTGACATCTCTTAATGATTTATTTATCTTTCTAGCCCTTAGTCTTATCTCTTACAACCATGTTGTCCTTTTCAGGCTATTGGTTATTTTTTCACTGAGAAGAGCTTCATCAAGTTGTTCGTACAAGGGTTATTTCTCGGCAAGGAATGATTTTTGCATGACCTTTTGATGCTCATGCAATGTCGGGGTTACTTAATGTATTGTCTTTTGTCCACATAACTACTTTGAAGTAGCAAATTTTTAATAACATATCAAGAGTGTCATCTTAACTCAGAATGCCTTTTTTTAATAAAAACAAATCAGTCTATTTGTGTAATGTTTTGGATTGGTTAGGGATTAAACTCTGGGTTTTTTTTTTAAATATAAAGAAATGTTTGATTTATGTTTGTTCATGTAGATTTTCAAGCACTTTTCTGTGTTTTTTTCTCTCTAAATTTCAACATTTCTCTGAGATGCTCTTTTTTGGATTTGTGCTTTCTTCGCATGTAGTTTAGGAGCAGACAATGATTGTGAATGTTTTTGTTTCTAAATCTGCAGCATTTTCATGAATGTTTCTTTCTTTAGCGTTGGTATGTTTTGCATGATGGAGTATATTCTTTTGGGCATTATGTGAGAAATTTTTACTTTCAAACTATTTACTGTCAGGAACAATCTTGATTTAGTTTTGGTGATTGCAATTGTTTTGAGAAATTGTGTCAAATTTTGTATTCTGTATGGGTATTGTTGCAGTTGTGGGGTTTAAGAATTAAGATGAATATAAGAGTCTCTAGTGGTCTTATGTATTTGATGTTTTGTATTTGATGAATAATTTGTTCACGTATTATGTGAATTTGGCACAGTCTTCTCTAAACGGATCAGGCTCAAATCTTCCAGACAGTAGTGGGCGATTTGCCACATCTTTCTCTGGTCAGTCTGGTGCCGCTTCTCCTGTTTTTCATCACACAGGTGGGTTATTATTGCTGGATTTTCTTGTGTTAGTTTCAAGGTTAGTGGAATTGAAAGTTTCTTTCTGCAGGAACTATTCAGGGATTCAATAACATTCATGGAAGCTTCAATGTTCCCAACATGCAAGGTACATTAACATCAAGAAACTCAACGTTAAATAATGTTCCTTCTGGTGGAGTCCAACAACCAACTGGAAGCCTTTCTGGTGGACGGTTCACATCAAATAATCTTCCTGTTGCTTTGTCTCAGGTACATGGATATGTATTCCATTTGCTAATTGTAGTTTGAGAATGTTGACAGAATCAATGAACTGGCTCTGTCTCTCTCTCCCCCTCATGTTTTTATTGTTATCCTCTACTCTACCTCATTGCATTTTCTTTTTCCTTTAAAAATCTGTTTTGTAGTTATCTCATGGAAGCTCCCATGGACATTCGGGAGTCACTAATAGAGGAGGTATAAGTGTAGTAGGAAACCCTGGATTTAGTAGTAGCACAAATGGAATTGGCGGTTCTATTCCTGGGATTCTCCCTACATCTGCTGCAATTGGTAACCGGAATGCTGTTCCAGGATTGGGTGTGTCCCCAATTTTGGGAAATGCAGGTCCTCGGATTACGAGTTCTATGGGAAACATGGTTGGTGGGGGCAACATTGGGAGGAGTATCAGCTCTGGTGGAGGCATGTCAGTGCCTGGTCTCGCTTCTCGTCTAAATTTAAGTGCAAATAGTGGATCTGGAAGTTTAACCGTCCAAGGGCAGAATCGCTTGATGAGTAGTGTGCTACCACAAGGTATATTACCTTACTTGCTGTCTGAATTATCTTATGCCAGTAGAATCAGTTAGAAGTGTATTTATGCACTGTTACATTAGTCATTGAAAGGTATATGCTTCCTTTAGGCATTACTTCAGTAGGACCTTTAGAACTATATTTATCAATGAAACTGAGATGAATTGGGTTCTAGTAAGATTTTATGTTTGAACTTAATATGATTTTGGTCTAGTAAGATTTGATGTTCTTTGTTTGCGTATAAATTTGGTAAATGCTTCAAATCCTGTCAAAGTTAAAGATTTTTATTACTTGTCTGCAGTCTGCCAAACTGTTGAACAACAGGTTGGCTATTCTGCCTTTTTTGGGTTTTAATATCGGTCCGAAAACTATGAGACAGAGATGTATTGTTATTATGGCACATTCATGTCTGGTGCTTCTTGGTGCTTAAAATGCATTTTCTTGATTTCCTGTCATGTTTTACTCACACATCTTTTGCATGGTTGACATTTTCTGGTTTCAGGGTCTCCACAGGTAATTTCGATGCTAGGAAATTCCTATCCTAATGCTGGAGGTCCACTTTCTCAAAGCCACGTACAAGTGAATAATTTGAGCTCTATGGGAATGTTGAATGATGTGAATTCTAATGACAGTTCTCCTTTTGACATCAATGATTTCCCTCAATTAACAAGTCGTCCTAGTTCTGCAGGAGGGCCTCAAGGGCAATTGGGTTAGTAAGAAAGATGACGCAGTTTTGTATGTATCCTGTTTCTCCTGTAATTGGAATAAAATATAGCAATTTTCAGGTTCACTGCGAAAACAAGGTCTTGGTGTTAGTCCTATTGTTCAACAGAATCAAGAGTTCAGCATCCAAAATGAAGATTTTCCGGCTTTGCCGGGATTTAAAGGTGCGATATATTTAATAAAGTATTTTTTTTATTATTATAACACAAATTGGTTTATGGTAAATGTTAGTCCTACTTTCTATATAGTGGTGTTTCTCTCCAGTGTATATTTTTTCAAACCATTTTAGACCAGAAATCTAACCCAGGAGAAAACCTTGAAGAGTGTGTCTGCACCTGTGTTGTCATGATTTGCAGTTGCATATTTGAAGTGTTGCCTTTGACTAATGTTTTGAAAATTTTGTTTCAAGTAGGTGCTTTGCAGATGTGAATATCTTTGACCTGTCATTGTTGGTGATTTTACTTTTTTATTCCCCAACTTTTTGTACAATTAATTGTCTTCCAAACTTGCACTCACATTTTGCTGATTCTCTCTCTCTCTCTCTCTCTCCTCTCTCTCTCTCTCTCTCTCTCTAACAGGAATTATATGTATCCCCAAGTATGAATAACATGCTCCCAAAACTGTTGGAAATACTAGCATTGGAAAGGATTATTCTTCTTCTAGTCAATTACTACACCCTCCGTTGTATTATCTTGAAACACCCCCTTTTGTATTTCAGAAATTAAATCAATTCTAATCTATTAAATATAGTTGACAGAGATTTGTAAATGTTTTGCTGTTATGCCAATATGCTAATCTCTTTATGAGAGAATATAGTGTCTGGATGTACTTATTATGATTAGCATTCTATTGTTTTCTTGGCACATACATTTTGTTTGATAGTTGGGAAACATTCCTGTAAGTGAGGTAGGTTGCCTATTTGCGGATTTTTGACCTTATTATTAGATCTTGCGCAGGTGGTAATGCTGAATATGCGATGGATATTCACCAGAAAGAGCAACTTCATGACAATACTGTGTCGATGATGCAATCTCAGCACTTCTCAGTGGGTTCTAAACTCTATATAAAATAAGATTCCTTTCAGTTTCCTATTTTGTTTTGCTTACCCTCGTATAAGTACTTGGTTATTCTCGGTGTGTTCTCATCTTCGTATATTGTTTTGTAGATGGGAAGGTCCGCTGGATTTAACTTGGGGGGGACTTATTCTTCTCATCGTCCCCAACAGCAACAACAACATGCTCCATCAGTCAGCAGTAGTGGTGTCTCCTTTTCGCAAGTAAACAATCAGGATCTTCTCCATTTGCATGGTTCAGACATATTCCCATCATCACATTCAACCTATCACTCACAGGTGGGCTAGTTTGGTTCTACAAATTGTTGTCATGTTATAATGTGATTTCTCTTTGGGCTAGATTGTAGTGGAGATTTCTCTGTGAACCCAGCATTGGAAATCATTTATGTTGAAAGGCTCAGTTATTGAAATTCTTTTTTAAATTTAATTTGTTGATTTGAACTGATTTGAAATGATACGTTAGCCCAAGCAATTTTTTTTTTGAAAAGATGTTGGTCCAAACAAATTGATTATAGTAATGCTGGAAAAGGGAATGCTTTTACATCCTCACACTGGGAAAGGCTTGAGTTATAGGCAGTTATTTATATTCTTGTGCAATTAAACGATCTAATACCGAAACTTTATTGTTTCAGACTAGTGGACCTCCTGGAATTGGATTAAGACCTCTAAATTCTGCAAATACAGTTTCTGGTATGGGTTCATATGACCAGCTTATACAGCAGTATCAACAACACCAAAATCAATCCCAGTTTCGCCTGCAGCAGATGTCAGCTGTCAATCAATCATTTAGAGATCAGGGAATGAAATCAATGCAGACAGCGCAATCGGCTCCAGACCCATTTGGTTTGCTTGGGTTGTTAAGTGTGATAAGGATGAGTGATCCTGATCTAACATCCCTTGCACTTGGGATTGATTTGACTACGCTTGGGTTAAACTTGAATTCAACAGAAAATCTGCACAAGACTTTTGGTTCTCCATGGTCTGACGAGCCAGCTAAGGGTGATCCAGAGTTTAGTGTTCCACAATGTTATTATGCTAAACAACCGCCTGCACTACATGTGAGCTGTTTTTTCTTTGGTTTTTTTTATTTTTAAATTCAATCTTCTTCCTATATATTGTCCCTCTGTGCTCTAATCTCATTTCGGGTGGCTGCAGCAAGGGTATTTCTCAAAGTTTTCTGTGGAAACATTGTTTTATATCTTTTACAGGTGCTTCTTGTTGGACCTCTTTCAATTTATTTCCATGTCTTTAAAGTATTGAACTCACAGAGTCATTATTTTGTGTTTTGCAGTATGCCCAAAGATGAAGCGCAACTATATGCTGCCAATGAACTGTAAGCTTTCATTTGTTTATAATTTTGTGCCCTCCCTGTATGACTATACCTTGAATCACTTTTCATATAGAGTAAAATCATAAAATCCTTGATTTTTTGCCCATCAAGAGCTTGTAGTGGAGTATTTTTTTTACCTTATCATAAATCATGCTAAAAAATCCTGTGCCCTTTGTCTGATGATGTGGAGTGTCTTAACTTCTGCAATTTATATCAACAAGGCATGGTTGGTTGTACTAAACACAGTATGATGTCTGTTGGCAGCAATAATAGAGGCTGGTTTTATCACAAGGAGCATCGTCTATGGTTCATAAGGGTCCCCAACATGGAGCCACTCGTCAAGACAAACACGTATGAGAGAGGATCTTATCACTGCTTTGATCCTAACACATTTGAAACGATCCGAAAGGTTTGAACTGATTGATACATATTCCATTTATTGTATGCTAAGTTGACAAATTTTAGTTCCCTGAGTTGAACCTCTATTTTGGTTGCAGGATAATTTTGTCTTGCAGTATGAGGCGTTGGAGAAGAGACCGGTCTTACCGCAGCACTGACAATCATTTTCTATTTAGAATGTAAAGTTTCAGTTTATGGATTTCATTCATTAGAACGTAAGTTTGTTGTAAGCAATTGTCTTACAGATCTTGTTGCAGTGTTCAGCCAATCAGTCCCTTACGCGTTTCTTTTTAACAAAAATGTGGGGCAATAGCAACCAATTAAACTGTTAGAATGAGAACTGTTGCCTAAAGTAGCTGCCACTATAACTTTTAGCTGAAAGGGCCAACATTGGAGGTAAAACTTGTTACTTATCAATCAGATAGTTACTGTGATTTTAAGAGGGCTTGGCGTGTTAGGAGCTTTTGACCTTATTTCTTTATGGTGCAACCACTGATGGGAAGGGATCGTGAGAAATTTTGTGAGGCTGCTCCTAACATTGTCCTTTTTGTCAAGGGATATGAATCTTCGGTTTGTCTTGCCGTTGCTGGACTTTCAATCGAAGTCTTATATCACTAATTCAATCTTTGGATTTTTGTTAGCAAGACCCAAATTGAAGTTGAAGTAACGCCAAGACAAGCACAAGTTGTCTATGTTTTTTTTCCACAGATGTTGAAATACATGATTAATTGGATGGTCTCAGCAGCAGTTTAGCCTATGTTCACCTAAAATGGGTTTTCTACATGCACCAATGGCTAGTTGCAGCTGTCGCTACACTTTCAATTTCGAGCTCCCATTATCTTGAACTGATGCGTATTGTGCGACGACCAGTTGTCCATGTTCCAGCAGAAAACCCAAACATCTGATTTCTTAATGATCAAACTGAAGAGAGCCACCCATGTTTACGTCCTTTTGAGAATTTTGCCATCGGTTCTAGACTAAAGAGGGGCATAATAAATTTAGGACTTGATATGTACGGCATTTATTAAACTAGGGCAGTTTTAAGGCAAATTTGTGCATGTCAAATATACCAAAAAACGAACTGCATTGATAAGTGTAGCATGCAGACCAAATTGAAGACCAATTATGTCCCCCTCAAGGTAACTACTAATTTGTATGACTTTTCTTTTCAACTTCTTTTACAAGTTATATGGATGTAGTGGCAATAATTCAACGCTAATCTCTTTTACTCTTTTTTTCCTTTTCGGATAATCTTGATGCTAATCTCTAATTTGCCCAAACTCATAGCTCAATAGGCACATCAAATAACACATACTTCAAGCACAGCTCAAGCAAAAACGAAATGACTCAAAAGCATTTCTAGTTTCCTGGATCTCTCTATTCTTATCGGTCTGGGAGAGATGACCACTCCACAAACGTCTCCAAGGAAAAGAAGCATTTCTGTCTGAAACCTCTTTGGTAGGGCTTCTTTCGAAGGTCCATTCAACTTTCAGAAAATTGCATTCGAGCCAGAGAGTCAAGATTTTGAGGTGCCTAAAACGAGGCCTTTGAGTGCAGTCATTTGATTTTCTAGCAGCTCCCTTTTGCTCAAAATTCTATCAGATGTACAATCTTCTCCCTGATGCAAACAGAGATTGCTTACATTAGGTAATGAGTCCAATGACTAGCAAAAGAATTAAGAATTAGAAGGGGGAAAAAAACAAGTAAAACATTTTATCCAATCGTACACCTGATCAATTAGCAAAACATATCCAACTTATCATTCCAAATGTTCTACTAATTATGTAAACCTTGAAGAAAAAAATAACAATTAAGTGCTACAAAAAGAAGATTATTGAGGGCTGAAATTTATGGATCAATTGTAATCAAGACATAACTCCTAACCCGTGAAACTGACAAGAAAAATGCAAAATGTCTACTCACATCTCCACTTGCAGCAGATATTAGTGCTAAGAGGGTCACTGTTGCAGTTTGATAATCTGTCAAGATCTTGTGGGCTGAATCATCTAGTTTATCCTGAAAATACCGTGTAGTTATTAGGGGCAGTTTAGAAACAATATGCACACAAATACAGGAGCACCATTTAAGCTCAGTGATATTAGAATCACCTAACTGAAGCATTTAGCAGAGCTCATGTTGTGTCCTTATCCTTAGAAAAACAAGAAAAAGGGACAAGTGTCTGTTGTCTAAGAGAGAACAGAAAGGGAAGTTTATTTTTTATCAGATATATTGCTAGAGGGAGAGAAAAGGAGAGGATCTGTTTATAATGTACCCTTCTATTCAAAATTCAAATGGAAAATCAATCTTAGGAACTCTGATAAGGATATTTAGAAAAAGTTAAAACTTAGCTGCAATTTGTTGTGTTAGGTTCCTTTAAGTTCTCTTTAAAAAAATTATAGTTTTGGTGATGAATCAAATATTGGAACTTACTATTCAACAGATCTTGTGTAATAAATCATATTTAAAGTAAAATAAAGCATAATCAACACAATTAAAATTTATTGAAAAAGATGACTTCTTTTTGCAAATTTAAAATTCTAATTGGTTTTTGTGTAAGATGAGTCTTGTTTAAAGTTGAAATACTGAAATGTTCATATGAAACCTAATCAATCTAGCATAAGAACTTAAGTTAGGAAAAGAGTGGAGACAGAATTATATCTTGTCACCACACTCTTCGAAGATAATAACCTATATGCCCAAGTTCTAGGAGCACTTATCAGAAAAGCCACTTATTTTCTTGTAAACACATACCTTCAGCCGTGAAACAGCCACAGCGATGGCCCTTCCAGGTGCTTGAAGAGCTTTATGGTGAACCTACTTATAAGAAAATTCATGTTACTGAATTGGGCAAGCAACATGAAGCATGAATGTGTGTACTATACGTCTGAGCTGACAGCACTAAAAATTAACTGACCTGTACGTAAATCAGGGAAACAACTTTTGCTAAAAGAGAAACTGGATCCATCTCAGCAGAAACTTGAGACACCAAATCCTGAAAATGACACAGAGAGAACACATGAGAGAGGAATTACCAAAAAAACCTGAAAAGGTAATTTTCATTTCCACAAGATCAAGTTACGAATCTAACTATTTGTGGATAGCAACTTTGACAAATCCTTATACAAGAAGAAAACCTTTTGATATGCATGCAGAAGTGTTCTTTCCAATTTCTTGTCCAGCTTTTTCAAGAGCAAGCCGCTTAGAAAATGAAACCAAAAGGTGTGTATTAACTTCTAGGGAAAAGAAATGCTTCATGGAACTCATCACAAATACAAATAAGCATGCATCTACCTCTCTTCTGCAATGTCTCTTAGAGCAGTCATAAATGTTTCCATCCGCTGCCACGCAGAACATTCAATATTTGAGTAATAGTGCAATATATACAAAACCTTTTGATTAAGTACCAGGCAGAAAAGAAAATATGAAAATTATAATGATTGCAAATAAACAAAAATTTCCTTAAGAGACATTTCTAACTTTCAACTACTTCATTTATTGATGGGTAACCTTCAGAGGTAAAAATAATCAAGCTCTTCCTAGCCCATTGCATACAAAGAATAAGAAATTGATACTACGATGTCAAGCTAGAAACTGAGCAGGTTTTTACTGCTCAAGGGTGACCTTCAGAAGAAATAATTAAATGTATAAAATGAAAAATCTGCAAAAACAGAAGCATTAGGAGATCCGAAACAAAGTTCTGAACTAATTAAGGGTGCAACCTAAATTCATTATTAAGTAAACAATCAATCACTGTATAAAATAGAAATAACTTAAAACAGAAATAACAACCAAACGTTAAATTGAATAGTCAGCACAAGATTCACGATTAGTCAATTCAGATAGGTTCCGGAAACAGAAAAGCACGGGGTTCTAACAACCAAGAACAGACCTTTCCTTCCAAAGCTTCAACTACAGCAAGAGCTTTATTTGAAAGAGATCCAGGAAGAGTCTTGGCCTGCAAAACCCAAGAGACAATAAAAGTTTGACTTAGGTTTTTTTCTAATTGTATAATGTGCTTAAGCAGTTCCATTATTATGACACAAATTGAGAAACTCTTCTTTGGAACATGAAATAAAGTAACATCAAGAAGTGGATAATTTCCTACAATGGAAGTTCTCTCTCCCAGATTAAGGGAAATAGATTCTGAAATCTGAGGCTCTGCAACTTCATCTCCGTTCTTCAATTTGTTGTGCACATCCTACATCATATGAATCTATCATTTAGAATCCATGAACCAACTCAGCTACATGCATATGTGTACATATTGTGGCCATGAACAAGACAATATCTACCAAATTTTGAAGAAGCATATCAACAATAGTAGTAGCTGTTGTTCTTAACAGATGCCGGTGCAAAATGACCTGTGGATCATAGATGAGCCTTCTTTAGTCCACTTTATCAACAACTACAACCACTTAATACACATCACTAGAGGAAAAACTTACTGAAGTTGATTGGTCATCTTCAAACAAATCTAAAGCCTTTTCATAAAGCTGCATGTTTAAGAAAGACTGCAGGAAAGAACAGGAACTTTATCATATGGAAGACTCTAAATCAATAAGTTCCAGAAAGCACAAGCGGATGCTTCTTAAATCCCAAGAGAATACCCAGTGCAAGAACTAAGTAATTAGACAATGAAAGTAGTTGCTGCAGTAAAAAAATGTCATACTAGAGCACTGACCTCATCAAATTTCTTTTGCAAACTATCAAGCAATTGCTTTATTCTCTCTGCATTTTCTGAAAACAATGCCTTTCTTCTCTCCTTCCAAGAGTTGATTAGCATAGGTCTCAAATAGTTTGCCAGAGGTCTTAGAATTGTTTGGGGATCATCGAGACCTGCCAAAGTAGTCCACTGATTCTGTTAAATCTCAGTACCAAATCCATGGCTAATGGTCTCGAAAATTAAAATGAATAAAATAGCAGGAATCAGAATCAACAGACCTTGTTCTTCAAAATCAGGTACCAATGTTGCAATCTTCTTCATTACCCAATCTTCTGAAGGAATGTTGAGATTTTCCTCTTTGATTTTTACCAACTTAGCAGCTGCTTTTGACTCTGCAACTTGTTCGGAAGAGATATTCTTCCCTTTCCTTTGATTTTTCTTAGATTTCGTAGGAGCACGGTTCTGGTTATCCAGCTCATTCTCAGCTGGACCTGTTATCATATTCCCAGCCCCTTTGGCCTTTTTCTTTTTGGATCCTTTCTCCATGGCCTGTTTATTACTGCTGCTATCACTAACATTTTCAGTTGACTCACTCAACCTGCTTGCGTCATGACCAGCTTTTGTCTCGCGCAAATCATCTGACACCACAGTACCAGAAGCACCTGAAACATTAAAGGTTTCCATTTCTTTCTCCAGGCGATCATACACATCCTGCCATGAAGACATACTGAAAGCATCAGATTTCATGAGACCAAATAGGGATGTAGAATTACATAAAAAATTACTGAATTTCCTAGCTTTTTGGTTTCAGGTGCAAAGAAAAGAGAGCTATTCAAAGCAGTGGAAAAGAGATTTTTTTTTTATAAATAAAAACAAAACAAAAAATCACAAAGAACACCTGCAGAAGTAAGAAGGTCTACAAGTCTCATTGCTTGCTTCTATAAAAAAAATTAAATTAAATACCATGTATCATCCTAATTATGGCAAAGTAACTTCTTTTATGTTTTGAATGATAAACACATCTCAGGCAAGAAATTGGCAGTGCAATAAGGTTATGGCAGATGGAGAACACGTGGATATCTTTCATCCGAGAACTTCAGAAACCATGTAAACCTTTACAACACAACTGGACTGTGGAACTGCAACTAAACTCCACCAAACCATGTAAAATCCGATATTCATCATGTGTCTTGTTTGATATACCTCAATGAAACGTTTTTCAAAAGAAAATACAAATTTATGGGAAAATAGATATGTATAATGGAAGTAATGGTGGTTTAAAGTTATTTTATAAAACATAAATTGCATGTTTGCACATTTGAAAGTTTAGAAGGCATTAGATCTTTAAATAATGAGGGGATTTAAAAATCCCTTAAAAGTTAAGAATAATTATTATATAATCTATTCCAGAGGACATACCTTGATAAAACCATTGCTAAATACATAAGACTCCCCGAATATTTTTGCTTTATCAGACTGCAAAACCAGATGCAGACAAGAGTCAATAGATCAAGTGGGTGAATAAAAGGGCAGACTTGGAATCAGAAATGCACCTTAAGACCCTGCTGAATGGAAGGACAAAGGGACAAAAGTTTAGATGCATCTTGAGACCCAAAGGACATCGGCAGTATAGAGAGAGAATCAATCCTGCATCACTCCATCCATCATACCATGAAATAAATATGAAATGGCGATGTTGTCTTAACATAACGGTACAATGGAAATACATCCAAGAACATTGACAAAATATCTTTCTATGTCTATATAATCCACAAGAACCATCTTGATGAGTTTAAGGACTTTTTCAAGTATCCAATTTATAATGGAACAGCATATTAAATGATCTCCAATGGAAAAAGTCCACACCCAAAAGAAAAACAACACGATGATTATAATAAGATGGCCACTTTTTCCATCCATGAATGTAATCTAATTATGGGCACAAATAGTAAGGAAGTGAATAAGGACAGTATCAACTATCAAGTGGTAAAGTTTCATACTAAAATATTAATGCATATTAAATAAAAAATGATGAATTCACTCGGAAAGAAAGTAAGGTATTCATATGATTATCAGAGATGTTTCCTTACCAGCTACTACGCTCGAGAGCATCTTCAGTAGCAGCATCAAGCATCTCAATCATCGAGGGGTGAACAAATGTAGTAACCAAAGGCATACCTTCCGGATATCTGGACTAAATTGGAGTGCATAACCAAAAATTTAATTACATAAAACAAGAGAAGACAAATATATTTCACACATAAATTCTATGAGCTCCAGAATCAGAACATCAACATGAAAGCAATTAGATACCTGCAAGAACTGAATAGGTTGAGGAATTCTAAGTTTGTGCAGAACTTCATAGCTAATGAAAGAATTCTGCATAATATTGAAGAACAAGTTAGAAGAACGAATCATCAACATTTTAGAATATTCTTTCCTATTCCCAAAGAAAATGGTAGAAATAACATAAAATGTCTAAACTTCTGGTTTTCTAGAAAATTATGTAACCACAAAATGACAACTTATTCAAAAATGTTCGAGTCTTCAATTGAGCAGCAACAAATAATCTTGACATTCTACAAATTAATACAATACTGCTAAATACTGACTTAACACTTCAGGCCATGCCATGTTGACATATCAGTCCAATACCACATAGACTACACTTGTTGAATTGCCTTACACCTGCTACTGACTGAATAGAAGTCTCAAAAAGTAAAGGAAAAGTAAAAGGGTCCAATTCAAAGGATCAAAGTTGAAAAGAAAATTAAAAGACCAACTGAGCATGCAATGAGGCATACATGTTAAATTTGAAGTTCAGAATCTGAACGATGTGTTATTAATAAGCAAGAGAAAAGGGCTCCATACCTGTGAAAAGAAAGAATCAATTGATTCCTTTTGAGCACTGGCAAAGACCTGTACCAGAGATACAATATTTAGATAAAAACCAAAAGGTCAATGTATGAAGTGATTCTGTAATAACAAAGCTGAAATGCTTGTTCAGCAAGTTTGTGCTGGAACATTTTAGAAGTTGATGTTAATCAGATTATGGAATTCTTAATTCATTCATCCTATGCAATGAACAGAAAGCACCCTAAACCAAATGAAGCCAGATTATGACACATACATTGGGTGTCCAATGAACTCCAGCTCGAAGTGATCCAAGAATCTCGCCCTCCTTTACAAGCCCATTAAAAAGGGATTGGAAAAATGAACCTTCAACAGCCACACCACTGGCTCCATCCATTTCTTGCAGCAACTGTTGTAAAGAACTCCACAACACTGATAAGTTGGTGGGAACTGTGACACCCCTGGCAGCACCACGAACCATGGCAGTAACACGTGCAACATATGCAGGAGTATACAACTGCCCACCTTCAAGCCTACCTTTCACCTACATCAAGAGACAACCCATATCATAATTTTCCTTTCCTCATTCCAAAATCACTCAAAACCAGGAAAAGAAGTTACCACAGTCCCAAGGCGGGGCTCCAACACAGATGCCACCATTTCTGAACTGACATGTAACTGAGCTGCAAGTTCTGCCAAAGCAATTTGGCTACATTCTTGAAGCCTGTCATTGACTTCTTCAGCGACAGAATCCCAATACGACTGCGATATTATTTCCCCTTGAATCAACATAAGCCCCGGATCATCCGAAACAATACGTTGAGCTTGCTTCTCAACATGATACAAATCAACCCCGGTTGTGTCCGCAAGGTCAATCACCGAAACACGCCCTAATTTACTAACCTCCGCCAATATTTCATGCCTCAGTTGATCCTAGTATCATGCCACACCATCATCAAATTTTCAATCATTCCAACACAATCACACACACATACACAGTACTCAAATGACAAATATCTGATCAAATAAAATAACAGCAACAATACGAAAAATTAATTATTTTCCACCATTAGTTTATATAGAAACACATTATTCATTTGTCTTGGGATGAAATTCAAACCAAAATGTTTCGTCACCGAAAATTCAAACCAAAATGTTTATATAGAAGGGAATTCATCAGATAATTTATCATGTCCATTGCGAAACAAACAGAGAGAGAGAGAGAGAGAGAGGTTTACGGGAGTAATGTATTCTTTGCCGGAGACGGTGTGGAGGAGCTCGAAGTCGATGATGTGGAGCTCCTGAAGCTTCTGGACCAATTCGACGACGTTTCGATCGGATAATCTGATGCTCGATTTCGCCTGCTGTGCGAACTCGAATTGCCTCTGCAATTCCAGCAATTCGTCGTCCATTTTCGGTTCACCGTGAGTCTCCGAGTCTGCAACACTCCAATTACTCTGTTTAGAGACGTTTCGTCCCGAATGAGCGTATAGTCGTTTCTTTTAAAAACGGGTCAAAGCCCATTAAAATCCGCTTCTCAAGAAATACGGGCTCTATTGGGCTTCATTTTGGATTGGGCCTTGAAGCCCATTAGTAGGCCCATTATTATTTGATTTCCTGTTTTTTATTTTATTTGGGGATGTCCCAGAAATAAATAAATAACTACATAAGAAGAAAATAAATTAGGGGAAATCCCGCAACTGAATACCCTTGCCCCTATTTGAGATCATCTTCCGCAGCCGCCTCGACAACGACTCTCTGCATTATCATATGTCGTCCCTAATAATGCATTGTGTCACGGGATGACTTTTTCGGAGTCTTCCTTCCATGCGGCCTTAGGCTTGATCGCCTCTCGAACAAGTTAAGTCAGCCTCCTTCCTACAACACAAGATCGAACCAAGCAAAGAACAATCGTAAGAGCAAGAACGCAAAAGAATGCTAAAGAAAGTTTGGGAGAATATCTGCTTGTATTGCTAATCAAATGCTTTATAAGTTGTGAGGTGAGGATACACAATATGTCATCCCCCTTATATACTGTTCCTATCCCACCTACTACCACAGTATGTGGCTAAGATACAATATCACCTACCAACATCTACCAACTATTGTCACCAACTGTAGTTTACCAACTACTGTACAACGAATCTGGACATGTGGGCTAAGAGGTCTAGCATGATCAATCCAACGGGTTGGGCCTTGAACATGCGGGCCGTGACATTTTCCCCTACCTAATCCGGTGACGTCCTCGTCGCCGCGGTAAATCCTTCTCGTTCGAATGCTTCGATGATGTCTTTGTACTTCCACAAAGACTCTTCTTTCTCCCAGTTGCCTTCGGACTCTGGCAGGCCCTTCCATTTGACAAAGTACTCAAAGTACCTCGGTACACCCTTGCGTCGCACCTCTCGCTTGGCCATGATGCACTCAACCTCCTTGTCAAATGAAGTCACCATCAAAGGTGGAGCTCGTTGAGACTCTCCACGACTTGGCTCCTCAGGGTCGGCATGGTAGGGCTTGAGATTGCTCACGTGGAACACCGGATGAATCTTCAATCGGGGTGGTAGTTCCACACGGTAAGCAATTCTTCCCACTGATCGGATGATAGGAAATGGGCCCTCATATCTCCTTAACAACGCCTTGTGTAACTTTCTAGTGGACTTGTGTTGAGAGGGGTTGAGCTTCACAAAGACCATATCACCTGGTTGGAACACAACATCTCGCCTATGCTTGTCCGCCTATTTCTTCATCTTCCGAGTTGCCTTCTCCAACTTAGCCCGAGCCAGCTCATTACTCACCTGCCACTCCTTGGTTGTCTTATATGCAGCTGAGCTACTCCCCGTGTAGCCTGACACCACTGTGTTCGGTGTCATAGGTTGTTGTCCTGTTGCCAACTTGAAAGGACTTGACCCTGTTGACTCCGACCGCTGCAAGTTATATGAGAACTGAGCAACATCCAACAACTTTGCCCAATCTCGCTGGTTGGCACTCACATAGTGCCTCAAGTATAGCTCTAACAATGTGTTCACCCGTTCTGTCTGACCATCTGTCTGTGGGTGAAAGCTAGTAGAGAAGTTCAACTGTGACCCAAGTAGCCTGAAGAGCTCCGTCCAAAGTTTACCAGTAAAGCGAGTGTCGCGATCACTGATAATACTCTTGGGAATTCCCCAATACTTCACCACATGCTTCAAAAACAAGGGTGCAGCTTCCTCCGCATTGCAATCCGCTGGTGCAGAGATGAAGGTAGCATACTTGGTGAACCTGTCGACCACCACCAAAATTGAGCCACACCCTTCTTTCTAACTTGGGTAAACTCACAATGAAGTCCATGGACAAACTCTCCCATGGTCTGGCTGGAATAGGAAGTGGCTCTAGCAACCCACCCAGTTGCTTTTGCAATGTCTTGTCTTGGTGGCATACAAGGCAAGTCCGCACGAACGAGTCTACATCCTCCCGCATATGTGGCCAATAGTAAGCTTCACTCATCAAGGCTAACGTCCGATGAGTGCCTGGATGTCCCGCCCACTTCGAGTCATGACACTCCTTCAGTAGCTCTCGCCTCAGATTATCCTACCTTGGAACATAGATCCTCTTCCCTGTTGCATAAAGAACGTCATCATCAAGCCAAAATCTCCTTGTCTTCCCATCTTTAACAAGCTCCAACAGACTTTTGGCTTGGGGATCATGCAACAAGCCCTCTCGTATCCTCTGCATGAGAGAACTCTGGGGTTGTACAACAGCTACAAGTACGGCCTTCCTACTTAGGGCATCGGCAACGACATTCGTCTTCCCTTGCTTGTACTCTAGTTTGTAGTCGAACTTCGCCAAAAAGTCTTGCCACCTAGCCTGCTTGGGTGACAACTTCTATTGAGACTGAAAGTAGCTTGTGGCAACATTGTCAGTCTTGACCACGAACTGAGAACCCAGCAAGTAGTGCCTCCAAGTCCGCAAGCAATGCACTACGGCTGTCATCTCCTTCTCATGAACGGTATACCTCTGCTCCGTGTCCATCCTGCCAATGGGTGTCCATCCTGCATGAGTACACCACCAATAGCAAAATCTGATGCATCAGTGTGTACCTCAAACGGTTTGCTAAGATCAGGAAGTCTCAGCACGGGTTCCTCCATAAGTGCCCTCTTCAACTCATCGAAGGCATGCTGGCATCGAGACGTCCACTGCCATCCCTTGTTCTTCTTAAGCAAATCCGTCAAGGGGGCGGCAATGGCTGAATATCCCTTGATGAACCTGCGATAGTAGTTGACCAATCCAAGGAAAGACCGCAACTCAGGTACCTTGGTTGGTGGCTCCCATTCTTGAATGACTCCCCTCCTGTATAAGCAATTGTCCTCCCCGTATCTTGTGACCAAGGAACTCTACCTCTTCTTGGACAAACGAGCACTTCTCTCTCTTCACATATAGCTTGTTCTCCCTCAGAACTTGGAAGACTTTCTGCAAGTGCTCAAGATGCTCCTCTAGGGAATTGTTGTACACCACAATATCATCGATTTAAACCACAACAAACTTGTCCAAGAAAGGACGGAATACCTTGTTCATAAGAGTGCAAAAGGTTGCAGGCGATTAGTCAAGCCGAACGGCATGACAATGAACTCATAAAACCCATATCTTGTCACACATGCGGTATTTGGTTCATCTCCCTGTGCGATCCTCACTTGATAGTATCCTGAGCACAGGTCCAACTTGGTGAAGTACCTAGCTCCTCCCAACTGATCAAACAAATCTGCAATCAAAGGGATTGGATACTTGTTTTTTATAGTCACCTTGTTTAGCGCCCTGTAGTCGATGCACAACCTCAGTGTTCCCTCCCTCTTCTTCTGAAAAAGAACTGGGGCACCATAAGGGGCCTTGGACGGTTGGATGTACCCAGCATCCAACAATTGCTTCAACTGCTTCCTCAATTCCTCCAACTCAGGAGGTGCCATCCGGTACGGCGCTTTGGCAGGGGGTTTGGCACCCGGTTCCAACTCAATGGCATGATCCACCTCTCTCCTATGTGGTAAGGTTTTTGGCAACTCCTTGGGCATGACATCTGCAAACTCCTTAAGGATTGCCTCCACAGCTTTCGGGACGAGTTGGACTTCCTTCTGAACTATATCCATCTTCATAGTTGCAAGGAACATCGGTTCGCCCTTCTTCCAAGACTTGGAAAATTGCATGGCTGAAAAAAGCTTCGACTCGCCTTATTGCCTCACCACTGGCACCATGCATGGCATTACTCCACCCTGTGCAATGCACATAGTATTGTAAAATAGAATGGGGAATGCCTTTACCTTGTCCATGAACTCCATTCATAGCACGACATCGTAGTCATCCATTGAGATCACGGAGAAGTCAGCTACTCCATTCCAAGTGGCAATGTGTAGCTCCACACCACGAGCTACTCCATCAATCGGTTTGACAGTTGAATTAACCGTCTTCATACTGCCTGCTTCCTTCGAGACTCGACACCCAAGTCTCTTTGCTTCCTGCACGGACATAAAGTTGTGCGAGGCACTTGTATCCACCAGGCAAAGAGTTGTCTTGCTATTCACCATGGCTTCGACGAACATCACACCTTTGGCTTGAACCTGTGGTTGAGCGACTTTGGCCTGCACAGCATTGAAACGGTGAATGGCCCCCATTCCTGCTTCCTTGTCGGCCTCATCTTCCTTCTCTCGGTTTATAACATTCAAGTCTTTCTTCTGCGGACAGTCCCGCATCATGTACGCTCCATCGCACAAGTAGCAAGCTAGCTTCGACTTGTCTTTCCCCTTGTCACCTTTGTCATTCTTCCTCCCAGATGACTTGTGACCGTCAGACTTGTCTCCAGACTTGCTACCCTCTTTTGGCTTGTTGTCTCCCCCACCGGATCCATTGCTATCTTTCTTTCCTTTGAACTTGGAGTCGCCTTGATCCTTCTTCTTGAACTCAACAAGAGACTCAGTTGCAGCAATCGCCTCTGACAAGGTTTGGACATGTCTCTTTTGTAACTCCAGCTTGGCCCAATTCTGTAGGCCACTCATGAAGTACATGAGCTTGTCTTCATCCGTCATGCTAGGCACCTCGAACAATAGGTTGGTGAACATGGCGACATAGTCCTTCACGTTCCCAGTTTGCTTCAGCCATCTCAGCTTCTCCTTTGCCTCATACTTGGCATTCTCTGGATAGAAATGCAACATAATATCCTTCTTAAATTCATCCTAAGTCTCAAGTGTAAACGTACCTTGTTCGATCTCGACGCCACCACATGAGAGCATTGTCGGTGAGAAACAACATTGCCGTATTGATCTTGGGCTCATCATCCTCGAGCTTCAAATACTTGAAATACCTCTCGATATTCCACAAAAAGTGTCTAGCTCCTTCGCCTCCCTCTTCCCATTATAGGATTTGGGCTTGAAAGAATCTAACACCTTGGGTTCCTTCGGAGTCCGGGTCTTGTTTAAGACAGCTTCCTTGCACAAAGCCCAATCTCCATTCACATCCTTCACCTCCTCACGAAGCGACGTAAGCTCCGCTAAGAAGTGATCCAGCTTGGTTTGGACATCTAGCCGCATGCTGTCTAGCGCAGAGTTGAGGGCTCCTTGGAATTGGCCTTGAAACTCATCCACCACAGCTTCGAAACCACTATTCGTAAGGACGTCCTCCTAGAGTCGCTGATCGAACTCAACCACGGCAATCTCCATCTTAGAAAGCCGCTTCTCCATCATGACTACAACATCTCTAGATCGTTCCCTCTTTGATTTGCCCCCACGATCCATATTGACCTTGGACAGATTAGTCTCCACATCGAATCCGCTCTTCGACATGCTTCTTCGAATGATTCGAGCTTTCGCTCTGATACCAACTGACACGGGATGACTTTTTCGGAGTCTTCCTTCCGTGCGGCCTTAGGCTTGATCGCCTCTCGAACAAGTTAAGTCAGCCTCCTTTCTACAACACAAGATCGAACCAAGTAAAGAACAATCGCAAGAGCAAGAACGCAAAAGAATGCTAAAGAAAGTTTGGGAGAATATCTGCTTGTATTGCTACTCAAATGCTTTACAAGTTGTGAGGTGAGGATACACAATGTGTCATCCCCCTTATATACTGTTCATATCCCACCTACTACCACAGTAGGTGGCTAAGATACAATGTCACCTACCAACATCTACCAACTACTGTCATCAACTGTAGTCTACCAACTACTGTACAACGAATCTGGACATGTGGGCTAAGAGGTCTAGCATGATCAATCCAACGAGTTGGGCCTTGAACATGCGGGCCGTGACAATTGGCACTCCTAGCTATAATTCCAAATTATTTATGTAAGTGTCGAGCTTTTGTGTTTATTGATTACATTGTCGATCATATCTCGTATAAAGTTTGATATTTTTTTACTCCATTGATTGAAGCTCCATCATCTCATGTTAAAATCCAAAATCATGTTGCTAATTATGTGTCATAAAAGTGAGACCGTGAATCTCACCTTTATAAAAGATATCATCAACAATGTGATTCAAATACATAAATTACTTATAAATTGAGATGTGATCAATAATGTGATTTAGATACATGGATTGTTCCAAATTGTAATGTTTTTCTTTGCTAATGGGTGGACCTCTACCATCTCATGTACCAAAGTAGTGGCTTCACCATGGGCTCATATGCAGTGAATTTTCAGCAATATATTAATTGATGATGCTGATCTTGGCCTTCACATATGTATGTAAGGGGTACATTACACGTTAATTAGTTAGGTGGAAATGGAACATGACAACCAATATATTGTCTTACTATGATTAGACCCTCTTGTCAACTTCATGATTGCCATATGCTTAACGATTCTCCAAGGTCTTGGTGCTTTTTCTGAGTCTTCAATGTCAACGATGGTGTTTGGTTGAACACTTTGTTCCTATTTCTCATTTGGTATAACTAAACAAAAGCCAAAACAATTCTAAAGGAGGAAAAAAGCTATGATCAGCTCCTTATAGAGAATATACATTTGGAAGTTAATTTATAATCATTATAGAGACTTGTTTACGCCCAATGATGAACAAAAAGAAGAAACAAAATCTGGCAGCGCGTATGTGGAAGTGCTTCAAATTGCATACATCTTCTTGTAGTCATTGTTGAGGAGCTCAGATTCAGAAATCACTGCAGACAACGACAACGACCTCGATCTGCTGCCCAGCGATGATCTCCTAATGCTCCTCATGTTTTTCGCCTCAATTCGGTGCCTAACTACCCAGAAACACATAGTGCCCAAAGTTGCAGCCATGATAACTGTTCCTATAATTGTAACTCCAATTGCTAGCCACTTCTGGCCACCCACCACTACAAAAGAGAGTGCCAAAAATGCCACAGAAACCAGAACACATGCCAACCACATGAGCTTGTTAATGATTGCCATCATCTGCTTCTTGGCCTTGCTCTCAATCACCACCACTGAAGTTTGCACCACCACAACAGCCAGGGAAATGAAAAGGGCAATGGAATCAAAGATGAAGAAGATCATAAAGGCCAGTTTGGGAGCAATGTTGGCTTCCCCAAGCGACTGCCCATGAGGAATGTCTTTCGGGTCATCCACATATTGGCCAGGGATTTGGTAAATGGCTGCAAAGGTAACCGTGGCAATGAGGACAGCAACAACGGTGTTGGAGTTTATTGCATTGTTAAGGCCTTCTGTGTGCATTTTGTGAAGACGTTTCGCAATGCCCTGTACGCGTCTTCTGGTTTGGCGAGTGTGTTCTAGCTGGTGATGGACTTCGTGCTTTATGTCACTCACAGTTTGTTTCAGCTCTCGAGCTGGGTTTGTAGCCTGTGGTTTGATTTCTTTAGCACTCTGGACACCGCGCTCTTGGAGAAAAGCTTTAATGTCCGAATTCCCAGTTTTCTCGGCAGTGTCAAGGGCAGTTTCTGCAGACTTGTTAACAGCTTTCGTGTCTGTTTCACTGTGTTCAAGTAGCAACTTAACAATCTGCAAACATACAACCAGCATTATGATTGTCAGATTAAAACGTACAATTTCTTTCTGTAATTTGGTAACCAATAAAAGGTAAGGAAGGCTTGATGAGCACCTATAAAACCCAATCAATCTAAAAATTATAAAATTTTGGGGAGAGAACCTGGCAATGCGCCAAAGTTGTCCAGCAAAAGCAAGTAAGATGCCCAAATCACAGAACTTAGTCAATGAAGGTAAGCTTATACAAGACTACTGTCAAGAGGAATTCAATGAATATTGGCAAAAGTTAACCACTAGTAGATCCTTGTTTCAATCAGATGCTGAGAAATAACCACAATCATGTGATAAATGAAATTTATTGAAATCTAGCAATCCACTGCCTTATTATTTGACTTTCTAATTGGCCATATCATTCAAGTTCCATTATAGCAATGCATAGCCAAGGACTTCCATTGAAACCATTAATGTAAGTTGCTATGATAAACATGAAATCTCAATGAGATGTCTGCAAGACAGTTTCTTTGATAGCAAATTTGTAGGAAGGTCAATCAATTTACCTCAGCTCTACCCTTTCGAGTAGCTATATGCAATGCCGTGTTGTCTTTATTATCAGCCATGTTTATCAACGAAGGATCTGCCTTAATCAACTCCTCCATCATCTCAAGATTCTGCCCCTTTGCTGCCATGTGAAGTGCCGTCTGCCCCTTCTTATCGACACGTGTTGCAATACCAGGCTCCTTTTCCAGAAGCGCTTTCACAACCACCAAATGACCATTTCTTGCTGCAGAATGCAGCGCGGTTTTGCCATTGCTTCTAGCAATGGTTGCCAGGCTGCTTCCTGCTTCCAATAGAAAGTTCACCACCTCTGTATGCCCTTGGGTGGCAGCCGTGTGCAAAGCTGTGGTGTTTGATAGATCCACAGTCATAGTCAATTCTGGATGAGCCTCCATAAGCACATTCAATACATCTGCACAAGAGAAAAACATTAATTTACCACCAAAAACAAAGTAACAATAAAAATTTAAAAAAAAAACAGAAAGGTCTAAGTGGAGACATACCCATATCCCCTTGTTTGGCAGCAATGTGGAATGCATCAAACCCATTTCTTGCTTTGATTCCAGCATCAGCAAGATCATAGTATTTGATCATCTCCCTGACCAAATCAACATAACCATATTCTGCAGCAACATAGAGGGCTGTTTCATCAGATGAATTTTGCTTTGCCAATAACTCCTTCAATTCAGCCTCTTCTGTATTTTCAAGGATATCCATCACCACCCCCATATTTCCTGATCTTGCCGCAGAATGCAAAGGCGTATCATCGCGCTTTCCTGTTAACTGTTTCGTCATCTTTTTCCGCGGCAAGCTTGGCTGCGTTGCCTGCGGCTGCTCAGCTGGTGCCTCTGCCTCCATTGCAATCAACTACAGAAATATATATATATATATCTCTATTTGTATGTCTATCTATCTCTCTCCTTCTCCTCAAACTAATTCTAATCAATGATGCAGGAATATTTCCTCCTCTTTCCAGCAAAAACCCAGATCAAAATTCGCATTTTTGATCCACAAGAGTCATTATTTCTTCAAAGCAAGTCAAAGAAAGAAAAAAAAATCTCCTTCAATACCCTGAAATTCAGCAAAAGCGCGACCTTGGAATTCGGTTTCTATCTCACAATTGTGGTTCTGTTGTCCCCTGCATCCCAAATTAGTGCCCTGTTACAAAACAACAACCTGGGTTTGAACATTTTTCTCACATGTAGCAAATATTATTTTCAATTCTTAGCAAACAAACAAACACAGCTCTGGCAGGCCGCCAATCTTAGCTTCCAAAACAAACCGCCCCAAAATGACAAGAAGAAACAAAAAATTCTGGGTTTTTGGTGTTTCATTTTTCTCAACATATTCCAATTTCTCATTCAGCTCATAACACACAAAATTGATAGATTGCATTAGAAAAAAAACAAAAACCAAAAATGAAGATGTTTGCCAACATACCCGAGTTTGAAGAAAGGAGATTCTATGTTCTCCTCCGTGTAACAACACAAAACAACCCATATAATTCAGGAGCAGTTTCTAGAGAACCATGGGATTGTAGAAACACGCTGGAAAAGATATTTAGGATACACATGAAGAAGAAACAGATTTTTGTTTTTTGGTTTTTGAGAGGCCCTTTTATTTCGGAGGTAGAAGGAGCAAGAAAGGAGGAAGAGCTATAAATTAATGTAATTATAGGCCAAGAAATAGAAACTTAGAAAAAGCACATGTCTGCAACAACAGCAACTGCTTTATGTGAATCTAAATCAGACCCAGAAAAACTAATCTGTAACCAATAATGGATGGCCCTTTGTACTAAAGTGGTGTTGATGACAACCTTGGCTCAGAGAGAAAATTAAAATTAAAATTTTAAAATAAAATGAGAATAATATAGGAGGAGGGAAAGACAAAAGAAGAAGACAGAATAATAGTAGGCAAAATATATGAACAGTTAACCGAAATAACAGAACCACGCGCGCTTTTAAATGGAGTGGAACATCCGTTCAAGTTAGGCCCGGAAATACTACTTTATTTTCTTTCTAATGTTTAGTTTGTGTAAGATGTAAAACAAAGTTTGATTAATTTTTCAATTATACCCATATGAAATCAAATTAAAAAAGGATGCATTTAATTCCATATTATAATTCTAAATTGTTGACGATGACAAAATGGTCATGAAAAATATGCATTTAATTTCGGCTCATTTTCCCAAATTTTCCCATGATGAGAAAAACAAAACCCAAGGAGAGAGACCCCCCGCGCCATGTGTCAGGCAACCATTTCCCATATTTAGACTTACCAAATATGGAAAAGCAATTGATTTCTCATCCTCAAGCCTTATTTCCCATGAACCAAACAGGAAAATTTTTTGTTCTTATTTTTTTGACAAAAAATTGATTTTTATTTTTGGTAAACAATCGAATTTAAACATATGCATTCATGTGCAAAAGGCTTGTAGTTCTAGTGGTAAAGAGTATTACACATGCACTCGATGCCCTAGGTCGGATTCCCCTACCCCATATCGTTTGTATTAAAAACACATGCAAGGCTTGGAAGTTTACATGTATTGAAATTTATATTCCTTAAAAAATAATTTAAACAATAACATATTACCTAACATTGAAATTTTTTAAAGCAATAAATTCGTTTTAATATGGAAATTAGGAAAGAAAACAAAATTAGGCTTGGTTTTGGGTTAATTAGGTTAATTATTGTGTTGGGTTTGTTATTAGGTTTTCTTTTCACTTTTCAGTTGTTAAGTTTGATTTTCATAACCTATCATCCCACTCTTAATGCCAAGTTCCATATTTTAAAATAAAAATATTTGTGATTACGATTTATTACAAAATATACTGAATAAAATCAATAAAATTATATTCTTTTTAAACAAACTTAAAGAACCCAACACAAGGAAACTCAGATTCTTTCATTTCAACAATTATTTTGTAAAACAAATATTTTTCTGTCTATTTTCCCTCTTGTGTGAGCCATAATTTTAGCTCCCATTGACTTTGACTTATAAAAAGGTTTGGTTTCCTATTTTTGATAGCAAGCGATAATATTTTATTGAGATCAGAAAGTAATAAATACAAAGAAGCGACTAAGTTCTAGAGAATTAGGCGAGTATGGAAAAGAGGACTGACTTAAACTCTAAACAATTGAATCATATGAAAAAGACGGGAATAGGGCATGCATGATTTGTGGTTGCGTCACGATTGAGAACCATACACCAAATTCATGAGCTCAAGATAGAGCATAAAATTGGTAGAAGTGCTTTTGACGCGCTTTGAAAAGTGCTTCTAAACAAGCACTTATCATGCAACGTGTTGCTTTTCTATCCCATAAATATAATTTGGGATTTGATATGGTTATATAATTATAGCGTGTCGCAGCTTGAGGTAGTCATCGCCTACCCTCCAAAAACCCTAGACTCAGATTATCCCACGCATCACATCTGATCTAAGTTTGACAATAGCATTTGGATAAATGTTCAAAAACGATTCTCTTAAAGTAAATGATCTTCATTTGATTTTCAACTTGTTTGGTACAATTCAGTGCCTTTCAAAAAGGAAAGGATAAAGGGTGACAGATGCTACTTGTGGTGGACATTTATATCCTTTCTAGATGGTTCTTTCAATTCTTATTAGCATGTGATTATATATAAACCGAAGAAAAAAAAATCACCCTTTGATTAGGTTTTTGTGTTTTTGTGCAGAACAATGTTATCTCCACTCCTCTATAATATTATAATAGAAAAAGTAACGACGCTATTATGTGTTAATGTTTTTGTATAAAGTACATACAAATTTATTAAACCAACCAAATACTTGTTTTGTTAGTGATATTCATGATACTTTGTGTATATCCATGAGCACAAATGTGAGTGGAATTATAAAACCCCTACTCATAGCTTCATGCGATAATCAACTCATCAAGTTTGAATATTCAGAAACTAACATATAAGAATTTTGTGTTCTCAAATTGTTGTGTTTTCATGCACTAGAATATGATTTATTTTATTTTATTTTATTATAGAACAAATATTAATAACAGACGTTGTCAGCACGCCAATTATCCGAGGAGACGGAAGACATTAATGTCATCCCAGCTTCGCCCCGTTGCCATCTCTACTTCATCATCGCCCTACACGCCAACCCACCCAATTGACATTTTCTCATCTTGCTTAATTTCTTCAAATTCATTTTGGTCGGAGACCGGAAGGTAATGTAATTTATTCAAGTGTACAATGATTGCAACACTTAAATAGGGTCTGAAATCGGTCGAATGGCCACCGGCGGTGGGGCCCACGTCGGCTAAGCACTTAGGGACGGGACCCACGTAGTTGGGCCGCGAGTGTTTTTGGACGGACGCAAGAACGCCCACGTTGCCACGGCAATCCAATAAAAGACAAAACCCACTTTGCTAATGGAAATGGACCCCACGCGCATTTTGTCAAATCCCCACCAGGCCCACACCAAGTGGATGAGCGTGTAACAACGAGCTCTAAGATGACCGTGTGGCCCCGACAAAGGCTGATAAACTCAGACGATCCAGATTAACAGATAAAGAGAGAGATCCCAACCATCGGAGCACACCAACTTACCCAACGACCAAGACAAACAGGATTGCCTAATTTTCAGATCACTGATTATTCTCTTAATTATTTTTTGTTGATGGTCATTGCTCATCAAATTTGTTCTTTTTAATTAGTTTTTCTCCTTATTATTTTTTGTTGGACTCATATAATAAACTCAAGGTTCTTGGATAATGTAGGTTTGTGCTTAGCAACCAGTCAACGTGCTCGGAGGTGCTATTATCTGCAGATTAAAATACGTCTTACAACGTATTATTCATGTGTGCTTCTCTATTTAGATAAACAACATAACATATTAGATTAAAATTATGCTGTCAAACCTATTACTGAGAGAATATTTCTTGAATGCAACAAAAATTATTTGTCCGAAGTTTATTGTTATATTGTTAATTACGTCTCTCGCGTAGACAAAATTCATCCATGCAAATGAAACAAACTTGTTTCATGGTGATAAGTAAGCACAAGCCATGTGGTGTTGTTTTAACTTAAACTATAACAGATATTGTCATTATTATTAGTGCTTAAGTCTAGGGTTTATCTTCGAAGTTAAATAATGAATCTTCTAGAGTACTTTGTATGGGTCATGGGTGGTGATGTATGATTGACTTTGTGATATGAGTAAGAAGTAAATGGGAGACAAGTAAACATTTGACGTATTATTTTCCAAGAAAAACAGAAAGTCAACTAAATTTAGCCCACTAATCCTGATTAAGTCTTTGTCATAGCCTCATAAAAACAATATTATAAACAATGAATAAAATTTAATTTTGGTGGCTGAGAAGGAGACTCTTACCATCGATGCGAAGGGTCCAAAAGAGGTGAGAATCAACGAATTCGAAGTCAATAGTACTCAAAAGTAGTAGGAAATAATGTTACTTCTTTATATTCCCTTCATCAGACCTTTCATACGACCAACTAATTGATAAACATTTGAAGAATTGACAAAAAAATAAAAATAAGGTCCTTATTATGGACATCTCTACATTTCAATTCATTTGTTTTATCGCTATTTGATATACTCTCATATTGATATTAGAATTATAATATGTTATGTTGTTAAATTATCAATTAACACAATTATGCATCTCAACCGATTAGATAAAGATTTCATTCAGTAATATATAATGTTGGACAATGATCCACACTCAACGACTTCCAATGACTAACATGTAAAAAACATCTACCAAGATTTGAATATAACTAATTTTGATATAATATATGCTGATTATGAGACAAACAAAAATAACTGGACGAGTGATAATTTTTTTAACTGTGGGTTAGTAGAAAATTTGGTACCCAAAATAATAATGTAGATAAGAAAACTTTATGAGTTAAATTATTCTGCACTACTGCAACCAACCACCATAGCCAAAGACATCATGGCATGAAAAAGCCAAGCCAGCAGAATCTCCTTACTATACAAGTCAATGATGGCTAGCATAAATCATAAACTCACACCTTTAAACAAAAAGCCAAAAGCCAAAAGTACCAACAAAAAAAATAAAAATAAAAAAACAAGTACTTCGGATCGAAGGAAGCACAAAAGGCTGCATAATTGGTGGTAATTAAATCACAGAATCACGCAATTATTTATTAATCACAAAGGCCAAAAGAAAATACAATTGCTTAAATCAAGTAATTTTGTGTTAGATTATGTTTTAAACATACAAGGCTAATCTAATCACGGGCCACTTGGGAAAAATATACTTTTCTACAAATGGCTCACATGGGAGGAGGAGCCATTTAAGAAGCAAGTAAAAAGCATGCATGTTCTTCTGCAACACAAAATGGGAATAATTTAATCCACCACACGTGCGGTTTGCACGTGCGGTTGAAGACACTGTTGTGGTGGGCCACCACTGTCCTGACTTGAACCCTAATTGGTGCCCATACGGGAATCTGTGCAGTGCATTTAGTGCCCTTCCCTTTAGATGTTGCTGTCATTATTCTTTCTCCTTCAGGTAGATATGTGAGCATGTGTTGACAAACAAAAAAAAAAAAAAAAAAAAAAAAATGTGAGCATGTAAACATTATACTTATCTAGAATGGGCTTTTAATTTAAAAATTTTAATTGACTGGGCTTTGGTTTTCACCATTGACTCACCTAATGCATAATGTTTTTATTGTCAGTATCAGCATGCTTCATCGCACACTGGGTGTTGACTGCTAAACTGATGAATGACCCCTTTTTCTAGTCAAAACAGTGCAACTTGGAAATCTTCTAGGTTAGTCAGTGATCATAGATGGACCAACAATTTCCTTTTTCTTGTTTTGAACTGAGGGAAGGGAAAGGAAGGGGAGGGCATGTTTTGGAGTGTTTCTTTAGGAAGCATTTCTGCTGGAATTGCTTTTGTTAAAAGCACGTCGAAAAATGGGGAAATGTGCTTTTTCAAACAACACAAAAAATTACTTTTATAACCCAGAAACATGTTTTAATTTTTCAGCCAAAACGCTATTAGAAGCAGTTTTAGATTACTGAAAGTACTTTTAGCCTTCCTAAAAACAATACCAAACAGACCCGAATTCTGCAAAACTTATGGAGCGTGTTGGAGCTTTTTAATGAGGTAAGAAAGGAATGGAAAAGAAAAGAAACTTTCATTTGTTAGAATTATGATAGTTTGCAGGAGTCTCTATCTACAATGGACCACAGAAACCAATAAAGAGGAAAGAAGAGAAGAAGCAAATAAAGTACGGATTCATAAGTTCACAATGCATCTGGTAAAGTGGGCAACAACTAGTGATATGACAATTATAAGAGAAGTAGGTCTCAAGTTCTTACCTCTTTTCTTACTTTCCCTTTCATAGACTCCGCCACCTACTCTCCACAAATTGGCACTTTTGACCTGGATCACCAGATAGGAATCTTTGCTTACCTTGCAGCAATGAAGTATAAAATATATTTCTTTTATCTAAATACAGAGACTTTTCTTATAAAGGGAAAGATTCCAAAGTTAAATCTGATTCAATTCAAGGGTTCAGTAGAACTTTTACCATTGTACATAAATCCAACAGGACTTCCACATTAGAAATATCCTTTCCAAAGACTATTGGTCTTCAAATTCAAATCTACCATAAACCATTGAAACACACAGAATCTGAAATATGTTTACCATTATTAGCAATAACAGTTATGATGAGTTGATGACAGTAACTATAATTACCATTCATCATTGTCACTGAAGTATAACATGTTTATAGCATGGTTATAGTTCAAACAGCTGTCACTTCTAGAACAAACCCATTGAAATAAGGCACCTCTCCATCAGATCAGATATCAAAATATACTAGAGGTCAAGCAGGCCCTAATACAAACCATTTTTTTAAATCCCATTTAAGACAATGTGCCCACTGTTCTTCTAGCCATTCTTGAAGAAAAGAAAAGAAAAAAGCTGATGGGCCAACTAGTTAACTAATCATTAATTCTTTTTTCATGTTGAAACCAAATCAGCAGACAATTGAAACAAAACTTTGACTTCCACAAAAAGGTTTGCAAAAAGATGTAAAACAGAAATAAATTTAATAGGTGATATTGCATAGAGTAGAAAAAGAATGGAAGACAATACATCATCTGATACAATTGGAACAAAGGTCAGGATGATGAAGATGGTGACCTACCAGCTACTTGGAATACTTACCAAGAGATCTGATTTGACCATGAAAGTCTACCCTAGAACACTGTCAACCAGTTTGTAAGTTCTGGTTGATGTGATTCTGAATTTAGTAAGATAAATTCATGCTGTAGTGCAACATTCAAGCATGCCTGCTCAAAGTGTCAATGTGTATGTTGTGCAAGGATGTCTGCAAAAGTGTGTCAATGCTTTTCATTAGTCACTAACAACACAATCACTTACAAACCAAAAACAACAATACAAACTGCCATAAGGGTTCTCACTCTTTTGGCTGCAAACTCAACACATCAACATCTATAATTTGGGTTCTCAGGAATGTTACAATTTTCAAAGAAAAATCACAACTTAATTATGGTACAAAGTTCAGCAGATATGTATACTCATATAGATCCAACAAATGACTATGCAGGTAAGAATCCATCATATTAAACAAATCACTCAAACATTTGTGCTTAAAGTACAGACCACCCATTCACTCAATGTTTGATTACACATGCAGTGAAAGGGTCTAGGACTATTCAGAGATCATTATATCCTGCAAGGAGGATAACAGACCTTTTGCAATGAGGATACATAGTACATTTATATAATCATGTGAAAGTGCATAGGGAATAATTCCTAAAGAAACAACCACCAGAAAAACTACTTCTGATTTTCTTTTTGTATCAAGTGCAATAATAACGAAGAAAGGGAGTCCATGCCATAGAACCCGAAAGCTGCTGAGACACCAGGGCTGACAACTTTCTGCAGTTCTTCTGATCTTTCATCAAACATTCTTCAAGGCTTCAACCATCAACTTATATAAGGCCAATCCACCTTCATGGCAGCCTGGCATTTTAGATGCCATATTCTCTAGGTCAATCTGATATAAAGAAAAATTGATGAGAACTTGCATTGAAACTTAAACCAAAAGTTGAGATTCATGGATTGTCTATTGTCTCACAGAAAGCAAGGGATTGTTAATCATCTCAAATTATTTTCCTATTTTACCTTAATAGGGCCAGCACTAATAACAGTCCTCAATCTTAAAATATTGTAAGGACAACTTGATGTTTAATTTAGTAAATAGTAAAAGTTTTATTTTGACAATACATTTTAAGATATGAAAATCTAGTTAAATCATATCAATGCTTCCACCACAACAAAATGCTAATGAAAGATTAATGTCCCTCAGAACTGCTACCACGCTCTATCAATTAGGGATGGGCATTGGGAATCATCACCATCACCATCATCATCACCACCACCACCACCACCACATCCCTAACACCCAATGGGGTACACAATGCCCAAAGGGTATCCATTGCCTATCCCTACCATCAATGTCTCCTAGTAAGTCCTGGTCCAGTTTGTAAAAACTGATTTGAATTAAAAATTTGGAATAACATCAAAATGTTTCCATTTACTGGTCAATTGCATCATTATCTGGTTTGAATTTCTCCCAACCTGAATACAAAAATTTGAATCAGCCATAAAAATTGCATCTATAATGAACCATGCTTCTATCAATGTCAACATTCCCACAACACCATCATACCATGCAATCACATTTTTTTTTTTTTTTTTTTTTTTTTTTTTTTAAAAGAGAAATTTTATTGCACAAAGCAAAAACAGAACACCAACAGGAACAAAACAGGCGTAGCCAAGGAGGCCACACAAACCCCAAACAAAAGGAAAACAACAAGACAACCTAACACATTACAAAACTACAGCTTTCCAATCCAAGTGGATGAAACTAAAGTTGATATCCTTAAATTCTGAAGAAGTTGATGCCCACAATGATGCCCAGAAACGAATCCAATCCCAAAACTGGTCAATCTCATCACCCTTAACATAAATCAAAATTCTCTTATTCCTCTCCATCCACACCACCCAAAACACTGCCATCATAGCATAACTACCCAGCACCATCCCCCTCCTATTACCTCCAAAAAATTTCAATCTTTCACCAAGCAATCACATTATTCTTACATTCTACCATCATTGACTCTGAGTGCACTTGAATACATAAAAATATGTAAAATAAAAGTTCAAATATAGACAATTGTTAAGCAAACAAGAACTACATGTTGATCCATCTATGTCTGATAAAAATTTAAACTAACCAGTGGAACTGTAAAGAGCTGAGTTGACTCAAAGCTGTCTTGTGCGGTAGCATACAACTTCTGAACTTCCTTTGAGCTGAGACTGCATTTCATGAAGAAAAATGCAGTTGGTCGCACATTCAACACCCTGCGGGATATACCAATGAATACTTGCTCGTGCTGCATTACAACCAAATGATCAACACTAGATACAGCAAGGAGAAGAGTTATTTTATAGTTCTAACTGAAGAAGCTTATTATGATTGGATATTAAAATCACCACAAACAAATTAACTGTAAGCAGGAAAGATGCAACAAATGTATCATGGACAGCTAGGAAACAAGAATACAGATGTACTCACAAGGGAAGCTGAAGGTACTCCAATTTCTTCAACTACCTCACGGACAATGCTGTCAAACATCTCCTGAGAAACCTTGTCGTTAATAACTTTGGAGTCTGTCAAGTCCTCATGATGATGGGATACTAATCCAACTTCTTGGGGCTGTTAATTATCAAATATTATGGGATTAGGTCCAGATAAACCCTGCAAAAGGATGAAGCAACACAAAAAAGCGCTTCTTATAGTCACTGCAAGCATAAAAGAAAAAGTTTGAAAGTATCTAGATAATGTGGAGAATGCATTGACGTGAACCATGCACTGAAGAACTGACAGCCACTGCCCATAATATATGCATGTACGTGTATACTTGGAAAGAAGGGGGAACTGGCAGAGGGCTCCTCCGAAAGTTTGAAATGACAAAGAAACTTATAAATAATTTCAAACCTGGCCCCCAAGAGAGAGAGAAAAAATTGCTGTGTGTACGTACATATTGCATCAATACATGCAAACATGGGTATATAGGAAATGAAGATATCACAGTATGGAGCTACAAAACGCAGTTGCAAACTTTTCATGTTTCAGAGAAGATACCTCTGGATGGCCTCCTGGGAAAACAAAATGTCCAGGAAATTCCCCAACATTATTACTTCTTTGCAACACAAGTATTTTCTCGTCAGATGTCTCCACAATAGCACCATTACCCAATGGACTTGAGGTGTGTTGACAACGTATAGCGTCATCTACACAAAAGCAAAGCTGAAGATTATCATAAATACAATTTTTGTCAAAGAAATTTAAGAACCAAGCAATCCTTATATGCCATCTGCGATAAAGTTGCCTGTCATAAATTTTAATTATCATTAATTTTATTAAACCTGGAAGTTTAAAGTAGTTAATCATATAGTTTCTACATATCAGTCTTCATAAATTTCTTGAAGCATCTGTAAATTCAACATCTAGATTCACGTTTTGTTTTGTCAATATAAAACCAACATCACACCATGTTTTTAGTTGCTTAGGATTCTAATGGGACAAAAACAATGAAATGATCAGGGACTGCAAGTTTATGGATTTGTGGAAGAAAAATAAAATAAAAAGAGGAAATGGTTGATGGAAGTCATTGAGACAAATGTACTAACTCATGCAGTTATACCTTCTGAAGCAACGAGGAAGCTTTCCCATAAATGATTTAAGTTTGTGCCCACAAAATTCCTGCAAAGCAAGAAAGTGAAAGATTTAATACCAGAAAATAGAAGGCTGATTGCCTACGTGGCATCCAATTTTGTTTTACTTCCTTTTTCATAGGTGGAGGTTCACATTAACAAACTAACTTTGCAGACCAAGTATCGCAGAATTGGAATCAGCCAAGACAATAAAGGACAGAGAAGATAGCCACTTCGTTCAAGAAGCCATCTCCTCAAAAAATCTTGTAACTAAGCTATATTACTTCGATTAACTGTCAACATTTGATTTTTGATAAGAGCTATTAATTTTCAATAAGCATATAATCTATGAATGCTACATCATAGAATCAGATTTAAACAATAATATATATGCGGATCATTTTGTTTGAATACACTTAGAGAGAGAGAGAGAGAGAGACCTATAATCTGTCAGACCAAGGTGGAGGCATACATGAGGCTCTTGGTTAGATCCACCTCCATCATGCCATACGTGTTTTCCATACTATATAATCATATACAATATACAGAACATTAGTACATTATACGAAAATCAAAAACCAAATTAAACTACAGGATATAGTTTCAGACAACGTATACCTGTGAGGAAACTAAACAATCTGGCTATCATCATAGAAGATATACATACCCTGAACTTTGTCCCATTGTACAACGATGGATTTTTATGAACCCTTTGATCCCATATCTATAAATTCAGAATAAGACAGCTTAGCCATACAATATATAAATGTGTGTGCTCGTCTTTTAAACAAGAACCAAGCTTGTGACGAAAAACTATTTACAGAGATTTCCTATTAAACAAAATAAGCTCAACCCAGAATCCTAAATGTAGGTAACCCAAGTAAAAAGAAAGCTCATCAAATTGCTATCGGAATCAAATTGGGCTCTCTGCACAACACATTGGACTGCTTTCCCCATATTTGGCTGATTGAATTACAACAACTCTCTCAAGAAACAAACATATACATATATATATATATATAATAAATAGTTACCACAAAGATAAATTAATAAATAAACCATCAAAACTATATAAAATATTGCTTAGACATGTACAATTACAAAATTAAAAGTTCACCTCAGAAACAGAATTCTCCAAGTTGATGTCTGGATGGGGAATTCGATCATAAACTCCATCAAAAACCACAGAAACCTTTAAACCCAAAAACAAATGCATTAGATTGTAAAATCATATGCATGTGAAAAATTTACCATTGCAGATTGGCTTTGTTACTAACAAATCAAAGTGAAAGAAGGAAATGAAAATTTAGAGGACCTGCGATGGCAAAAGACCCGAGGGGCAAGAGAGCAGAAGCTTGTAGCGCTCAATGCTCGTTTCAGTCTCTGCCTTCTCCATTGGAATGGCGAGCGCAGACCAATGTCGATCAAATTCTTCTGGGATTCTGAGAACTTGAGAAGTCAGTGCTTGCAACGCCGCAGCCTGCATGGTTGCTCTATAGGTCAGATGGGCCGGCCGGCCAGCCCAGTTCTAACAGTAAAGGCGGAAGTCCAAATAATTGGGCCTTTTGATTAGTTTGGACCGCGTCGGGCATGCCTATTGGACCAATCCATTGGCTCGGCCCAGTTAGACTTATTTAAGGAGTCAAGTATTTTCCAAAATCATATCCAAAGAAATAAAGTAGTGACGCATTTAAATTAAGGACGATTTTTACATACCAAATGATGAGTTTCTTTGCATGTTTCGGCTTTAGAGCGGTTCTTAAAAAATAAAAAAATAAAAATTTTGTTTTTTAAGTAATTAAAAGCTTCAATATTTTACTAAATATTATCATAATAATTGACAATAGGGTTTTGCACCGTATATTGGATTCCTTTTTCCAAATTTATTATTTATGTATATCTATCATTTTTTTTCAATACAAGCAAGTAGTAATCTAAACTATAAGGGGATGTGAGTTTCTCACACACACTACTAAAGTGTTGTATGGGTTCGAACCTTTGACCATTAGACCCAAGGATGGAGGTACTCTACGGCCTAAGGTGGCCCTGGCAACCCACCCCGCAATTTATTCTCAACACAGTAAAGATTGGGCTTTAGTTCATATATTTAACAATGCAAACCATATATAATTATATGTAAAATATTTGTGGGCCCATTACACAACTGACATAATAAAAGGAAAGTATTAATTCTCTAATAATCAAACCAATGAGCCAAGGGAATAAAAAATAAATAGTTTAAAGGGAAATGAGAATTTATCAAAAGACTTTTTCGTTTTGTTACATGAAATGAAATCGAGTACAAAGTTCTAAATCAAATTCCATTTTTCCTTATATATTATTGATGTAAGATTGATTTTTCTTCCTATGCTTATTTTATGGTTCGGCCCCACACATACAATCCTCACTCCACCACTGATAAGACCCGGTGGCAATATCCATCTTGGAGACTGCACGATAAAGTCAATTGGCATGCACACTAATTGCAGTCAAAATTTACTTGTAGTCCACAATGAACAAAAACACGTTGGTTAATATTATTTTGAGGTCCACTCCAACGGTGTACTAAATGAACGATAAGACTAAACAATCTTAATATTAGCGACCAAACAAAGATAATACACACTCTAATCTCGTACTAATCAAGGTTAACAAAGAGAATTTAATCCAAGTAGTTTAGTCTAATCTGATTTGACGAATGAAACGAAACTGTTTGTCTAATGGGATTAGACTGACAGAAGTCCTACGTTCTCATGGAGATAGAGATGGAACAAAATAGTCTCATAATAAGAGCCCCAAAAAAGAGATAATAATTGGCCACAATTGCCTTCTCTGTAATCATGCTCATGTGGCACGTCACAAACCATAAAATTCGGCTAGTAATGCAACTTGGATGGCATTTAAAATGAAATCGCAATTTTGGGCAAGAGAGCTGTTAACTTTAGCGGCGCATTAATGCCGCTGTTTGGTTTTTCAAAGGAGAAATAGTTGTGTTTAATAATTATACTTGCCAAAAATTTATCCGACAATTCTCAAGTCTCGTCATCACATTTCAACTGATGTTACAGTTTATCCATGTTATGATACACCTAACTATTATAGACTGGAAAAGTATCAATCATGTTGTCTATTCATTATAAACGTAAATTAATAACATCACATGACGATGTGTCTGGCACAATCAAGATTTCATTTTTTGTTACTAGCTGGACAGAAGGGTTGGAATTATTTGAAAGTAACACTAAATTTGCTTCCAAAAAAACACTTTTATTTGGAAATGACACTTTTCTAATGTCCCTTTCTCGTGTGTCTTATATATAGCTTGTGTACATCCTCCATATGCCTGCATAAAGTACAGTTGGTAAATCACTCATATTATACACATCTGTTGTCTATATACATGCACGTTGAAATACACGCAGACTACGAAAAGGAAAAACAGAAGAAATGCACTCAAGAATCAATCACGTTTTATTTTTCACAAAGATTTTTTTGTTTTTACAGCAAATACAGTTCTTATTATCTCTCTATTTTCTTGTTTATTTTCATTCCACTTACGATCAGATAGATAGACTTAGTTGTGCATATCGAGCATGAATGATTGACAAACGTCGACACAGACAAACTTCCCGTTCTCATCAGGGTTGACTAACTGTATGTGCGTGTCAGAAGTTAAGGATCGATTCTGGTTTATGTACCATAGATCCTGATCAAAACAGCACTCAGTATCAGTATCTGTATTTGCAACGGCTATGGACCTTTTAAAATAATAACAATAATAATTTGTTTGAATTGGTTTATTTATGAGGGAGTGAAGTAGATGTGTAATAGTTAATGCATTCTCGTGTGTTAGCTCCATCGACCTGTAGAACCAGTTGCATCTGATCTGTAGGTGGACCCATTTGTGAATCGTAGCATTTTAATGCTATTCAAAATTATTCAATCATAATTTATACACATAAATTTGTTTTTCACCTTTTCTTTATCATGGACAATATGCACTAGTCTCTCTTTGTTCACATGCATATTTGGTGGTGATCATACTATATATGATCAGATAATTGGAAGGGTACCCTAGATCAGAAGACATCATCATTTTTTTACAGAGTTTCAAGATATGAATAGAATAATACGACTCTTCTATCTAGAGACTTCTTTTTTAAAACTCGAGAGAAATGATGAGAGTCGAACTCTAATTAATCACTGAAATTAAATAAAAGAATATCCTCTTTCATATGCCATCAGTACTATAGAGAACGCAAATTTAATGTAACTCCCCACAATTGCAAACCACTCACCAAAGTACTTTTCATTTGACATCATGACCTCTACAAGAACAAGACAATTTCACATGGCTTTGCCCTTTTATTTTTGATGGGTGACTCTGAAATGAAAAGGACTATAATTTAGGAATATACATATAAAGATGGTTTTTAGTATTTCTAACCCTAGTGATTAGGAAATGTGTCTTCACTAAAAAAAGGTCATTATGTTTAAACCATTACTTGATTTGTCACTAAAATGAAGAGGGTCATCCATGGCCATTGATTAAACAAATGGAATTGTGTTAGATGGATGAATTTATTTGCATAATAAAGAACCCAGCAGTCCAGCTTATAAAGCAGAAATGCTACCAATAGATATGAACCCAGCATATGGGTCCATCTACTAGCTATGCAATCAGTGCAGAAAATCAAATGGAAAAGGTCTTCTTAATGCATCCCCATGGTACCAAAAATAAATAAATAAATAAAAAGCAAAAGCTGTATAAACAGAAGCACAGGACAAACTTGTTCCACATGTTTCTTCATCAAATAAAGCAGTACAATTACAATGTTTTGAAAGATTAAATCTCCAATGATGCAAAGGGATTCAAAGCAGCAGCAGCAGCACATCTTATTGGGTTATGAAATGAAACCCACAGAATTCAACAATAAGAACTTTAAAGAAAACAGAAAATAATCAAAATACATCAAAAAAAAAAAAAAAAACAAAAAAAAAAAAAAATTAGAGATTGATGATGACCTTTAGATGACCGCATTTTCAGGGTTGAATGTGCTTAGATCCTCTTGACGGATCCAACCATATTTCTCCAAGAAAGGGTTGGTCAATGACTTTGGTGGGTACACAGCAATGTCCTCCTTCCACACATTTTCATCTCCCAAATCTCTCACCACCTCTAGCAAACAGCTGTTGCATTTAAAGCCAGCACCAAAGCTTATCATCAACACTGTGTCCCCTTTCTTGAGCCTCTTCTTGGCTTCCATGTAACCCAAGACATACCAAAGGCTACTTGCAGATGTGTTGCCAAATCTGTGAAGTGTCATCCTTGCAGGCTCAAGATCATACTCACTAAGCCCAAGGTTCAACCCAATCCCATCTATGACTGCCTTTCCACCAGTGTGAATGCAAAAATGATCCACCCCAGTCTTGAAATTGATGACAGGTTTTGGTGAAGTGCTTGCTCCTCCCTTGGAGGATTGTGACTTCAATTTTCTCACTAGGGTTACAAGCATAAACCTAACCAACTCCCTAATGGGTAAAATCTTGGGTGAAATTTCCCTAAGATTATCCACAAAGGCTCTTGTGGCAGCCTTGGGTAAGACCTTGTCAAGGTGAAAACCAAGCATCCCTTGCCCATCTTCTTGTTGGATGCAACAACCATATGACTCATCTCTAGCCCCATGATGGGTTCTAACCAAACACTTCAATTTGAACATGGCTTGGTTTTTCAAGGCCCTTTTGTTGGTCAAAAGGACTGCACAACCACCAGACCTAAACAAACAATTTGCTAAAATCATGGATCTGGCATTACCTGAATACCAATTGGGGCTCAAAGACTCAGAAGTGACCACAAGTGCATACACATTCTTGTAGGACTTGAAAATGTTCCTAACAATGTCGGTTGAGATTAGGCTAGCAGAGCAACCCATCCCAGTGATATTAAAGACCTTTATGTCCTCCCTCATCTTGTAGTGGTTGATAATTCTGGAAGCTAAAGAAGGCATAGAAGCAAACATGGACACATTCACAACAAGCACATCAAGTTGTGAAGGGGAAATGCCTGATCTGTCCAGAAGCTTCTGAATGCTGTCATGGAAAAACTCCTCCATCTCTGAGATGCCATCTTTCAATGTGGGGCAAGATTCTCTGCCTGAAAAAATGATTCTTGGACCATAGGTTTGCTCACCAATGCCTGCGCTCACAATGGCTTTGAGGAGGAACTGGTACTCTAGAAGACCAAGATTCTTGGTCCTCCGGATGACCTCCCCTGAAAACCGTGTGTCTAGCTTTCTGTCATCTGTGGGCTTATGGCACTGATAGTCCAAAATGTAGCACTCTTGGTCCCTTTTTTCATCAAAGCGTTTCCACATCATAAAAATGAAGTACAAGGCTGAGAAAGCACAGAGTAAACTGAGAAGCTCCATGACCAAATGTGTGTGTAAGAGAGAGAGAGAGAGAGAGAGAGAGAGAGAGGGGTGAGTT